AGTTTAGGTCAATATTAAACAAAAATTTAATTACGTACGTATTCTCCAATTTTGCAAATGATCATGTTAACTAAAATGAGGGAAACAAAATAACTTTAATGACAAGCACAAAATATTAAAAGCCTTTCAAATTGATGGTTTATAAAGTAGCATATTTCACTTTGATAATATGAATTATAAATTACATTAAAATTATATACTTACAACCAAATATTTATTGTTGAGCAATTTTTGGAAGAAATTGGATTAAGAGAACAATAATTTTTTCAAACATAAATTGCCAAACAAAAGTACGTTATCTCAATTATATATTTACAAAGGTTGATATTTTTATACCCGCACGAGCGTATGTTCGAGGTAAATGACAGAACCCTATTCAAATTGAATATGATCGGGGTACTGGTTCGGGTAGCTATCATAAAACTTCGAAATCTATTCGTTTATATCTCAGAAACTATAAAAGCTGTGGTATTGAAATTTCACACAAGCGAATATATTAGTAGTGCCGATGTGCTTGATAAAATTCGCTAAAATTTCTTGGCTCTTTCTGGTAGCTGCCATACAACTTCAATAGTAGTTTGTCACAACCAGTATTTTGAAAAACACATTGTACTGAAATTTTGCATAAATTAATATGGTAATACGGCAACTTAAAGTCATAATCTATCCCATAGTCAGCTATGGCATATTTACTCGCACATAGAGTAACAAATTCGTACGGGTATCACAGAGTTGACACGGTCAACTTTATTTTTTCTCGTTTTGAATCAGAACTGATATGGTGCGAAAGAGAAATGAGTTAAAAAATGCCGGTTTGGAATAACACTAACGGAAAAATTTCAATTTCATAGCTTTTGGCATTTTTTTTTCAACTTTTTTTTGGATAGAAAAGAAAAGTTGAAAACTCTTTTAGTTTGCGAAATTCAAAAATTTTTTGTGGTTTTAGCACAATTTGTCTGAAAAAATTGATATTTTAACACTTGGAAGGAATTAAAACTTAGAAAGAGCCGTGATGGCTGAAAATTTTCTAAGTAATTCACTTTCTATCTCAACCTTTTAAAAGATGACAAGCAGATTGAAATTATTAAATTTTTCAAAAATTTTTTGGAAATATACAAAAGTAAAGAAAATTCCTTTTTAAATTACAATTTATTTTACGATTATTTAAAAACTATGTAAGGACCACATAATTATATTAAACTTTGAGTTAATGTTACAAGGTTTTAATATATGTATGTATCTTACTCCATAGTCACATTATTTTTATTTTATGTGATCTGTTACATATGTATAAGGAGGAAAAGAGCTTTACGCTATCACATAAATCGTAAAAATGTGGTTAAATGGCAAGAAAACGGGGATACTTCTAATATATTAATTTAAAGGAAAAATATAGAAAAGATCATTAGGAAACAAGAGAAAACCTATGAAATAAAATTTCTTAAATTTATAATAATTCGTTATTCGTTATTACACAGTAAAGTTCTGACTGCAATGACGGAACAACACAAACAATATATAACATTTAAGTCACAAATCTGCCAATGAAAAATAACCCAACCTTGTTTGCCAAATATTTCATATGGGCATAATAGACTGCTCACGACACTTATAAGTTTGTCGTCTATTTTATTTCATATTTGTAAGTTTTGGAAATTCAGAAAATATTTACTAGCAAAGGTTCGAAGTTTTTATTAAACACTGCAGATTTCTTTTATTCGATGACTAAAACAAAAATACATACCAACAATATTTTTTAAGATTATTTAATAAGTTATTGAAAAAATTTTTAATAATAAAATTTATCCAAATTGATTTTAACGTCATATTCTTGGATTTTATTATTAGCGAATAATTTTAAGACTGAAAACGCAAAATCATACACAAAAACCTGAATGCGTAAAAGAAATAAATAAAAAGACGAACACGTAATTTTATATATTTCTTTTTATAAAGATCTTTAAGGATGTCTTCAAGGATACATAAGAATGTAATAAAGCATTACAAAGATATTAAAATTTTTATATTCCACCATAAAGTTCAATTATAACAGTGATTTTCTAGTATGTTCTAAAAAATGTCAAGATATAAAATATTCCTCCTGTAATAATAAGTTTATAAAATTTTTATTACAGTAGGAATACTACATTCGGCGTAATAATGTCAACATATTATAATTTAATATGGTGGCATTTCAAGAAGATAAACATTCAAAATTTTTGTGAATTTTAGGTAGAATGAAAAATGTTTAAAGGAATAGATGTAAAAAATTATTCATTGCATATAAATAGTTGCAAATGAAATTGTGAATTCATTGAAAATTATATGACGAAGCCCGTATTTGAAAATTTAATTGCATTACAAATTGTTTTTTCTCTATGTAATCGGGAACCGTGTTTGAAAAATAACAAATTATATGTATGTACATAAAATATGTATTTTTCATATTTTATTCCCTTATTAAAAGTGTACAACACACACATTCACAATAAACATTAAAACCTACAAATCTTACGTATTTTCTTTCCGTGTTTAGGATTCCACAACAATAGTTTGAAAATTTGTTGCTTTATCAAAAATAATCTTATGATCAGAATTACATTCAGCATTTTAGTAGCAAATGTACCCAATTCTTCTTCTGTTGTCATTTCTGAATATTATCAAATGTATATTGTATTTGTACGAGTATTTCATAAAAATCAAAATTTCAAATTATACAAGATTTTAATGTACTTTTTCAATAAAACATCCTCGTTCTTATTTGTTCATATGAAATAGAAAATTCTTAATTTTCCTATTTACCAAGGCTTAGTATATTTGCCTAATTAATTTATTTAGGAAAAGGTTCGTACATTTCAAAAAGATCTTATGTTTTCAATATTTCTGTTTATACATACAAAATGGGTGTTATTTCACTTCAAATAAAGTGAAGATCCTTGAGTAATTTAATACAAATTAATATAAAAACTTTTTCCCCATTTCAAAAAAAAATTGAAGAAATTAAAATTCTGTAATTTTTTGACTTCCTTTTATTCACATCTCGTTATTTATTATTGTATTTAGTTATTAACTTTGAGTAAAAATGTGATGGAATTTTTGAAAACCAATTAACTTCCGTAATTGCTAATTAAAAGTAAATAAGAAAAATTTTTTAACAACAATCAGAAGTGAGGAACAACAACAATCAATCATTTTAAACAGACTAATCAAAACCAAAAATGCAAAAAATTTTGTTTTTCAATTTGAAACACAGAAAATTATCATTAACTCAGATGAAGATTCTAAGGATTAATTCTTCATAAACTATTATTATGATTCTTTATGCGTATATGCTTGATTCGTGATATTCTGTGCTCTTATACGTGGTTGATTAAATAATTCATAAATACCAATTCATCAAGCTATTAACTAACAGTTGTAAGAATCAAAAGATGACACGAGTTTCAACTTATTATTACTATACTATATCCGGAAACTATTCCCATCTTTTATCTTTAGTCATTTGCTGAATTATAAATTAAGAGCTACATATTTAAAACGATGTTATAGCTATATTTTTCAATTTTATGATAAATGGAAAGACTAATGATGTTTTTTTTTTTTGTGAAATGATAAATGCTTAGTATGAGCAACAATTTCAGTACGCAAATAGCGTAAAAGCCACCGCTGTTATGCTTGCCGAGGGATAAGATGATTAGGAAGTACCGCCTTGCGAAAAACATTACCATAAAGCTGAATGACAGAATGATTTGGAAGGGAGTTGTTTACCTATCCGATGGGAAGCCACATCATTAGTTGGTACATCGACGCATTTCGGTACGGATGGTGGTGTATTTGGGCCAAGGGCTAAATACTTCGAACCTATAGTGATGTACCCAAGTATCTTTCAGGCGGAAATACACGCTTTATCGGATCGTTTTTCTGCAAGCGGGGCAATTACAGCCGGGACAGCGGCTTTTGGGAAATTAAAACGGGAGTGTTGAAATTGCTGGTTTAAGAAATGCCTAAGCAAATTAGGCTTGGGAAGTCACGGATATTACAGGTATTGTGTGGAAGGGGAGGGAGGCTCTATGCGCCTTCTCCAAAAGCGTGGAACGTTGGTCCATAACAGAATATTTCGGCTGATAGAGAGGGGGCCCTTTCTGTTGATTATTTCATTTTGGGATATTTTCCCGAAACAGTTTTTCGAGTTCATTGAAAATGTTGGCCTCGACGGGGTGCGCGTGGGGACGCAATAGACTTTTTAAGTCACAGTGCATCATCACCCCATTCTGCAATCTACAATCTACAATCTGAAGAATAAAAGGCACAGGATATTGTTCTTGTGGATCAAACACTTAAGTATTCTACAGCACATATTTAAAATATTTAGTTTGTAATTTTGAATAAGTTTATAAGTGGTTAACACATAAGTATTTAGCATAATTTCAATAAATTTGGTTCATTCTTAATTCATTCGTTAATTTCATCCCTTTTTTTTTCTTGTCACATAATAATTCAAAATTTACTGTCTTGGAGTGAAGAATAAACTCAATACTTCATTCATGATACCTTTTGAATCGAAATGAACGCAAATAAGAAAAAACACACTAAAAATATCAAAGGTGTAAAATATCATTACAGAAATTAGATATTCAAAATGAAATCAACCGAACTTCAACTAAAAGTCTCGGACATCTTTCGAATACAACAAAAAAAATTTTTAAAAGTTGTAAATTAAGTCTTCGTTGTTTTTCTTGTTCTTTTTCTGTTTTTTTTTTCATAATAATTTTTCATATTATATAAGCATGATACTTCTTTACGTTTGTCAAAAGTTTATTAAATTACAAATTTACGTATAAAAAAGATGGAATTGTTCCAAAGAATTTCATATAAATTATTTTTGTGTACTCATTTTACATTAAATTTCTAAGAGGGTGGCTATTTTATCATTACGATTTTTATACAATTTTCTTTTCCAAAACTTTTAATGTAATTTTTTTTACTTTTTTACTTTGTAGGATTATTTTGCGGAAAAAGATAAACGAACGAAGCCATCATTATCTATTGTAAATCCGATTGATGTACTCAGACAAAGACTCTTATTAGAAATAGCTCGAAGACAAATGAAGGAGAATACAAAGCAGGTAAGTGAAAAATATTTCCTTCCATTTTCTTAATACAATTTTGTAACAAAAGGCAAATTTCTTTTAAAGAAACGATTTAAAAAGAAAAGAACATTAAATAAATTTTTTTGAATTCAATTTTTAATTTGAAATTAATTTAACATGATTTTCAATTCGAAATAAGTAGTGTTTAAAATATAAGCACAACATTTCGTTCTTGAATTTCTATTTGCAATACAACTGAAAATAAAATACTTATTTAAATTATTATCATTTATTGCTAATGATTGAAAAAAGCCAAAAAATTATTTAATGACCTTCAAATATTGCGAGGAAAAGGTGGTCGTTCTGATTTAAACATTTTTACTTGCACATCTTCCTCTTTAAAATCTAATTTTATTACAATCTAGATTATTAGATCTTTTATTAAAATATTAAATTTTTATGAAAAAGTTCAAAAACGTACCAGGATATCAAACAAAGAAAAAAATTTAAAAATTCAATTCGTCTCCAAGAGCTCACACCCAGTAACATTGTTCTCTGTGACTCTAAAATTTCATAATAGCAAATTTCAATGTACTACAAGTAATTACAAATATTCCAAAATGTCCAATCTGTCTTAACGTGAGTGTTTTTAGATTTAAGGAGCTGTAAGTTGTAATCGGTCAGCATGCATAGGAATGTAGCTATAATAATTCATGTTAAATTTCAAAATTCAAGAAATTTTTTAAAAACTAAAACAAAAATTCAGGATTAATTTCCGTAGTAGACAATATTGGGGAAAAATTTACTTTTGATTTAACTTAGCTCATCTATCACAAACTTCTACGATTATACCCTTTACAATTATTTCTTTAGGATGTTATTATTTTGTACATTTTAAGAAAAATTTATTCACCTATAATAAATATAGAAGGTGAATAAACTTCTCAAACCTTTTTTTAGTTATAGTCTGACAATGTTCTAGAAATGGAATTTTTTGTGGCGTCTAACGATCACACCCTACATAAAGAAAGATAGGTGCCTAATATATTTTTGCTACTATTCCTGAAAATCTGCAAAAAAATACAGTGCCCTAATTTATATGAACTTATTCACAAAGAAAAGGATAAGGGAAATTTAAAATTATTTTCGTTTTACTTTTATATCTATCCATCTTTTTTTGTGGTCATGTAGTTTTTCAGTTCGGTAGATGCAAAAAATACATGTGGCAGTTTTTTAAATGGCTCTTCAAATGAATTATCAGTCTCAGTATGAACTATAGATAATGAAAATCTTAACAGTTCGTTTCATGAAAAAAATCAATCTTTGACCAGTTGTTTTTTTTAAATTATATGCTTTCATAATACCTTCCTGTGAGAAACTTTATTAATTTTTGTTTTTCTCCGAGATTTATGCATTAGGAGTTATTTAATAACTAGGAATAATTTCAATAAAAAAATATTTTAAGCAAAACAACAGTTTTTCAAAACTTTTTGGCCACAAATATCGATTTAAAAACTACTGATTTGGTTTGAATAAGCTTCATTGACTGTTAGCATTAAGCATGTTAAAGCAAAGACTCTTAAATATAAACATGCGTTACAGCAACTTATGTCATATTTAATGTGAGGCAAAAGAAACAAAAGTATAACATGTTATACACCTCGGGTGCTATAAATAAAGTGGAGATTACGAACCAGGAGCTGCTATAAGATTTAGATTTTAATTCAAAATTTTAACATGGAAATCTTTGAAAAAACCTCATAGTCCTTATTAGGTTATGTTAAAAATTTATGATGGAGCGGAATTTTTAAGAACATTAATGTTTTATAAGTTATTTGAAATGACAAGTTTTAACGTTGAAAATTTGAAGTTCTTCACAAATTGCTTAGTAAATAAAAAAATTTGTTAAAAAATTTATTTTCAAACCATCCTTGAGCTTCGATTACTTTGCGGTATTAGGAATAATGTTGTAAAATTCATCAAATTAAGTTACAAAACTTCAAAGATAACCAAAGTGTATGACACTTAAGTAGACAAAATGAAAAAAAAGAATTGAATGAAACAGAAAATAAATTTTTATATAAGAAATCGCAAGGATTGCACGCAACTTATGGATCAAAAGCAATTTTAATCATGATTATTTTAAAAGCTAAGAAATTTATTATTAGCTTATAACCTGTTAAGCAAATTTATATAATTCTTTAAATAAGATGAAATAGATTAAAAAATTGTATGTGTATGTGCATAAGAAATGTTTCCAACCTGACGAAATTTTCATAAAACGCCAAATATTTTTATTTTATTTTAAAAATTCTTTTATACCACCGTACCAAATTTTTCAATTTGCCATATGCAATCACTTTAAATATAAAATGTGTTCAGATACCTGTCTATTCAGCCTGTTATAAACTGTATTGGATCCTTAAATGTTTTAAAGATAAAAACAGAGAAATTTATTGTTACAAATTTCTGGAGGCTACAAAAATCAAGACATTCAATCATTTTCATTCTTTTAAAGAAAACAAGCAAGAATAAAATTATTTGAGGAAAAATTTTAGGAATAAAAGTAATTTTATATAGCTAGGCATTGTGTTGAAGAATAAAAACGAAAAAATAAAATTAATATAATGGGATAATCATTTTTCAACGACATCTAAACAATAAAGATGATATAATAATTTTGGTTTAGAGTATATACATATATAGAACATTTTATTACCCTCGAAAAATCGCAGGTGATCATGTATGTTTTAAGAACTTTAACATGAATTTAAATTTTTTTTTACACATTTTATACACATGTGTTTTTACAGTTCCGGAAATGTTATTAAAGTTCAAAATTTAAAAATCAGAATGTTGATACTTATGCCAAAATCATTCAAACCTTTTCCAATATTTTACCAGCTATTACAGTTTCCTATATATTGAAACAGATTAATATACCAAATCAGTCGAATAGAAATTACCGTATTTTAAGAAAAGGTATGAAAACTGTTAGTCATTTTAATTTCCAGGGTTGCAATAAATTTCGTATAACGGATCTATAAGATTTTTCAGTGCCTAACAATTACCAGTAAGGCATGTTACTAATAGCACTCTAATTTAATGGGGACTAGATTAAAATGGTTTATATGGACCATTGTGTTGTAAGAAAATCTTATTGCATAAGATTAAAAACTAACCTATCAATTTTAATGATTTTCCTTTTTAAATAAAAATGTCAAGTCACCTACCGGAATAGTTAATTTCAGCTACTCTTTTATAATAGACTGATAAAGTTTGGAATATTAAATTTGTGTAGGAACACAGCAAATAAGTATGCGTAAGAAATACTTACATAGAAGTTTATATTCAATCAAATAATCTTCAAGTTTTGATGATGAAATTAAATTGTAATATTCAGAAGTAAGTAAGACGGAGAACAACCAGAAGCTATAATGAACAAATTTAAATGAATTTAGGAATTTAAATGAATAAAACTTTATCAAATTTTTTATACAATTATGGCACGTCAACAAAAGCAGAACTGAAAGGAAATATATGAAATTTCAGAATTAAAGATAATGAAACATAATAATTTTTCCACTCCTACCCTTTATAATTAGAGGGTTTTTAAAGTATATGTTTACCTGCAGCTCACTGTGTATTTTTAAATCATTGAAGTTTAATATAAATAACAAATTATTAATTTTAACAAGTACACATTTTTATGCTTGAATTAACAAAGTGAAAAGGTGTTAACAATGCAATATTTTAGAAGTAGAGACAAATGAGTATATGTGATAAATAATGTAAATCACATATTGTACGAATTCATTTGCTTTACCTAAAATACCACAGTAAAATTTTAAACTAGTGAAACTTATGTTGTATAGTTGTTATCAACATACACTAAATGTCCCATGCTAATGCGAATTTTTATAATGAAACCCTTTTCATGAAAGTATAAACCTTATATTTTAATTGATATTGCACAAATTGCGGATGATTATGCTAAACCAATGAACTTAAAAACTCACAAATATTTTGTGTGGCATAACATCAATATCTGACAATATATTATGTTCCAAATTATTATCACTTCACATAATTTTTCCATAATTATATTAAGATCCTTTATTTTTAACCGAACATATAATTTTTACCTCAATGCTTTATAATTTATCTTTATCACAACTTAAACTTAAAATTTATATTGCATGTAGTCTCTTGTTAAGAAATTGTGGGATTTATATGCAAAAATTCTTAAATAAATTTTCAATATCAATGGTTAAAGAAAATTAACATACAAACAAAATATTGCAAAAACAAACAATTGTGCCTTACAGTTTCATTATATTCGTAATTAGCTATTCAAATAGTTGTTAATAAAAGGAAAAAGTTACAAAAAAATTATCAAAACTTATTGACAACTTTAAGATTTTGTAGGACTTTAACTTCGAGGAAGGTAATGATTGCGGAGAAGTAGATTTCTCACAATCCAATTTTGTATAACTTAATATATTTACATGAAGGGTAACTTTCCATGATCTTTGACACATGAGGAGTACAGAAGTTTTGGAGAGTAGCGAATCGTGCGTTCTAAAAGATTTAATCTAATAAAAACATTTTTAATCTTATTAAAATCAGTTAAAAATTGAGAATCTGATGGCATAAGAAAAAGAGTGGAAAAGGACTCATTTCTTCTTGATACAAATATTTATTTACAATTGTACTTGTTGTAGCTTAATTCAATTTTGAATCGCAATTGTGTTCCAATTTTAGATATGCTAAAATTCATATCAAAATTGATTATATTTCCCTTTAAATTGAACAAGGAAAAAGAGTTATACTTATTCCGGAATTACAATAATGAAAACGAAATTTCAACAATTTCCTTTCTAATGTTTTAAGTTTTTATCAGTTCTACATTTCTTGTCATCGAAATTGTTGACTTATAGAAAGTAAAAATTACATAAATCGTACCGGAAATTGATTAGCAAAGAATAACCAAACAAATTGGAAAAAATATCCAAAAGCTGTAAAAATTTTCTAAATTTAGACTGGCACCGATGTTTGTGCATTAACATATCCACACATGTGTTTATTTCTAGTTAAATATGTTTAAGGATCATTGATTCAGTTATAATTTTTTTATTAAATAAAATGGAAAAAAGTTACATATACTCGTATATATTATTAAAAAACTATGTAATAACCAGAATAACAGTAATCACAAAATGTTTGATTGTCAACAAAATAAAATTATATTTAAAATTTTGTTATAAATTAATGAAAAGGGTTATGTATGTATATTAATGGGTATATATTACGTATGTATCTTAAAAAATAATATGGCAACTTAAAATACTCCTATTGTACAATCTGAACACGCCTAAGTCGGATTAATTGTGTCCAATTCTGTAGTTAAAATATAACAATATAAATTTGATTGCAAGATATCGACGCCCCCTTGTATGAATCATGTAAATTACTAATGATTTGAAAAAAAAATAAGTATATAAAAGATTATTTTATTATCAAAGGTCAACTTTTGTATGTATTTGTAATGAAAAGGTCAATTTCTAGAAACACAAAACTTCCTCTTTGAAATCCTTTTATTTTCTTAATATTAACTGTCTACTACGGGTATAGGTATACTAGAAAGGCATGTAATATAGTATAAAAATTATTATTAAACTATTATTATAAAACTATCTTCTATTTATATATAGTTCTAATATTGTAACCATGTTTCGCATAATTTCAGGAATTTGTTCAATGGAACTCAACAACTATTTCTTAGAACATGTTATTAGATTTACACAAACCATTAAATTTTATTTGAAACTTTGTTTTCGAATTGATTTGAGTTGAGGCGGAAAGAGGTGAGGCATCATCTCATTCCATAGACATCGTTCCAAATTTAAGTTTAGTACACTAAATACCTGATTATAACAGTCTTAATAAAGAACTTGTGAGTTGAAATATGTTATGCATTTAATTTGTGTCTTATAAGAATAATGAATGTTATAATATTAAATTAACGCATATTATACTGAGTTATAAACTCATATTAGAATTTAAGCATGAGCCCAAAAATTGAAGTTTTTCAGCAATTTTTTGATAATTGAAATACTTTTGTATTAATTTTGCGTTAAAACTTCTAATAGTGAAAGATCTTAATAATCATAGAGCCTTTGTATTTCGGAACAATTTGTAAAAACGAGTCCCAAACTTAAAACGTTTTGATAACATATTGAAGAATAATTTTTTTGAGAAATTAAGATATTTGTGTGAAGAAATATAGTCGTTGAATTATTTTAAGTATGAAATTTCAACTTGTCAATGTGACATTTCCCTACGGTTTATGTTTTTTTTTAGAAATACAGTTATCTATTGAAAACTTAAGTGATTTTATGATTTTGAAACGTTATGACCTAAAAATTGTGTTTATATACAAGAAAAATTATATTTTCACGAAGATCTATTTGGAATATGCTAAAATTAGAAACGTCAATGAAGTGTTAGTAAAAATGCTTAAAAATTTCAAAAACTTAAAACTCTTTGATAATATCTAAGTTCATACTATACTTTCTTACCTATCAACATAAAATTTAATCTTTAACAATTAAGTTGAAATTTTAGCTATATGACGTTTCTCAAAAACGTCATTCATTATATTCTCACACCCCTCATACACATCCCCCTTGTTACATTATTTTGAAATTATAATGAAATTTTTTATAATCAAAAATAATTTTGAAAATAATTATTTGAATGAAAAATTGATATCAAAATGTTAAATAGGACAATAACGAGCAAACAGAAATTTGATAGAGCAAACAAATTCATTCCGTGTCAGTTTCTAAAGCAGAAATAAAACAAAACAACAAACAAATTCTTTGCTCATCAAATTTCAAAAATATTCAGAAAAATATTTAATTAGATTTTAATCAAAAATAAATTCTAAAGTTGTTTTTATTTTTCTTGTTATATAGAATATCATTTGTAATAAATAACTTTTGTTATACACATACATACATGCATAGTCCCTTATTAATAAGAAAGACAGAAGCAACAAAAATTATTATTGAAATTCAAGAAAATATTTAAATTGTTAATTCAAAATTTTTTCTCAAATTTTCTAAAGACATCACAATACAAACTTTTATAATTAATTATTATAAATAAGATTCTTGAAAATTTCATTACAATAATTTTTAATAAAATATTATTTTTTTTTTGATTATTTTCATATATTGTGTAGGTTGAATTAAATCGTCAATATCTTAAAAATATTGGTAAACGTGGTACTGCTCATAAACAATTACAACAACAACAACAGCAGCAACAAGAGCAGTCACAACATCAAATTCTGCAATATCCAATGTTTTTACCATCATCATCAACATCATCACTGTTACAACAAAAATCTCAGCAATATCAAAATAAGCAGCAATTACAGCAACAACAACAACAACAACACAATAGAAATCGTCTACAATCGCATCCTTATAATAAAATATTTGACTTTTTAAGACAACAATCACCACAACAACAGCAACAACAATCACAATTACATGAAAATGGTGACTCAATTGGTGGAATTGGTGATGATGGTATTTCAGCTTCTGCTGCTCTAATAGCACGTAATGATTTAAAAGATAATGTTGATATGACTGATAACGAATTAAATGATAACAGTAATGATGATGATAATGATTATCAATTAAGGTATCTCTATCGCCTACATAAGAATCGGTTTTTAAGGGAGTGAATTTAAACAAAAAAAAAATAATTTAATAAAAAAAAAAAACATATTTATTTAAATATATAAAAAAAGAACACAAAAGTATTACATACGTTTACTTATATAATACATAAATGTATATGATGCCTAAAAACTCTTTTAACATTTCAAAAATACAAAAAATATTTTAACAAATAAAAACCAAAAATTAAAAAAAAAAAGTAAGTTACGCTAGAAGAAAATTTCAAAATCTTTTCACTTTTTAATTCTTCACAATAAAAAACAAAACCAAAAAAAAAAGAATGAAAAGAAATGGTAAACAAAACTGTAAAAAGCCCGAAAGAATGTGAAAGCACCAAAAAAATAGAGAAAATCTAAAAACAAAAAGGAAAAGTAACAAAATGTTGAAAAAATAATTTCAAATATTTCCAAAAAATGAAAAGGAATAAAATGCTTTTCAGCTTAAAAATTTCCTGAATTTTTTTTTGTTTTTGTTTTCTTTCTCGTACCCTAATTTTGCATGGGTTGTAAATTTTCAACATTTCAAATTTTCCAGATGATGTGCTACAAAAAAATAAAATGTTTCAATTTGATTTATTTTAAACACAGATTAAAAAGTTTTCCTAACTTTAATGATAAAAAAGTTTTTAAAGATTGGTTTTGTGTTTTTTTTTAAATTTCATATTTGAAAAATAAATTTTCACCTAATCAAATAAAATTTATTTATTTGTAATTTTCCGCAAGTTACCCATCGCATTTATGCAGAATATTATGACGAATAATTCACCACAATTTAATATTGTTCTTAATTTTTGAAAAAACATTTTGTGAATTTATTATTTTTGTTTAATAAAATGTTGTAACACTTTGGTTTTGAATAATGTTTCTTAAAATATCAACAAATTTAATTTAAATAAATTGAAAATTTCTGTTCATTAATAAATTGGTTAGGTTTTAATTAAAATTAATTGATTGATGATTTTATAAGCATAATATTTTTAATTAAATATTTTATGTTGTATGACAATTGTGTTATTGAATTGTAATTTAAAATATTTTGTTGACAATTCTTGTACTATAATGTGTAGAAGCTTGACAATTTTGTTGGAAAATTACACGACGGTCTATGTAAACAGCATAAATATTACAACTTCTTATATAATTTTTCTGTTTCCGTTTAATTTTTATAGCTTAAAGAACTGCTATGTCCATATGATATGGCATTTTCGCTGGATGAACAAAATGAAATGCATTGAAACAAAGAAAATATTAAATTTACTTGTTCTTAAATTTTGAATTCGCAGGTTCACAGAAAACATTGTGTTTAATCACAATATTTTCAATTATAAACAAGAAAATGTAGCAAACAATAAAAAACACAAAAAATAGATTATACCTTTTGTCAAAAATAGCTTTTAATTATGAAGTTTTATGATTTGAAAGTAAAAATCACTTATTTTTTCACTTAAGTTGTTTTAAATTGGTACCTAAATTGAATTGACAGTCATGTCCTTCGCATTTAATCCGAATAACAAATATTATTTACGACTAATTTAACTTTTATTGCAATAAAAATATACAAAAATAAAAATATAATGGAACATTCGTATATAATATACAATATACAAAGTTTTAAATCAATTTTAGTTTTCTTTGATTTAGTTAAAGACCCTTTTCAAGAAAATCTGACAGTTATTTAAAATTTTCACTTAAATTTTACTTAAGAATTGTTTGTTTTTAAATTTTCAGTTTAAGTATCCTCAGTTTGATTTTCATAAAATATAATGCATACAATGTTATTATTATGTACATCCAACGATATTGCCGTTTTCGGCATTAGCCTTAAGTGTCTAACAAAAGATTCCATAGTCAAAATTATTCTCCTAAACATTCTAATCACTATCGTTTTTGTAGATGTAAATTCACAATTTATTAACAAATTTGTCAAATGCAATATTCATAAAATTACATTTTCAAGTTAGTGAAAATTACTAGTACAACGGATCTGATCATTGGTGCAGTGGTTATGGCACCGGCCCTTTAACCGAAGGGTCTCGGGTTCAAACCCCGGTCAGGTCACTATAAAAAATTATATTCAATATTATATAACTTAATATGCAATACTAATAAATATTAAAAAACAAGTAATTTTCAAATATTCATAATATTCGATACTAAAAACTAAGAAAAATAAACAGTAAATATTAATAACCTCAAATAATTAATATAAATAAAACTACGGCAGGCTAGTCACCTACCTAGCTAACTCTCTATGACTATAAGAAACTAGGGCATGATAGATATCATGCACTAGCCCTATACTCCTCCTAGGAGTAAAGAAGGAAAAAAACTAGTACAACGGCAACATTCCTTTAATATTATAATATTATGTATTTGCGTTCCATTTTTGAGTACAAACTATTCCTGAGTAGTCACAACTGAGCACAAAAACTATAAAGAGCAAATGCGTAGATTGTCCTGTGTATTAAGTTACTTTTTTACCGGAAGGTGGAAACAGTATTTCTTAATTAACAACAAATATATTTTGTGTTTTCGGAGTTATTTTGGAATTTAATTTTAATATTTGAAATGTCTTTTTTTATTAAATTCATATTTTAACATAAAAAAAGCTATATGAAAAAAATGGTTATACCGACAAAGACCGTTCCATTTGCAAACTTTACATGTACGTCCATCAGATGTTTTAAACGCAAATAATAAAATTATATCTGTCAACTGTCAGAATTAATGTCAATATTTTTTTATAATTTGATAAGGTTGTACATAATACTTGTTCAACAATTCAATTCAGTTTTTTTTTATTAAAATAATTTAAAATTAAACAACATTTTCTAAAATTTATGAATTTATGAAAAACAAAAACTAACATCAAATTTGTATCAATTATGTATATGTATTTTAATCTTAAAGATTTATTAAAATTACTAACAATATGTAACTGACATCTAATGTATAAAAATCCTACAAAATTTATTACTAAAGGACTATTTTTAATAAAATTTAATACAAACTAGTATTTAAAATTATTGAAAAAATAAAATGTAAGTTAAATTCCATTTACTTTCTTTATGATATTGTCAAGAAAAATATATTTAAAAATATATTAAATTAAGTAAATTGTATATAAAACTTACATAATTACATACAGATGCATTAAAGAGAATTCTGTTTAGGCTTGAAAATAATTTTTTTTTTAACTTAATATTGGAATTTTATATTAAAAAATTTTATAAAATACAGTGGAGGAAATTAGTAAATTTTTATTTTTAAATAAAATTCAATTTTATATTTGCATTTTCAAAAGCAGTCTTAATTTTGCCTATAAAATATTTAGAATTAATAACAAAAAATTAATGTTAAAACAAAATTTTTGAAATTTTATTAAAAAAAAACCAACTGAAAACAAACCATATAATATAAATAACATTTAATTTTTTTCTTTGCTAATATAATAAAAAAAAATATGAAATTGTGTAATTAATTATATGTATATGACATACGAAATGTATGTAATCTAATACGTCATATGTACATATAAATAAAAAAAAAGCATTATTCAAAACTACACAAAATATAAATAAACTGTTAATTATTTACATCTATATACATATATATACATATTTATTACACATACATTACATATACATATGTATATGTAAAAAACAAATGTAAATGTAAATTAATTAAAAAATAAACGTTCCCATATAATAACGAAAAGGACAAAAAAAATAATAAAGCTTTACAAATAGAATTCGATGTTCCATAATAATTTAAAAAACTACAATAAAAAATAAAATACCTAAAATTATTAAATTTAATTAATATCCATGCATATGTATGTACATACATGCCTACATACACACATATATTACGATTTAAGGGCAACAAAATTAATGTCAAAAAAAAAATCCCTCTCAAATTCCTCAACTTTTCAGAATAATTATTAAACACATACAAAATTTTAATTAAAAAAAATTTATATACATACATCCACCTATATAAAAAAAGTATATTAATAAATAACTTAATAATAAATTTTTATGTATGTATTATTATAAAATATATTAATATATAGACTTTAAAGATTCATCTTTATAATATAGAAGAGGTTAATGGATATTTAAACGAAAAGCATCGTATTAAAAAAAAATATTTTTTTTTTATATTATTTTAAATAATGTGATGTTCCCCTCTTGGCAGCTATACAAAAACAAATTCAAAGGAATATTACATATTTCGACCTAAATTTGACATTTACATATCTACATAATTAAATTTTGAAAATGTCCATTTTGTTCTTTCGTTTTTGAGTCATAAATGTGCTAAAATATAATTTTATCTCTATGTGTTAAAAACTTTTGTGTATACAAACATACTAACGTAATTATTATATACTCAAAATACGCGTATGTATATGTACATACATCATAAAATAAAATTATGTTTTACATTTTAAAACATCTGGTATTGAGCTTAAAACAAAATTTTAATATTAATTTAGTTTTTTTTTTTAGAACCGAATTTAAATTTTTTGAAAATGAAATTAAAAATATATGTGAGTTCACTTGAGTTCGCAACCGTCGGCAATCTTTCGGATAAAGAAGCAAGGGTACTCCTTTTTTGGGTGATCTTAATATAACAGTTATTAATAAACTTTAATATTTAATAATTTAATTAAATCCAAAATTAACCTCCAAGCACGTACACCAGAAAATTACTCTTCACAATTGCCACGAAAAATTGCTTTCATAAAAAATGTTTTTCGAAAAAAATTATATTTTTCGAAATTATTTTTTCTCAAATTTTAAATGTTTAGGGAAAAGTAAAAAACATGAAAATTAAATTTGAGCCGGTTAGGATTACCCATATCATGAGAATGAACTATGTGTTGCAATATTTTATACCATAAAGAAAAATATTTGAGGTCAGCGAACTCGTTTCGATTTATCATTTTCAGTTAAGATAAAATGTTTCAGGTTCTTCCCGATTTTCTTAAATATTTTATAACAAATTCCTTTAATTATTAAAGAGTGGCAAAATAGCCATATAAATAGCCAGAAAAACATAAAAATTTTCAGATAAAATCGAATTTAATAAGGCATTCTGAAATTGTAACTGATTTTCTATTTTATTTTAGATGATTTTTGGTTGTAAATGTATTTTTAATTAAAATGGGTAAAAATTACTAAAAATTTTCAGAAAATTTTAAAAATATTTTTTAATTTATGACTCTCTCTCGATTTTAACAATACTCTCATACCTCACTTATAATATTCATTTGCATAAAAATTATTTATTAATTTTTAATTAAAATTATACGAATCTATTCTTTTGAATAAAATAATTACATTTTAGTTTTACATTTTTCCAACCCTTTCGCAAATCGTATCTTATACGCATATCTTGCACAAATTTACTAAATATACAACGCTCTTAATTTTTATCCTATTATATGCTATGACTACCATATTAAAGTTACATTTTGCTAACACTATATACTATATTATTTAATTATATAGTACGAAAACTATATATTTCTATATATATTTTTTATATAAATGTATTTTAGTTTTTAAGTAAAATTATATGTCAGTATTATAAAACAAGAGACAAAAATTTAAATAAATCAAAGGAATGGAAACTATTAAGAAGATAATTATTATAGAGAAGAAAAAAAATAAATATTTTACAAAATATATTGCAGAATAATATTATTCGGGAAATCAGGATTAAAATATAATTTCGAAATTTGATAAAAATAAAATCATATACAAAGAATTTAATCATAAAAATTTTAACTATCTATAATATTTAAAAATTTATTTTGTTTATTCTATTATCATTACCCTTAATTACTTTAATTAATAACCATTTCAAAATTAATGAAAAAAAAAACAAGAATCCATTCATATTTGAGATTTTATTCCAAATATTAAGAAATAAAAAAAAACAAAATCCATTAAAAAAAACTAAAAATTAAATGTTGTTGAAAAAAATTTTAAAATAAAAAAAAATCAAATAAATTTAAAAAGAAATACCAAAAAATTATGTATATTAAAAATAAAATGTAAATATTATTATTAAAAATATTATATTTAAAAATAAAATACATACAAAAACCAAACAAAAAATTATATAAATAAAGGAAGTGATTTTAAAGAAAAAACTAAGCTAAATTTGTTTTCGCCTTTGTGTGCCAAATGAGCTTTTTAGGCAAAAGTAGCTACGGTATCTGCAATTTCTTTTAACATTTTGCCCCGAGTGATTAAGTATATCAAAGACAAACTACACTTATAACAGCTTAGACTTGGAAACACGTTTTTGACAAAAACTAGCACTTTGTATTCTATAGCGCCGAAAAAGTAGGAGGAATTAAATTTTGATTTAACTAATTTACTTAACGTATAACAGTTTAACATGAATTTATGTGCACTTAAAATTTTGTGTGCCTAATCAATTACAACTAAGTCTATTTGAGAATTTGTAATATAGCAGAAAAGAATATTCAAAGTAGCTGCTTAAAGAACTAGTTACAGATAATTGCAAATATTGAACTTTAATTGTTTACCTTATTTATAAAACTATTATTGGTAAATTTTCCGAAGAATTTTGTTTATAATGAGAAAATTAATTTAAAGGTAAAATCTATTTGGTAGGGCAGGAAATAAAATTCAGATTTCAGTAGTAAAATATTTTCACTGTTTCAATAATTGCCTTCGATTTTTGCTATTTTTGTGTAATTTTATTTTTTTTTTACAAAAATTATTAGTAGTAGAGTCCAAGCCACTAGTTTAACATGGGTAGTTTTACTAAAGATAAACAACTAGATAATTGAAATGTGAATATAAATGTGAATACAATTATATTGCAAAATATACGCATAATACTGTATATTGTAATAATAGGTCCAATATAATTTTATTGCTAAGAAAAATCAATAGAAAAGTTGATTTAATTTTTCTGTGTTAAGTACAAGCCGATTCAAACTAATTTGAGATGGAGGGATTAGAAAAAGTTTTTATATTTATAATTTATATTTTGTACATACGAGTATGTAAGTATATACTTGCTTAAGCATACATATCTGCATATTGCAACATATTATACATGCACATTACATATATATACTCGTACACACGAATGCACAATATACTATATTATGTACATACATATAAGTTTTCAATTCATTTGCAATAGATTATCCGCTGGTGATCAGGAGCTTTTGGATTAAAACCAAAACTCCTTTTCTTGAAATTTCTTTAAAATACTTTTTGTATGTGTGTTTAAATTTCCTTATTTTTGTATGTACATACAAACATGGTTTTACATTAATTAAAAATAAAATTGATTGAGCGACCAATATTAAACACATAGGAAGCTTGTCAACTACGATAAAATGTAAATTTTGATCACATGTATACCGTCAGTAATTCAGAAGAGCAAGTCTTTAAGAGAAGAGTCATGTAAACCGTTATTGAAAATGTTTCAGAAATCGCTACTGATTTATTTCGTAGTATTTATATTTTGGTAAAAGAAACTTAAAAAGAAGTAGTTTTTGACAATATAAGAGCTTCTAATATAATCTTAAGGATTTACGTGGATGTTGCACAAATCCATTAAGAACTAATTTAATAAAGAAATTAAGATAAAATTATTAAATAATTTTACTGAGATAACTATATAACTGTTTTTAATTAAAAGCTAATACAAATCTATAAAGCTAATAATAAATTCTAAATCATCCTAAAGATATGCAATATCACTTACAGTTCTTCATTCAAATTATCAAAATTAAATGTGAAAAATGAAATGAGAAAATGAAATTGGTTACTTTAGAAACCAATAGTATAAAACTTATCTTTCAAGAAATGTTTCTTAGTTTATTTTACGCTCTTGAGAGGGCATAATAAATTAATTCATTCTTGTAATGTGATTAAATTATTATTATAGTACCTATGAATTGTTATTTTTATGCACCATATATACCTGTTTTAATACAAGTATAAAGCTATTGTTTGGATAACGAATAATGAGTAAAATAAAAAGAAGGGTAGATAAAGAGTTTTATTAAGAATTACTTTTCAAAGCCTTTTAGTATTACGCTTTGTGTTTGGTAAACAAATACAATCAATTCCAAAAAGTTTCTGTTTTCTCTCCAGTCTAATTAAAAAATAATCATGTAAATTGATTTGTTTCAGCTAAATATTACTTATATATAAGTACTGAATTATATGAACTATGTATACATGTATCGATATCTGTTTGCACTTGCTTATACTTAGAGCTGTTTTAATAAATACTATTTACAATAAGCTATCTATAATCAAATTTCGATATGAGATTGTAAAATATTTCATTTTAATTCATTATAGATCCAAAAACGTGATCAGTTTTATAAAGGAATTATTTAAAAATTATTTAAAACTGTTGTTTATGTATACATCTACTATAAATATTTTCTATATGACTTTGTTCTCCTTAGGGTAAGTTATAAAATTATAAATTACACAAATTTTGTAATTAAAATAATGAAAAACTTTTTAAATAAATTTTAATCTAAAATTTATATGAAATAAATTCATAATTTTTTTCAATAATGAAGTTTTCTTCAAAATTCTGTCCCATTTAGCTCTTTTGTTTTTCTTCTATTATTTTTCTGCTATAAATTAAATTTAACAAGATTTTATCATTTCGGTAACTACCATGACTACTACTACCTATTTTTCAGGATTCTTATTTTTATTTGTATATTTGATAGAAAATAAACAGTTAAATATAGAACTATATTAATAACGTCGACATAGAAAAAATTTAATAAGAGGGAAAAGTTTATCAGCCTGTAAAAATCCCTCTGGGAAATTTATACTCCTTTAAATGGAAAAGAAAAATTTTGTGACTAATCATGACTATCTAAAATAATAAAAAAAAATAAAACGAAAATAACAACAAATAATTTTCTTGTTTGTCGCAATAAAGTTCATTGAAAAATAATTTTCTCATCAGTTTGTCATCATTGAAAAAGAGCGAAATAAAACAAAATTTATTAGAGTTACAGTAAAAGTACGAAATACATTTACTGTCTTACATCTAATTTGTATGAAAGAAAAAAATTTAATTAAAATACTAAAAATACTATAGAAACCAAGCTTAAATTATATGAACTTGGGACTACAAATTATAGTTTTAACCAACTTCACAGTAACAGTTTGCTAATAAAATCTAATTTTCAAGTTTCTGTTAAATTTTTCTTATAATGTAAAGGCAACACTTAATTTTTTTCGCAAAAATTAAATATTAAAAGTACTTGGTTAGAATTTGTTAGTAAGAATTCCTTTAGTAGTAGATTCACTATTATTAAATCTTGACCAGCATATTATTGTTTCGTAACCATTGCTTAAAATATTATGAAGAATTCAAAGCTGAATACCAATTATCATACAATTATTTTGCCCTCTACAATATAACTATAAAACTATAAAATAATTAATTTAAATAAAACTGAAAACAGTGGCAGAAAACAATTTTTTAAAAAATAAACTTTGTATAGTTTGTTTAAAATTCTATTCATGCCAATTAGAAATTTTTCTTTAAAGCCAACCCGAAATTTCGTACTTTAAGAGGAACTTCTTCAACGACTTTGTACGTAAATTTAAAATTTTCTATTTTTTTGGTGGGCAAATGAATGAAAAAATTAATTGTTAAGAAAAAATGTGAAATTAAAATTATTATATTACATATATACGTACATATACAATTAATTTACGAAATCTATCTACAATAATTCTAAAAATGTTTTTATTTTAAACTCCATTACTTCTTGTTAATTAAATTTAATTGTGTTAACTAATTATAATTGAAAGAAATTTTAAAACATTGAAATTAATGAAATCATTAAAACTCCTACAAAATATGAAATTCAAACGCAGTAATCAAAATAAATAAATTGTAAATTTTTAATTACCAAATTAAAAAATAAAATTTTCACTTATTAAAAATTTCGTGTAATAAAATTCTTATATATGTAGTTAAAAAAATACTTAGTCCCTTGCCATACTTTATTTTTAAAATGATTCATTGAATCTAAATAAAAAAGAAAAAACAAACATGACAAAATTTTATATTTTTATTATTAAAAATGGACACTCCATAAAACATTTTATTTTCAATTTTTAAAATAAATTACAAATTCCAAATCTGTAACGCAAATTGTACATACAAATCTAAAACTCTGATAATAATCACAGTCACATTTAAAATTTCATTGAGTGATAATATAAAAATTAAATGTTTCAGCCCATTTTCCTTTCATCTCTGTAGTTAATTTATTTTTGACTTTTTTAATTTATTTAATATCACAAAGTAATGCAACACCACGCATTGTCCAATGTTTTGGATTGAAATCAGTTTCAAAATCAATTGAACCAACATATTTGGCATCTGTTCTTTGTGGTTTTCTATATATTGGGCATTCATATAATCTTGGATCTTTGCCAGCTGTTGTATTAATTGCATAAATATAAATTATTGGCATTTGCTCATATAAAACTTTCGCTCTTGACTCAACTAATTTTCCACTTTTTCGATCCAATGAAGCACCTATCAATAATAAAAATTTTACATTTAATTATAAAATATAATATTATTAACAATACAATATATACAAACATAATACAAAAATAATGATATGTTGTATGTACAAATGTTTATTAAAGAAATATTGATAAATGTTTTTATGCAGAAATATAAGATGACAAAAGTAACAATACAATAATAATATTATTTAAATTTAAATAAAGATTTTATATACAAGCAATCGTACCTACATTCATACATAAGTAGATGTCACAAAAAAATTTCAAAAATTTTCCTGATTGTGTACAGTAATAAAAAAAAAGGATCAAAAACGAGGACAATTTGAATCTTTTTAAAGAATCCAAATTTCACATTTTATGTAAATATTTGTTTCAAAAAAAAACTGTTTGTTTATTTTTTTCTGCTCTTACACGAGGGAGGGAACTGTAGAAGACCTTAGGAAATATACATATTCAAAAATTAAAATTTAAATTCTTGAAAATTGAAAAATTTACTATTTAAATAAATAAAATCTAATTAAAACTTATTTGTCACTCACCCTAACTGAGAACTTATAAGGAAAAATTCTTAAAGATTATCTTGTTTTGATCTTCATTTTTATTTTTTATAAGAAAAGTGTGGGAATACCTTTATCTAATAATGATACGTAGGCGAATCTATATATGAATCAAATTATTATTTCTAAAAAGAAATGTTTATATAATATGTATATATGCGTAAAATGAACCTTTCTCAAGAATCATCAGTGCTCTGCTCAATGCATTCCGGATATTTCATGTATCAAATTGTCAAAGGAACCAATATAATTCTATTGTGGTGAATTATAATGACAAACAGTTTTCCATCAATTTGTGACAATATGTCATGTGTGTATCAATGTCAAAGTTCAATTATTTTTTGAAAGAACAATGACAAGCCTACATATTAAAGAAATAGTTCTAAAACTTTGAGATTACTTTGTATATTCTAAACGAGTACTGCTCTTCTTTTATACCTTTTTCTTATATAATTTCATATAAACACATACTCAAACATGTGTTTGATTTGCTTGATTTACACACAACTAGGTAAATCGATTAAATTTTTTGACAACATCCATATACACACATGCATATGTATATTACTATCCTAGAATTTCCAAGAAATGCTTAAGTATATTTTTGTTAAGTAAACACATATTATACATACATATATATAAATATAAGTATATATGTATATGTAATTTATCTTATGAGAATTATTTATTTAAATTTCATTAGCGGTTCAAAGGAAATTCAAAATATCAAAATTTAATTTAAAAGTTTTTAATTTTCTATTTAAAATTAAATTAATTCTGGTTAAATGAAAAATTTGGAGAAGGGGAAAAAATGTAAAGCAGTAATAATTTTTAATTTTCCACAATTATATTTTAAAGAAATTTTTAGAAAGGAATTTGTGAAAGAATGAAATTTGTCAAAGTTACGTTGTTGATGCTGTTTATGCATACATACAGAACACACATACTTAAATAAACATAGAAGATAACACTCTTTACATTTATTCCAGTAGCTACATGTAAGTAGTTCCGATTATGTACTCTCATGCCAATGTTTAATACGAATTTCAAAATAATTTATTTTATCTGTGAAATTCATATATACTCGTGTTTTCGTTTACGTCTTCTTCTATCCGCAGACAAAAAAACATGACGCATTTCTAAATGTACATCTTAAGAGGGGGCCATTTATTAAAACTAAAATTGCAAAATTGAGTGGCTACAAAAATGGGTGTGGTATTATACTCGTATTATCACAATTTTACAAAAATTTCTTAAAACAAAAAAAAAACATTTTTATTGTGGAAATATTCAATTAAATTCGCTTATATATTCTCTCATTTTGACCACGGGCTATTTAAAATAGTGTGAGTAACCTACAACATTGTCTATTTTATGAATTTTATTTTCAGATTCCAATGAATTTATTCTTAATGGTATGCTCTTTTTAAATTATAGTACAACGTTCTAGATAATATACGCCTCGAAAAACGTAAACTTGGTTTGTAGCAGAAAAGTTTATTTTCTGGGGCTTGATTTCAATGAAAAGTTTGTCAATAATTCTTTCTAACTTACATAATTCGAATATAAATTTATAAACAAATCTTGTAATTTTTTTCTTATTTTAATAATTATTTGAAATGTGCAATCGGGGCTATTAACATGATAATAACTCACTAAAATTGGTGTACTTTTCTTTTGGAAAAATTGGTGCATATGCGATCACAATATCTTCCTTATTGTCTGAAATGTGGTTGCTTGTTTGTCAAAGTGATTTGCACCTGACTCGAAGTGATTTGTACTAACAGTGTAGCAATAACTTTTCATTTTCCAAAAACATTTTTCGCATTTTTTATTTTATCATGTCGCCTACTAATTGAGTTTAATACTACTTCTTTTCCACTAGTAAACCCTACTAAAAATATACTTACTTTCATTTTATTATTGGAGGCTTATTTACAAAGTTCGTTCGACAATTTTATATACGTTTTCTTACAGTATGTATATTACGTACGTATAAATGTGAATTATGTAAATTTTCTCTTAATTCATTCATGTGTTAAAAAGCAGATAATTCTACACCTAATATGTATCTAAGTTAGTTTAAACAAATTTTCAAAATAAAAATTTTCACATTAAAAATATTGTTCTGTTCCCCATGCCAGAGAAACTTATTCATAATATATTGGACTTGTATATGGTATTAATCTTAAAGAAGTTCCAAAATACAATTGCAAAACATATCCAATTATTATATTTTTTACCTTGTATATCTAAGGAAATTTCAATGGAAAATCCGAAGATTTTAAAAGATTTTTAACAAAAATCTACATATTTAAAAAAAAATAATTTCTTAAATAAATTATTAATAATCCAATTATGAAATCTAAAAATACAACATTTTACATCATTAAAAAAATTTTATTATTTGCTTCATTCTTTATTTAGCTATTTGCCAGATCAAGCAAATTCGAGTATTATTATAAAATTTAGGTACTTATTAGTTACTGTGAATTTAATGAGTCTTAAACTATATCAACAAGCATATACCGACATACGTAGCATACATAATTGTATTATTTTATATATAAGTGAGCACAGTGGATATTTACAGTTTTCAGTTAATTTCCCTTTAATAATTAAATTTTAATCAGATTAGTCAGATTGAGTGTCTAATTGTCTTACTTACAAAATTTACTTATAAACAGACCGTGACATCGAAAATGCAGGAAAAAACGTTTTACTACAGTTTAACTACTAAAGAAAACAGTTTAAAAACAACTGCATTGTAAAAAAATACGAAGTAGTATTTAACTGTTCGGATTACTATATAATCATTTTAAAACAAATGAATGTCAAATGAACTATAAAATATAGTTTGGTTAGGTATTATAAATCGTTAAATCTGGCACGAAAATTCTAAACAAATTTGTTAAACCAAGTCAAATTCTTTGAATGAATAACCTTAGCAACACTCTTTTTTTACATGCAGTAAACAAGTAGTCTCAATCTTTTAAATACGCTGTTTGCTTTCAAACTGCCTACTTAAAATCGATTTTTAACAATTTAGAACCTGCTACATTGGATAAATTTTTTATTCTACAATATGGATCACAAATTTAGTGTGACATTGTTAGGGAGATACGTGACACAAAGCGAGCCTTAAATTTGGATTATCATTAAAATTTGGATGTCAGGGAAATTTTTTTTTTCCCTTTTCCCACTCCTAGGAGCATAGTGCATGATATCATAGTTTCATTACGTCATAGAGTTAATACTAGGTGGGTGACTAGCCTGCCGTAGTTCTTTATATTAAATATTTAAGGTTTTTATTTTATTATTTTCATTTTTCTTAGTTTTTAATATCGAATATTATTGGTATTCGAAAATTATTAGTATACTAATTTTGTTATTTTATAAGTATTGTATATTTTAAGGGTCACTGTTTGTGAGTGATAATAATAGTATAAAGAATTCAATACAGCAGCTATAGAATGTAAACTGTCTACATAAGTACTAAAGTGTTTCTATTACGTGCAAAACACCATTGTTTTCGTATTTTTCTACTCTAAAAGACGCAAAATTTTAATTAATGCTGATTAGTTTGTTGTTTTTTACAGGTACTTAACCTGTAATAAAAAATTTTTCATCTTATTCTTCAATTTATAGATTTTAATTGTGTTCTTTTATAATTGCTTTTAAATATTTCAAATTAATTTCACCATTCATTCCCTTTCGTTATTTAAATGAAAATTAAATTAAAAATGAAAATTTATTAAAAACTTTCAGCGTCATACATTTTCATAATAAAATTAAATAAAAAGTTTTTTTTTAATATTTTACCACAATTCCCATTCAAACCATTAGTTGAACCTACATATATCGAAAAAGCAGATTATAAAAATATAGAAAAACAAAATCCATTTTACTTTTCAAGTCAATGTTACAATCAAAATTCATTATATAATTTTTACTTCAGCTCAAAAGATAGAAGGTGGATCCTTTTCTTTTTTTATCAAAATTAAAAGTTACAAATTCATAAAAAAATTTGCTCGTTAAAGATAAAAGGGTTCACAAATTCAATAAGGGAATACAAAAAAATTAAAGGATTCTATGTTCAGCTAGTTCTTTTTAAAAAGTACAGTAAGAAAAAGTCCTTTGTGTAAAAATTGAATTTAAATTTAATATTGTTTTAGTTTTCTTCATCTAATTTTAAATTAGTGTTATACGTGTACTCGTAATAACGCCGCTATGACAAAAAAACATATGGAATCGAAAATAAAGTAGTAAAAATTCTATTTTGAAACTACTTTTCGCAATAGAATATTTTGCCTGCCTCAATCTACATTCGTATTATGACAAATTTTTGTACTGTACTTTTTAATATATTTATAAAGAATTTTTATTCAAAAATCTTCGGCATGCAGGTACACTGATTTATTAACATTAATTTCTAATTTTATCTGTAATTTTATAGCGCGAAATTACATAAAAGTTTTTGCAACTTTTAGAGCCACGGATAAGTTTAAATAGCACTAAATCAAGAGCTGGTTTTAAGGAAAATATTAATCCTTTCAGTTTGAGTTTAAGTCATTAATTAATAGATGTGGAAGAAAGGCTATTAATTCTTTAAAATGGCATCGAATTATCCAAATTATGATGTTTTTAATAGAATGAATCAAAGTTATATTTTGACTTAGATCCAAATTTCCAGATGCTTAATTGTTTGTATTGAGCAAATCATCATTTTGACGCTTTAACCTACATATTATACCATCTGAATATCTATACTGTTTCATATAAACCTTAAACCTTAAAATTATTGTTTGAGAAGACAAACTTTTCTGAATGTAACTCAATCGTTCAAATCGGAACAATTACATTCAAACAAATTTTTCACAACCAGAACATTTTTAAACAAATTTAAACAAGATTTGAATCTTGTTGTAGTTGGCTAAGCATATATTGGATTCCAAGTGGCCAATTTATCCACTTCAAACTTCAATTAAAAGTTATTTGAATAGCAGAACAACATATAGCCGTTGTTTAGAATTATTTTTGGAAAAATCACGAGCAAATACGCCACAACATAAACCCACATCGAATTTTATTTTGGTAAAAGTTAAAAATTTTTTTTTATAATTGTTTTAAGAAGCATTAAAATCTTTCCTCAAAAGGTGGATAATTGAATCTACATAAACGTTATATTTTTAAAAGAATGTGTGTGTGTGTGTGCTGTTAAAATAACAATACGTTCAGTATCTTCTTTCTTTTTACAATTGTAGGATTTTTGATTGTTGTACTTTTTAACTATTTTCTTTTAATGTTTGATTTAAAAAAAAAAGTAGAGAAGCACCAAAATGGACAATAATTGCTGTTAAAAAGCACTTTTCACTTTATTTTTTCGTTTACAAAACACATAAATTCACTCAATGAGCTTCCCTTCTACTATTTTTTAATTCCAGTAAATATTCGTTTAATTAAGTTATTTGGCCACTTCAGCTATTATTATATTGTAATTTACAATTTTATATAAAAAAGAAACTAATAGTATACATGAATTTTATTAAGTAGAAGGTGGTATACAAAACGATTTCAAATGTAAAACAAGAAAAAAAAATTACAGAATTTTATGAATGAAATAACAATAAAGGAATAAACTAGAAGGACGAAAGATTATGTATACTTCTAGGATTAAAATAAAAGGTGAAACCTTTTAGAGATAAAGTAGAAACAAAAACCAGAAACAAAGAGAAATAATAATATTTTGGTTTATTAAAAAGTATTTGAAAAATGGGTCATTTATAAATTAAGTTGGATGTTTTGAACCTTTTTTATAGATGAAAAGTAAAAATAAATTAAAAAATCAAATGATGTAGGAAATATTAGTATATACTTAGCCAATTTATATAATGTCAAAAATAAAAGTTATAGTTTTAACAGTTGAATAGCAAATTACTTTTAAGAACATCAGTAAACTTTGAAAATTTGTTGCCATGTATAAACTAGGAAATAAAATTTTAATCAATAAAAATTTTTAACTTATTCAAATCACTTTTGTAGCCTCAATCATAATAACGCGGCTCAGTTTCAAATTCAGTAGTTAAAAGTAAACTGAAGCTCAAATAGACACTAGAAGACCAAGATGTGTGTATTTACCCTCTATCAACACTGAACAGTGTTGTTGTATACAGTGAATTTTACTTAAAATATTTTTCAATTAATTTCAGAAAAAAAATTATCAATTTTTATAACACAATTTTTAGATTTCCCGCATTATTAGTATTTAATATTCTCAAATCCAAGAATTTCAGGCCATAATTTTTGTATTTTTATACAAACATTTATATATACATAATTATATGCTTTTACTACGGCTTTTATCCTTTTTATTTAAATAATATTCAAAACAGAACAAATAAAAATAAAAGAATGAAAAACAGAAAAATGGAACGAAAAAATTGTAATTTCTATTTATTTCTCCCTTAATACTGTTATTTACAATAAATATTTACCTTCTAAAAACAATCCATGTACGTAGACTCCTTCAGTTGGATAGTCTGTGATATCTTCTTTAACATATCGGGTTATTTGATTCTGTAACACGACTGAATCTAGAGCCCAACCTTTGTGTGCTCGTGTTACTTCCTAATAAAGTTACCATTTTTAAAGAAAGCAAAGCAAAAAGAAAAAAAGTAATTTTATAAATGAAACTTTCCTTTTCTCTTTGCTTTTAAGTAAGCAAAGTAAACGCAGTTTATATACAGTTTTGTTTTTCATTATTATAGAATTAAAGGAATAACATTTAAAATAATTGAGTTTTAAATTCGTTCAATAACAATGCCACTACTGCTCAGTTAGAACTGATAATGGAAAAAAAAGCAAATATCAGAAATTAAAGTTTTCGATGCAAACGCATTTTGTTGCCTTTCTTTTGTTTGCTTTTTAAAAATTGTTCGGGTGTCACACTAAAGGCGAGTTTTTGAATAAATTTTTATGTTTTGGTTTTGTCGAAAATATTTAATCATAAATAATAACCAGTTTGGTACTTGTCTAAGCTTTCTTTCATAATTTAACAATTTTAGATCAGAAATTTTATTTGCTCTTAAACCTACACCAACTAGAACTCAATTAAACCGAAATTCTGTTGAATAAAAGAAAAATCAATTAATTTAAAATTCATGAATGCATGAACACGCTGTTACTATATTACATCTTGCAGTTTAATAAAAAATTTAAATAATTTTGAAAAGAAAATTAAAATATTGAAAATTTTTACGTTTATAAAACTGACTATGCTATTCTTACACGTTGCTGTGCCTTTATAAATTGTCTACGAATTTCTGATGGTAACACTTGCATAATGAATATGAAAGTCTATTCAGAGTAAGAAGTAAATAAATTTTTAATATTTGTTTATGCAAATTGAAATTGAATTTTTTTCCTTGTCATAAACGAACTCCATTCATATTGTACGATCGTATATGAATGTAAAATGTAATCTACATTTTATAATCTATCAAGGATAATAAAAAACAATTTTTAAATAAAATTTAATATTTGAAATCATAATATTGTAAATGTAAATCAATATTCAAAACATATATGCACTCGTATAAATAATAATGTAAATTTAAAGCCTAACAATTATGGATGAGATTATGTAATATAATTTTATTTTACACATAATGCTTTAAGTGTTTGAATTCCATCTCGAAATCTTCTTAAAATTACGTGATTGTCTTTTTAACCTTTTGTCAACATTAAATAATTATCACAAAAAATAATAACAAATTTGTATCAATTCAATGAAGCCAAATTCAATGAAATGTAAGTAGCACATTTCCCTAAAAAGCAAAATGAAGCGTATTAATCTACATTCTTAAATTATGTTCAATTATTCGTAAAATCGAAGTCGACAGCTATTAAGGGAAGTAAGATAAATAACTATATTTTTTTAATTTTGTTTTACCGCAAATTTTTAATTTAATAGAAGTTAAGAAAGGCTTACATTTTTGGAAAAATAAGAAAAAAAATTAAAACTTTGCAAATTTTGAGAGGGAGATGGCAAAAATATGGTCGTCGCAAAATAAACCATTCATAATTTTTAACAAACTGCTAAAATCTTAGACTTCAACAATATAACAAAAAAACTTACAATCTAAAAATAAATATGTCAGAAATTAAAAAAAAGGGTTTAAGATAACAATCTATGCTGTTTCGCAATAGAAGAAGCAACAATTTTTTTTTTTTCCCCGTGGAATCTAAAAAAATTTTAATGGTTTTAAAATTATTAAAAAAAAAAACGTATTTAGGATTTTGAAGAACTATGACTTTTAGAGCGCGAATGGTGGGTAAAAAATTTCTCCTACTCTCCTACAAAAATAGGTTTATTGCAATGATTCATTTATATTTAAAATTATAACTCTGTCTTTGAGAACGTAGATGTTTAGAAAATAGAGACACGGACGGACACTAATAAACACATTTTTTATCAATTTTATTAAAAATTTGTCAATTCAAGTTTTCGGAAAAGCTTGGAAGTTTTTTCAAAACTCAAAATCAATGCCTACTTTGCATCAAAGCTGAATCAAAATATTACAGCTTACGGTATCGAATTACATTTACATTCTGATTTAAATCTTGCTTTGAACTAAATTTAACAGATGCCACCCCAATTCATTTTTCGAATATACAGAAACATTACATTTGGGAAATTATATAAGATCAAATTTTAAATTAGAAACATAACCCTGTTCCGAAAGAACAAAAACCATATTTGACATCAAAAACTTATCTATATCTCAGTCGAAATATAGTTACATTTTCAAAAGTTAAACAACTTATTGCCGTTTTATAAATTGAAAAATTACCTGTCTCATTGCTGTTAAGAATCCTTGAGGATTGAAAAATCCAGTCATCCAAAAAACCTTTCACAAAAAAATATATATTATAATTTAAATACTGTATCTTAAACAATATTATAATAACTAAAATACGAAAAATAATTACTTTTGGTCTTTCAGTTGAACACCAAGTACGAAATTGTGTGTTACGTTCCAAAAGTTCTGTGTACCAAAAGCCTAGAGTTGTTGATTCCCATGAAATCTGAAAAAGAATTAATTATAAATTTATATGACACGCAATTTAATTTTTCAAATATTCTGTTATTCTTCAAGTGTTATTCTTCAATTGGAATTAGTGACAACTGTAATATTCACCAATGATACCGCCGTCATTACAAGCTTGTGTGATAAATATCGAAAGATGGATTTTTGTCAGTCAAAGTCTTATAATATACTATTCTACTGTCCTGTAGTATTTTTTAAAAACTTTGCGCTACGAACTGATAAAATAAGTAAATTTGGGTTACGATAATAATTTTTAACATGACCGAAATTCATATTTGAAGGTAAAAGTATAAAAATAAAGCTAGCTAGGCGTTTTAGGTTTAAAATTCAGTAATATTAGATTAATTATTCTTAAATTATTCCAAGCTCAACTGTTTTCGACTCAATTCCAAACAACAGTAGCTGCTAACTTGTGCAAAGATTTCATCACATTCGTTGAAAGTTAAACTTCAGCAGTTTTCCCCTTTTTTAATTAAGACAATTGAATTTCTATACTTTAATTAATAAAATTCCACAAATGAAATTCAATTTTCAACTTAATTTTTTTTTTATTTTTCCTCTTTTTCAGCTATTCCAGAAGAAACGTATAGCAATTATATTTTCAATTATACAATCCTTTGTACAAAGGTTTTTGCCATGTAATAAAAATTTTACAAAACAAAAGAAGAACAGCTTAACGAGGTTGTTTCGAATATAATTTAAAAGTTGGTATATTAATTAAATACATATGTAACATTATGAAAATGACGTAAAAATATTTAAGTACACTTCCAAATTCATTATAACATAATTTGTGCCTTATTACAAGCCTTTTTTTTTACAAAAACGCACCTTAATAATTTTAGCCTTTTATATTTATATTTTTTTTAAATTTATCTGACAAATGCCCTCTTTTTACTTTTGCTTTATTAATTTGGTCCTCTCCTAAAGGTAAACATTATTATAAATCAGGGACGGTTCAATTATTTTTTAAAATCGTATGCTAAAAATTTGTGTTACAGCATAATATTAAAATGTGTCTTTGGTCTTGAAATTTGAACACAAATTTATGCATTACAAGTTTTACATATCATATTATGAGCAAATTGTTTACTTTTTAAAAGTAATGAAACAACTTATATAATTTACTTATTATAAGTATAAAACATAAAAAGTACAAAGTTTAGGATGTATAATTGAATGTTAAAAAAATCTGATGTGGTCAGCACATAACCGACCGCATTGTGTATTGTCTAGTTAAATGAAAGTGTTACAGAATATTATAAAAATGTCTGTTAAATACTTCTTTCCAATTTTTAGGACATTAGTAAGCTTATAGTTAACATACCTAGAAAAATGTAAATTTGGCTCTTAGTATTCCCTGAAATGCTCGCCAGTTAGTTTCGGTAACAACCAGAGCTCAAATATCAAATTTCAAGAAATTTCATCAATTCGTTCCGTACATAAGGTGAAAAATGTAAAATCGGCCCGCAAATCAATTTTCGAACTCTCATCTTTCCAAAAAATTTATATGTTCATTGCTTTAATATGAAGAATTCATATATTAAATTTCAATGAAATCGGTTGATTATTTCTCTTTATATACACAAAAGTGTATGTTTGGCCCGTAGTAAACGTCCAGTTGCTGATGCCTGATTTGTTCCAAAAGCTAGGAATTTTCACGGACGGTCGAGCTGAGCTTACAAACAAAATTTCAAGTAAATCGGCTGAATATTTTCTTCAAAATGTTCAAAAATGTGAAACAGGCCCGCTAAAAAGTGCAGTTCCCGAGGCCGGATATATACCAAAAGTTGATCAATTCGTGCCATGGTGGAAGTAAACTTACATATAAAATTTCATCAAAATCGGTTCAGCCGAACTTGAGATACACACGTGCACACATAGACTGACAGACCGACAGGTTGCTAAAAATAGTTTATTTACACTTCCCTACTATGGAGAAGTACGTTCCCACCGAAAACTCGATATGCAAGATTTGTTGCCATCACATGACCTACCTATTGTTTACACAATACGGTCGGTAAAAATTACAAAATAGTACAACGTAATAATTAAGAAAAAACATTTAAATTTAATCATTAGAAATGAAAACTCACTTGAGATTTTTTTCACTAAAAAGTTAAAAATTTTACATATGAACTAGATAATTTCCACTTAGTTTCCCAAAATGAGAAAAAATGCGACTAAAATTTAAATTCCAATTTGATATATCTGAATTTTTTGCTAAATATCCATAATGTTTTGTGCTAGCCCTAACTCCAGTTCCAAAGATATTTTTAATGAAGTTTTCACTTCTCTAATATTAATAAATAATATAAAATTGTTAGCTATTCTTTTCCGTATGTAACACAAGATGATCATACTCGTAGAATGTCTCCAACTAAATGACCAAAAATAGGCAATAAAAATTCGAAAAACTTATCACGCCCCTGACAATTAATTCAAATGTGAAATTATTAAATAAAATATCAATTTTCACAGACATTTTGCAAATCCGATAACTCTATCCTTATGATAAAGCCAAAAAGTCAAAAGAAGACTATATTATACCTTATTATATCCTTGTAAGTTGTTAATCTATTATTTACTTATGCACGTACATTATGTTGGAGCATTTAAGCTATTATATTGAAAGTAAATAAACTGTCACGAAAAAGTTGTACGTAGTAAAATTTAAGAGAATTTTCATATTATACAACATTACTTATACGTTAACATAAAAATTATACAATTTTTTTTCTGTTTCTTTGAACTCTTTTTAGTTCGTGTATCCAACTCAACGGTTTTCACAACATTGTAAATACAAGACGAAATTTTCGTGTAATATGTTTGTTTCCCATTTATTTTGGATTTCATTTTCAAATGAACGAACCAGGATAAAAAGGATAATATTCCTTTCTAAAGTTACAAGAAAAGGAAACAAAAAATTACGAAGAAATGGAAATTAATCAAATAATTATAAAGTTTTCATATTACAATAAATAAAATTAGGAATAAAGGCAAATAGTGATCTTTAAGTGTAAACAATGTTTCACTGAACTTGATTAACACAAATTTAAACAATAATGTACTTTAAGCAGTAACTTAGGTTTAATATAAAGGTTTAATATAAAAATTTCAACATAACTTTACACCCTTCAATCTGAAAAAATATTACTGTTATTGTTTTAATAATTAAAAATAAATTTGAAATTTTACAGAAAAAATTTTTAAAGAGCACAAAGTAAAAATATTTTTACTTAAACATTAATTAATCCCTACAGTTTCAGTTTAAAAAAAAACAAATTCTTTATTACCTTATAGTACTCGTAGTCTGCAATAAAAAAATACAAATAAAATCTAAATTAAACTATCAAATAAAAATCAAAATAAAATTTTAAATAAAAATTTATCGCAAAAGCCGGCATAAAAATGAATAAGAAACTTGTAAATTCATACTTATAAATCTTAAGGTCTCTCCATCTATTGTAAAGAAAAAATATCTACATTCACCTCAATTTTTGCATTAAAATCTTAATTTTGAAATTAACAGCTACAACAGAGAGCAAGCAACTTTTAATATTTTGTCTATATTTCTTCTGCATTCTAACATTATTTCATATTTTAGCTTTTAGAAAACAAGTAATTTTAGAAGACCCTAGTTTTCCTTTAAAAACACAATATTCATTTACAATTCGAATTACTAGTTTGATAAATAACTTTCGACAATTGTTGTTTTATTTTCATAAAATTTCATCAAAAATAACAGAGCAATATTTAAATAACAGAGCAGAAAATATATTTATTGTTTTCTAAGCTCTGCAAATTAGTAGTACATTTTCAAAAGCAATTTAATAGGAGCAAGAAACCTCTAATAAATCGTAAAAAGCAAAAACAAACCATTATTACTAATTCTCAGCATTTTCAAAATATTTCGGAAGAAATTTTATATATGCATTCTCTCACAAATATCAAAACAATTCTTAACGGATAGTGACAAAAATCAGAAATATTTTTAATTATATGCAACGAGGTGCTGAAATCGAACAAAATTGTCCGCTTTAGGTATTACAAACGAATACACAAGTGTATATATTAACCGCAAAAAATTTATATGCTACACCTAGAAGTTTGAAACTTTTCACCTGTAATCAGAAATATTTTCAATGAAAAACTTTTTTAACCATAATAATAACAAATCGTTTCTTCCATTTCATTTAAATTGTAAAGGAAAACAAAAAAAATATTATTAGAAAAATTCAATTGGTTTTCTTTCTAACAAATAACTGTACATAAAATAGGAATGAAGAAGTGAAAGTTTTCTTCTATTTATCATCATCATCATCATCATTTTTATTTTATATCATTTCTGCCTTATATGTATGTACATATGTTGTTTTTGACTTGTTTTGATATTTGAAATGCTAAAATTTTTTATACGAGTAGAAGAAATTCAAAATGTTCACATATAAAAACCAAAAGAAAATCTCTGAAAAAAATCCCATAAAAAAAGGAAGAAATCCAGCTGCGTTAAAATTTTCATGGATCATAAAAGCAAAAACAAAGCAAAAATAAAAAGGATATTTAAGAAAGACGTTTACGAGTTGAGTGAGCGTTAAGAAGAAAAGCTCAGCATGAAGAAAATAAATCATCGTAAAAGATTTGTTCTTCTATTTATTTTTCTTTTAAATTCGATTTGAAAAGATTTTCGTAGCACTAAAATTATATCGTTAACTGATTTGATCACTTTCTGTTGACAACAGTGTTGGCTTTGAATTTATTTAAAACGGTTTGCGGTGATTTGGATTTACCAAATCGCTCGAATGCTATAACTGAATAACAATAATTTCTCTAATAAAATTTATTCTATTTGTTGAACTCCACAAGTTACATTATCAATTCTTTAATACAGTTTAGATATTAGGTTAAAATATGTGATTAGAACAATATCAACAATTCGCGATACAAAAATAATATTTTGACGTACATAAATCATGACTTATATCACTAATGTTATTAACGTTTTAATATCATTAATGTTTTGAGTAAGTTTAATTGAAAATTTTAAATTATTGTTTAAAACACATTTGATATTGCAGAAACACTTTCAAAAACATGAAACACAAACGTGAATAACATCTCAAATTTAATTTTGTTCTAATACAAACGATTAAGCTTTATTGCCATTCACTTTAGTGTACAATTTCTACACTATACATAGCTCGCTGAGAAATTAAATACCTACGAGTTTATCTAATTTAATAACTACTAATAGTTGTATTGAGAACAGGTTTTACTTTAGGCAACATTCATCCTTGCTTATAAAAGCGGATCTGAAGAACAATCAACTTAATTTCATCATATATACATACATACATATAACAAAATATCAGACGAATTAGATAATTTCAACAGAAAATCGTTCTTCAAAACAAATAAATTTAAAAATTCGAAATTATTTTGTTATAAATTTTACAACGATTTATGTCTACGATATCATAGAATAATTTACAAAGTTTTATTGATTTGATTCAAAATATGAAGGCGGACGTAATTTATGAATTTTTTGTAAAGAAATTTTTTTTATGAAATTGTTGATTTGATTTCTTTCTTCATTAATTTATTATAAACATAAAATATAAATATTTTCATTTATGTTCCCTCAGGTCCAAAATTAAGAAAATAAAATTATATATTATTTTAGTAATGCCGTCCATTGTTTGAATTCAAAAACAATTTCGTTTCCATCTCATTTCAAATAAAAAATTTAAAAACAAAAGTTGATATTTTAACTTACTTTCATCCATCTTTCTGGTATTCTTGCATCATACATGGCATCTAAAGATTCTCTTAACGACTGACTCATAACTATTGTACCATCGATTGCCAATTGTAAATCTGATAAACATGATTTGACCGCTTTAATAACCCGCTGCATTCGATCAATTTCTTGCCTATTTATTAGAATTAATTGAAATATCTAAATGGTCTTAAAAAGAAACTTGTTTTTTTTTAATTTTATTATACCTTAAGAAAATATTCATTGGTAGTAAGGGTCCCATACGATTGAGTGATTCTCTTACTTCATATGCATTATAAGGTGGTGGTAATTTACGCAACATATCTGCAGCCAGTTGATATACTATGCTTTCACGTGTTTCACCACCTGTGTTTCCACCCTCTTTCGGTTGTACACTAAGAATTGTGTCAAGAATACCTATAATTTTTTTACAAAATTTAGTGCAAATACGAGTATGTATACAATTTCTAAAAAAATTAAGTTTCGTTCATATAAAATTACCAGCGTAATTATTTTTGAAAATAAATTAACACGAGTAAATTCAGGCTTTTTAATTATTTACCCGAAATCAGAATTGAAATATAGCAACAGGTATATTTTAAAATAAATCACGCTTTTATTTTTCTATTGATCATTGGGTCGACTACTTCAAATTATTTATTTCATGACGGCACAATTTCAAATTTTCAAAATAAAACTTTTAAGTTGTAAGCAGCTTAAGATAACCGATCCATTTATATTTTATTTGTGGAAATTTGTAAAACTTTTATTAATTATTGCACTTGTATAAATTATTCTATTCGTACATATATGTATATACGCATGTATACCGAAACTGTTAGCAGATTTTGTAGCAGAAGTAAACCTTCAACATGGTAACTGAACAACAACAAAAATATTCCAAATACTTGATGTTTTCTTACCTTTAGCTGTATTAATTTGATATGTGATATCGGCATTCGTATGTAATCCAAAAACTTCAGGCGTATCGTTAATAGGTAACGAATTAATATAATCAACATAACCGTTAATATTCCTTGTAATTGGTACCTTATATCCTTTATAAAATTCAAAGCTTTGGGTTAATAATGACTCACTAAACCACACTGCACAGAATGTGATTAACAATCTTTTATCAAAATCATCTGTAACCCTACCACCATATTGTATTTCACCCAGCATAAAACAAATTGTTTGCCATGAAACACCTTTTTTCGGATCCATTTCGTCCAAATGATTTTGAATGAATTGAACACTAGCAGCGAAATCAGCGTGATTAAATTCATATGGTATATTCCAACCTAATGGACCAAATTTTCTTCTTTCCTGAACTATAGTATGCAAAAATGCTACTGTATATAATAAAGGAGGCCATTGCGGTGCTGAGGTGTAATCCAAGAAGTCTTGGCTGAAAGCCTTTGTAATTTTTAAAAAACAAAAACACGCATTAAAAAATTTATAATCAGTGGTAAAATTTTTAAATACCTGATAACTTCTTTTCATTGATGCTCGAATACCTTGTGGTGGTTCATTGGTGAATTTGATCGCCATCTGAAGTAAACCAATCGGAAAGTTTGCATGTGGTTCTGTAGTTAACCATAATCGGAAAGAGTCTTCAATATGACTAGTTTCGACAATAATGTCAATAACTTCATTGCAAAATGATAATGATAAATGAACATTCTGTAATAAAACCCATCCACCACCTGCCATGGAATCCATTATTAATTTACGTGCATGATACTCTTGTCCTTGACCCATTGAAATAGATTTTAGAGCTAAATGTTGGCGTAATAAGTAATGATGAATAAAAAGAACAAAAAATTATAATTTTGTAAATGTTAAATGATTGTTTTGTAGTTGACTTCTAATAAGCTTATTTTCCAAGCAGAAGTAATGTTTTAACAAATTTGCGGATTGTTACTCATTTTCAAAAAAAAGTTTTTATACTTGAATTTTTAAATTTGAAAATTGTGCGTGTTCTCTCCAGTTCTATAAGCTTGCATTAGCGGAATTTTTCGATTTTTTTTAATTTATTTAGCAAAAAGTTTACTTTATATTAAAATATCTCCCTGCTAATATAGATAATTAAAAGCGTTCAACGAATAAATTGAAGGTTAATTTTAATGAAAACTAACAATCCTATAAAGTTAAAGAAGGTCTTAATTCTTAAAGCCAGAGAGATTTTATATTTCCGTTTTAGTTTCAAAATCAATGTAAAAAAATCAATATGTTTACGTAATATGTTATCAATTATGTCTAGTAATTGTAGTTTTAAATAAATTATTAAATTTTTCTGCAAATTAATTAAAATACATATAACATTCGCTTCAATGTTTTAAGCTTGTAGTAGTCAACTTTATATTTTTTCAACTGCCAATATATTAAAATATAACTTTTACGTAAGTATATGGTGGCATTTAATTTTATTGCTACGATATTTTGATAAATTAAGTTGAAATTGAAAGCTCGTTTATTTAAAAATTTGAACGTGTTTGGAAAATGATTCAAAAAATAACCATGAATCAAAAAATATATTCCAATTATTTTCTAAAATTTTTATACATTTATAGCCACACATTACTAAAATATTTAATAACAACCATCTGTAATTTTAAAAGCAACAAGTATTAAAGCGTTATAATGTTGTTCGGAAACGCTTCCAGCGAATAAATTTTAGGCCATGCATGGAAATACCACATACCAATATATCTGCGATAAAATATCTAAAGATCATAAAAAATTATTAAAGCAAAATCTGAATTTGGTTTTTATGAAACACACATATTAAAATTTTACTATTTTTAATTATATTTGAGGTAAATAATATATGTATTTGCAGGATGACTAATTACCAAGTATTTATCACACATCTTTTTCAGAACTAGGTATCAAATTACGTCGGTTTTTAAGAAAATTTCATAAAATTTTCACTAACCAAATTTTGTGTTTCTATAAGGAATTTAAATTTTTTTTCGTTTTTTTATTTTTTTAGTTTTTTGCCTGCTTTACCTGACAGAAACTTTCTTCAAATTTTAATTTTTTGTTTTGGCACAGTTTTGTCCCACTATCTAAAGCTTTATTAAAAGCTGTAAGACGTGGAAATATATTAAATATTTTGCTAGTAACAATGGGGATGGAAAATACCATTGGCATTTCATGATTTTTAAAGATTTGATATGGAATAAAATTATATTTTTCAGCATACATTTACATATTACATACTTATAAGATGATTTTAAAATAACGAAAATAATACCATTCAATAAATTGTCGCCAAATAGCATTTTTGGGAGTTTGAGTGGCCATAACTTCATATGTTCATGAAGATATAAATTTTTTACAAGGATACTTTCGTATATTTCACTTTTATTATTTTAAGGGTTGTTGATGTTTTGTAAACATATGCAGAAACGGATGGAACCAGTTTCCAGAAGGGGCAATTTCCCAGTTTTTTTGGAATAAAGCGAAATTTTACTAGAACGAAATTTGGAAAAAAACAACATTTTCGAATAAAAATTTTGTGAAATTTTCTTACAATTCATGTGAAAACCATTTAATTTTGATACCCATTTCGGCACAAAAATTTTATCTTTTTCAATGCTAACGCTTTAAGCAGTAAACACTTAGTAAAAATCACCTTGTATAACAAATACATATGTACTTGATTTGACTGCCAATTAGGGATATAATTTCATTACAAATAATTTTAATGAATAATTTCATTTTTTCGACTTCTTGATTCAGAATATTGGTTCAATTTCCAATAAATAATTTTTTTGAATTTCACTAATCAAATATAATCATGGATTCCGCAATTTACGTGTTATTAGAAAAAAATATGAATAGCTTTTATAATTTTGAAAACAATTGAATTAGAAATTTTAATCACCGTTGCAAATTATTCTGAATTTAGAAGATCGTTTATTATTTCAATTTATTGTATATGATTTCAAAAATTCAATTAAATTTAATAAAAAATTAGTAAGTTATGAAATCTAAGTTACTACAATAAACATGCTTACTGAACATGCCCATAAAATTAAAATTCATTAATTAAATCGATTCCAAAATAATCAATATACTCACGTATTTCTTTTTGTTTTGCTAATTGTGCAATTTGTGTAGACGGATCTGAACCAATTGAGAGTAAACAGATAAATGGTGTGCGTGGTTCTGATTCTTGCCATGTTGTTTCCAAATCCAGAATTTGAATTTCACTGTATTCGGGACCCAACGATTCTGAAAACATATTTATTAAAAATCAAGTATAAAACTGTAAAATTTTAGTCAAAAATTATTTTTCAGTTTTATAAGTTTCAAAAGTAGCCTACGAAAATACAAATGATTAATTTCTGGAAAACTCCAACTTTACTAATTTCAAGAATCAAATAACTAAAAAAATTAACATTAACAATTAAAATACGGTTGTATCAGTTTGAAAAGCTTAATAAAAGAAAGTAAAAGAAAATTCAACGATGACAAAAATAATAACGGCTCCTCACGGCAGTCTACACGGGACGCAGGTCCTTCAACACAACGTGTCCGAGCTGCCAAGAAATGAACAAGAATGAGACTATTTTTCACTCTCTCTGCGAGTTTCCGGTTCTGAACTGGGGCAAACTCGTTACATGGGGTAGAGCAAGTGTGGTGAGGTTGAACGAATATCGAAAATAGACATCTGGAATTTAAATTGACTAATCAAAAGAATCGGGAGACTTAGATGTGGTACCTGTTACCGTACGCTCAATAAGGACCTGGTGATTATGGGGTAGTGGTAGCAAAATAAAACATTTGTGCTAATTGGGGTGCGTTGGACGTGCTGCACCTGCCACGTCAACCAACCAACCACATAAAAACAATAGTAAACGAGAAAGAATAAAGTTGACCTTGTCAAATCTGTGATACCCGTTCGAATTTGTTATCCTATGTGCGAATAAATATGCCATAACTGATTAATTAACTGACTTTAAGTTTCCGTATAACCATATTAATTTATGCAAAATTTCAGTAATGTATTTTTCAAAATACTGTGTGTGCCAAACTACTATTGAAGTTGTATGACAACTATCAGAAAGAGCTAAGAAATTTTAACGAATTTTATCAAGCACATCGGCCCTACTAATATATTCGCTTGTGTGCAATATCAATATTACAACTTTTGTAGTTCTTGAGATATAGCCAAATAACTTTTGAAGTTGAATGACATGTACCAGAAGGAGCAAAGTAATTTCAACGACTTCTATCAGACATATTGGCCCTACTAATATATTCGTTTTTGTGAAATTTCAATACCACAACTTTCATAGTTTCTGAGACATAGCCAAATAAATTTTGAAGTTGTATGGCAGCTACCCGAACCGATACACCGATCATGCCCAATTTAAATAGGGTTCTAGCACTTACTACAATAAATCATTTGTGAAATTTCATTTGGTGAACTTAGCTCAATAAGTTTTTGAGTTATCGCTGGGACGGACGGACGGACGAACAGACAAAGCTAAATCGACTCAAAATTCGACCCTGATCAAAAACGTACACTTGGGTCTGTATCTCAGACCATTATTTCTTAGCGTTACCAACGGCAAGGCAAATTTAGTATACCCTTCGAACATACGTTCGCACGGGTATAATAACATTCTCTGATGGAATTATATTTGTAGAATACTAAGGCATACAATTACATGACGTACAATCATATCATACGAAACGTTTTTTTCTTTTAAACACTTTTTCAAATTGTACACAACTCAACAAATTATACGAGTATAATTTAGTAGTTTAAGTGTTTTATTGTGCAGCCCGAAGCATTGTACGAAAACCCTAAAATGGCCCGTGATGATAAATGTATTTGACATGCCTGAGCATCAATGTTAACATGAAGCCTAATAACTCTAAATCTTCGCCTAGTACTTCTTAGACGTTTGAATATAATAAAATTTATAAAAATGTTCAAAAAATTTTTTTTTTTTTCAATGGTTGATAATTTTTCCGAAATATAATTTTTTTTTATTGGTGTGAAAAGAAAACTTCCTTTTATTCGGAATAAAATACTTTTATTTTTCGCTAATATATTTCGTGCGCTACATACGCACTTTATCAAAGCTGATTTTCTTCTAATTAAGACAACAAACAATAAAAATTGAAATCTATTAAAATTAGGAATATTATACCTGACTTAATATAATCTACCTGACTTAATCTAGAATTTGATTATTTTTTTTTTTTTTTTTTTTTTGTTATTATTTACAAACTAAATTTATACCTGTTTTAAACCTTAAAACTGGTCAAATAATTAATTTAAAGAGCCAAGTAGCCGCGTTACCTTCGTCCGCGTTTAGTAGGCAGTCCTTGTTTGATTTGTATATCTGCATGCTTTCATGAACTTCTCTCCTGTGTTTTCCTTTTACCTCTTTTATTACCTTTAAGTTATCTTTCGTGATTGTGTGGTCCGTTTCATAAATGTGTTTTGCAACCATAGAATCGAAAATCCGGTTAAATCCTACTCTCCTTGCACGTTTTATTTCACTTAAATGTTCCTTAAGTCTTGTTGTAACGGGTCTCTTCGTTTGTCCTATGTAAAATTTATCGCAATTATTACAATTGATTTTGTACACACCGCATCTTTCATGTATCTTCAATTTTATCCTTAGCCGAATTTAACAAACTCCCAAGTTGATATTTACTAATGATTTCCGATGTCCGAATATTGTGTTTCCTAAACAACTAAGGAAACACAATATTCGGACATCGGAAACCATTAGTAAATATCAACTTGGGAGTTTGTTAAATTCGGCTAAGGATAAATTAAAGATACATGAAAGATGCGGTGTGTACAAAATCAATTGTAATAATTGCGATAAATTTTACATAGGACAAACGAAGAGACCCGTTACAACAAGATTTAAGGAACATTTAAGTGAAATAAAACGTGCAAGGAGAGTAGGATTTAACCGGATTTTCGATTCTATGGTTGCAAAACACATTTATGAAACGGACCACAAAATCACGAAAGATAACTTAAAGGTAATAAAAGAGGTAAAAGGAAAACACAGGAGAGAAGTTCATGAAAGCATGCAGATATACAAATCAAACAAGGACTGCCTACTAAACGCGGACGAAGGTAACGCGGCTACTTGGCTCTTTAAATTAATTATTTGACCAGTTTTAAGGTTTAAAACAGGTATAAATTTAGTTTGTAAATAATAACAAAAAAAAAAAAAAAAAAATAATCAAATTCTAGATTAAGTCAGGTAGATTATATTAAGTCAGGTATAATATTCCTAATTTTAATAGATTTCAATTTTTATTGTTTGTTGTCTTAATTAGAAGAAAATCAGCTTTGATAAAGTGCGTATGTAGCGCACGAAATATATTAGCGAAAAATAAAAGTATTTTATTCCGAATAAAAGGAAGTATTCTTTTCACACCAATAAAAAAAAATTATAAAAATGTTTTCATTCTCAAAAAATTTAATTTGCAACCAATACTAAGTGTTTGCAAGGAATACAAGAAAAGCATACATTTAAATATTCGGACGTAAAACAAGGAAAATGAAAATTTAATAGTTTCATTTTCAATTCTCGCTAATCAAAAATTGATTATTAATATTCTGCCAAAGTTCTTCGTTAACAACACAAATGTAACACAAATTGTTATTTTTTTCTATGATTTTCAAAAATCTTATTCCTTTGATCAAGCACAAACTTTGTTGGATTTTATTGAATTTTTTTATCTATCTACTCTTTACTATCTACTTCACACTCCTCAGAGTTCTGATTATGTAAATTATTTCAATTTAATCCATTTTCCATAACAATACTTTATTTACAAACCTTTTATATGAAAATTTCTTCAATGGATAAAGAAGAATATTTGTAATGGTTTTTCTTAAAAATAAAAATGTCTTTAAAATAGAAAATTTCTTAAAAGGAAAATCAAAAGAGAAACTAAAAAAAAATTATATATCAGCAAAACTGTACAAGAATTAAGTTGGGTTAACTTTAGGATAATTGTATAAAAACACGCCACTTATTACGAAAGACATTTTCTCTAAATGAAAACGGATAAAACGACTTTTATTTTAAAAATGTCTGGGATTAATTGTTAAGTTGTTCCCAAAATCGTTCTACAGTATGTGTGTATATTAATTTTGTTCAAAGATTGGTATTGACTGAATTCGATAATACTAATGTTTTTAACCTACAAATTTATTTAGTGGGCAAGATGAAGACTTTATTCTCCAAATAACACGAGTAAATAACACGAGTAAATAATGCGAAAATCTCTGTTTAATAAAACGTGTGTAGTAATAGTTTCAATAGTTCAATAGAGAAAAAGATTTGTAATTCTTAAAATTACAAACGGGAAGAAAAAATATATACCCCTTCTTATATGCTACTTTATTTGAAAAATGTCCGCACATGTAAAAAAAAATTAAGAGAAATTTTTGTTATCCTTAGGTGCCTTAACACATTTTCTTTTTCTTGGAAATTAATAACATAAAAAATTTAGCCTTGTCAAGTGGATTGAAAGAAGACTATTCCAAACTAAAAAAGTGTTTATAGAACTCAAAATTTGTTAACACATTTAACATATAGTAAGAAAGGTTTTTCAAGTGTGTTAGTTTCGTTAAAATTTACGTAATTGCACGTATACATATTTTCATATTTATATATATTTGGGGTCAGACAACATAGACTTATATCCTTAAAGCATTTAAATTAAATAACCTATAACTGAAAGGTTCTTCATATCACATACCATTCGATTTTGGTTAAGTATTATCTAAAATTATTGTCAGATTATGGGGTATACAAATATTACGAAAAATTAAATGTCAACAAATAAGTTCAAATAGATTTTTGTCAGTGTTTCTATATTTTCGTTAATTTCATAAGTTTTTTTTCTTGATATCGATATCAAGCAAAAAGATTTATGAATAAATAATTCTATAAGCTTACCATCACACTTATATATGTAAGCACATAAAATATTGATTTAGTACCTTCAACATATTTCTTAGCTTGCGAAATAGTACGGTCCGGGCTCCAAGATCTGATTAATAGAAGCTTTCTAAATGAATCCAAACTAGTTTGATATCCACATGGTATTTCTTCAGCTTCAGGTTTATCGGCTTCGTACCAAGTACGCCAATCTTTTTCATTTGCTTCTATCTGTATGTTAGCAAAAATACATATACATATAAACGAATAAAACCACTATTTATTATTTTACTAAGTTGAAATAATCTATTAAACTATTAACTGTATACAAATCAACTTACAACTTCCAATAGATCATTAAATATTTGAAGTGAACTTATTTCGACTAAATTTAGCCAAGTGATGTCTAAAACCCATCTAAATGGTTTTGGTCTCACGGCATTCAAATCTAGGGATGCACCGCCTTTTATAAATGACATAAATTCCTCATGTGATATTATGCCTTTGTGATAATCTATTTTAATTCCTAACAATAGTGTAAAAAGTTGCTTGTGACGTTCATAAAGTGAACGATTTTCAAAAAGCCAAACTTCAAATGTTAAATACCTCAATATAATTTGGATACGTTCTTCAGTTATAGCACTTTTAGCCGACTTCGTAATCGAGTTATTGAAAATTACTAAAAATTGCTTCAAAGAGTTTTGATACATTATATTAACATTACTCATCTCAACAATCAAGAAATACAAAATGGATCCACGTGCTGCAATTGCTCTAAATTCCTCACGAGCTTTCATAATTTTTTTTTCTGTAACAGCAGAAACGATTAGTTTTTGGCTTACTTCTTCAGCCGTGGATTTTGTTGTTTGTAAAACTTTTATTAATGCTTCATCATCTACTAACGACCCCTGTGATGAACTTAAGCGATACAGTAAATTTTCTTCCAACTCCTTAATATTTCTTTGATTTTGCATTACAGTTTCAAACAATGCAACTCTTTCAGCTTCTAAATCAGCTTTTTCCATCAATATAACACGCCCCAAAAGTTGATCTTCTAGCCCACGCATTGTAACTGTAAAATCAATTACAGAAGTTTTCGCACTTATTTCAGGACTAAATGCGGGATTCGGTAATTTAGTGGTTATGTATAACATAAAACCCGGCATTACATCACATTCTTTATCACCAACTAAAACTTTCTCAATGCTTCCAGATTTAATGAAATTCTTTTCCAAAACATTATCCAGAACTGGATCTAATTCGATATCAACATCTTCAATAAGTAATGGGCGACCTAAAGATAAACAATCTTCAAGATGTGTTCTAAAATATTTGTGGTTCAAAGAAGTGATTTGCAGTTCATTGTCATCTTCTTTACACTTAATCCATATTTTTCCCTGACTTTGCGGATCAATAAGTAACGGATAACTGCTTGATTTAGTAACAATCAAAGCATTTTGGACAGATAACTCATCATTAGGTAATCCTTGTAGAGTCCACTCTGACACTGTTGCCGAATCAGTCAAAAAACTAATAATGTTCAAATTAATTGTATAGGGAATTCTGCGAGTTTTTAAAAGGGCCATCCAAATTTTTAATAAATTTTCTCGAAACTCTTGATTGTATGGACCGCAATACGAGAGAAAACCAGTTGCCAATAAAATATCTCCTACAAGCTTTCCCAACTGAATTTTAAATTCTTTACTCTGATTTGTCCAACGCGTTCTCTCATCTGCTAATCCATTAATTAAAGCCGTAGCTGCGGTCATTTTTCTTAAACAAACATTAGCAGCATCAGTTAATCGTTGTTTTTCTCCAACAGCTTTATCATATTGATTTTTAACTGCTTGCAAAGCTTCTTCTCTTTCACGTAGTTGCTCTTCAGCACCAGCCAAATCTTCCATAGCTACCTATAAAACATCGTGTATAAATAAAAGAATACTCTAATAAATAGAGTATATAACTAATACTTACTTTAAGCCTTGCTTCTTGTAAAGCCAAATTTGCTTTTAGTGGCAGTACTTCTTTGTTAACACCATGGAAAAATGCCATAGCTTTGGTCCAAGATAATAACCCAGCAACATCACCGCAAACTCTCCTTGCTGTTTCCATATTGTAATCCTCCATTCTAAAATATGGTTGAAGTAAATCAATCAGCTCATCATTGATAGTATCTTTAGGATAATTTTGAAGTTGTAATAAAAAAGTTGTACTCGCCATCATCTGAAAAGTGATCTCTATAAAATAAAATGCTAATAAAAAATAAATATGAAATATGCAATAAAATGTTTATAAAATATAAATGAAAGAATTTTAAAACCTTTAAAGACTCTTGCCAACTAGGTTTAGGACATGGAGCCCCACCATCTGGTATGCATGGATGTAGTTTTCTTTTGAATAATATCAATACGCAATCCATTATCCTCATAATTAAATGGGGTGGCCGACCTAATTTACGCACTGTAGCTATGTGAGCTGGTTTGATTGTATTTAAAGCAGCCTCCGCCTCTGTTATTTTAAAAAGTAATAGTTTTCCATGTATGAAAATGCCATCGTTTTCTACACAAACTCAATTAAATTTTTACCTTCTAAAGCTGGTTTAGCTGCTTCCAATTTTTCCTCCGCTAAAGCTTTTTCTTCTGCGATACATGCTACTAAAGCCTCCGCTTTTTCCTTAACAATTTGCACTTGGTTTTTAACGATTTCAGCTTGCATTGCCCTTTCAGTAACTTCAACTAATACTGCTTCAGCTTTTTTTGATGCTTCTGCGAGATCTTGCTCCATTACAACTAAATCTTTTTTAAGGATTTCCACTGAAACTGACGCTTCTCTCAATTTTTCTAAGCCAGTATCCATTTTTTCAATGCCATCGCCTAGTTCTTTTTGTTTTAACAAATAAACGTTTTTGTAAGCAGATAAGAAGTTCAGGTAAGATTTCGGTGTAACATGTGTTGCTCTTCTGAATCTTTGAAAGTAATCATTTGAAGTTTCCGCCACTATATCTTGTATTGTTCCTAAAGCTTCCACCAATTCTGTTTTTACTTCAGAAGAACACTCTATTTCAAAATCATCTAAGAAATGTTCAGCAACTAGTATAAGAGCTTCCTTCGGCCATGGTTCGAACCAATCAATAGTACAACCAGAAACCAACGCAGGAAACCGTTGAACACGTGTTCTGAAAGTTTCCCCAACGGGGGAGAAACAAAATACAACATGTAAATTGTGACACACCCTTTGCAAGAAATATTCCATAACACTTTCAGGAGTTGCTGTTTTCTTTTGATTTTCACGTTTCATTACTGGCATTAATTCCTGAACGATTTCTTGCTGTTCATCTTTGTTAAACAAATTAGAAATGACTCCCGAAGACAAAATATTATTCAAATATTCAAGAAAACCCTCCTCTTTTATATCGAGGTCAGAAAATAAAAATGTCGTCCCCTTTCCTTGCACACCACAAGTTCGATACAGTAGCTTTAAATCTTCAAGGAAATTCGCAACATTATAAGATCGTGTCAAACTTATTTGAAAAGTTTTATAGCCAGCAATAAACGAAGCTAATTTTGTTAGTGATTGTTTACCTGAACCACCAACACCAACCAACATACAATTACCTCTAGGATGACGAATGATCCGAGATATTTTTACCAAATGTAACATTGCATCTGGAAAAAATACTAAATCCATTCCGGAACCTCGAACCATTTCGTTAAATTGCGCCAAAAACATTATTAAACGCTCTCTTAAAATATCATGGGAAAGCACTGGTTCATATACTTTAGGTAACTCCATATCTGCATCTTCGCCTTCTTCGCCTGTTGGTTCAGGAGCATCTCGCATGAAATCAACAAATACAGGATTTGCTGCAACCGTTTCTCTATAACTTTCACCTAGTTCGTCGCCTACTAACACTACCAATTCTGTACGGAACCATTCTTTATCTTGAAATATTGTGAATCTATCAGCAAAAACTCGGGTGCATTCATGTTTCCAGAGCTGCATTAAAACACCTTCTGATGTTATTACAGTCGACAAAGTTCCAATCATTCCTTGCCATATCCTAGACAAGTCTCTTAAATTAAAAACATAATGAAATTTCGCTGGTGTTGGTAATAATTTATTTCTTGTTCTTAACCATAGATATCTAGTTAGTGGAATTAATCTCTTAACAAGATTTCGTACTTCATTTGTAAAACCGCGTTTTGCATTATAATGACCTTCTCCTAAGGCTCGAAAAATTTTATCAATTGATTCATCGTCAGGGATGTTACAGTTAAAAATACTATATTGCCGTTTTAATCTCGACGGAATATCATTTCGGCCACCACCAGGTAAACCCATAGCAGCAACAAATTGAACATCCATTATGCTTGTAAAATCTCCAGGCTTTTCCAAACTGTAAAATCCTTTCATATCCATTGTTTGGCGAACTATTTCGTTAGTTATTTGATCACCCCAACAATTTATTTCAGGTAAATTTATATCGTCTATAAACACAACAAGCTTACGTCCACCTGGTGGGCCAAATGTCGCTCCAACACGTTTTTCAACATAACTTTCAATAGTTTTTTGAAACTGATAAGGACTTGTAGCTGAAGAAAAATTAAATGAACGATTCATATGGGTCTCAACATTCATTTTACGCATAAAATTTTTAATCATAACAGTCTTTCCAGTACCCTGTTCTCCAATCAACATGACAGCTTTCTCTTTATTTGCAATAGTTGAAATAAGAAAATCAATACGGACGTTGTCTATAATAGGTACCAAAATATTTAAATAATCCGGAGTTGCCAATTCCGGATACAAATATGGTGTAACAAGAGTTTTCCAAGTTTGCCAACTACCCGTTGTTGTAACAAAATAATCAAAAATGGAGTTTGCTGGATCATCCTCTTTTCTTGGAAAGTCTAGCTCCGGGAAACTTTCTTTAACAAAAGAGTCGAGTTTTTGTTGATCTTCAATACTAAGAAAGGCTCCTAAGCCCCACGTAAGGGCAAATATATAAAGTCGATGAAGATGTTCCGGTGTACAAAGATCTTCTTTTTCTTCAGGTTTTGCTTCTTCTAAATTATCCTCTAAAATTGAAATATAAAGCTATTATTTAAAGAGAAAAATTGTTACCTTAATCTATTAAAGTACCTTCCATTGAATCTTGACTTGACATACTAACGGCAGCTTCATCTTCTTTTTTCGTTGGTATCAATCCTTCAATAAGTAAGAGCATTTGTTTTACAATATTAAATTGCAAAACATCCATACGTAACCGCAGGTTTTGTGTTCCCCAATTATAAACTATAATAAATGATTTTTTAAATAGTTCACTAAAAACTGCTTTTTCTCCAGGGGATCTTCCTTTTAACCAAGCATGTAATACTAAAAGAATACTTTATATAAAAATATGCTATGTGAATTGAATTTGTAAATATTTTACTTGGTTCCCAATCTAAGCCCGACGAGCTCATATAAACCATTCCATTACGTGAGACAGTAGCTGGTGATGCGTTGTCAATATTATGGGGTTCAAAAATAATTTTACAAGTTTCCGCCATTGATAATCGATCACCATTAGCTAATGTCAAAGTTTTATTATCGTCTAACACTGAGTTTAAATTTTCAATCCATATAGAGTCTACGGGGCCATCCAGGACCAACCAAACATGATCTCCTTTCTTTATTTTAAGGGTTTTTCTCCATAAAGCTGAAAAAATACCGTCCGTCCAATCATTTGTTGCTACATCTAAGCGCCCAAACATTTGAGCTGAAGTTATTGCTTTTGGATTCATCCGCATTTCCCTACATTAAAAAAAAAAATATTAAGTAGAAGTAATACAAAAATATCATTAACTTTCACTTACCGGTGAGCATCACCAAGCTGAGTTAAAGATTTCATCAAAATTTGGATACAAGTTGTTTTACCGGCACCACTGGGTCCTGGTTACCGTAAAATATATATTCATTTATTCAATTAAGTGGACTGAATATTTATTTAAATTAATGTAAATTTATTCAGATTGTTACTAATTTATACCCAATCATATAATCATATAATGCAGATAATGTGGATTTCCGAAATTTTACCCTAATTACAATCCTACAAACTAATGTTTTTCTTTTTTTTAAATACTTGGCAAATTTTATAATTCTAAATTTTCAATACCTTTCTTTTTTTAAAACATTTATTCACATCATAGACAGAACTATAAAATCTTACATTTTTGAAAATTAAATAAAATTTCTTACACATACATTCATTTCATATATGCATGTTCATACATGTATACGTGATGTTTATTGTTCTAAATTTTGCTATAATAGCAATTTTATTCAAATTTTCGCCAACTGTAGGTTTTTTGATATTTTATAAAATTTTTTTGAATTTCATCAAAGACAACCTTTAAAATTTGATTAATTTAAAAATACAAAATTTCTTTTTTTGCAAAAACTTTTAATCTTCTTAATATAATTGCGTGCTGAATTTAAAAAAGAAAGATAATTTCTTAACGAATTTATAAAAAAAATTTTCGTGAATGTACAAGAAAATTAATAAAGGTTCGTTAAGCAATAGCTAACTCTATCGTTTGTACTCATCCTTGATATATTTTTTTTGCTAACAATTCTGAATACAAATTTATTATCTGTACTCACCTAAAGTCATGATACCATGACGAACGGTTTGAGTCTCATAAAGTTGAATTAATCTGAAAAAACAACTTCTATTAATTATCTAATAATACAAAATATCTTTTAAATTTACTTAAGTACCCACGGTGGATGGAATACTAATTGATTTTCTTCACATTGTTGGGCTATAGCTCCCTCCAATTCAGGATAATTTGTTTTCTCCAATTGCTTTGTATTAAGAAAGAAGAGAAAAATAAATTATCTCTAATTTTATATTTATCATTTAGAATTTTAGATATATAAAATAAAACAGTAATATTTTTATAGCACATTACGTAAGTATAGTGTGTACACATGAATTTTTATTTTATGAGCTTACATATTATGTTTATAACGAGGTTATAATGTGTACATTTTAAATTTTTTACCTGATTGGGAAACAAATCTGTTACTAAAGACATAAATAACGGTTCATCTTCATCAATTAATTTTGATAAATTCATATCTCTTAAAACTCTCATAACAATTGTACTTTCAGTATCTTTAGAATTTTTACGTTTTGCAGCACCCAATGTCCTTAAAACTGATAAAATATTTCTTAAACCAAAATCATAATGTACTTGTTTTGTTAATTGTTCTTCACATAATTTATATAATGTATAAAATTTTCTCGCCAATGTTATATTTTCAAGAAATCCACATGATGCTAATTTAACACGAATAATAATTTGACGATCTGGTACCATCATTGCAACAGTACGAAACTGAATTTTTAAATTTTCTGGTAATTCTTGACGACCCGCATATCCTGGATTCTAAAGAAAGAAAGAATTATCATCAATAAAGTATGAGTAAAATTATATTGGTAAAATTTTATAGCTATATGTGTATACAGTAAATATTTGTATATAAAAATCATAAGTACAATAATAACATTTTTCGAGTAGTTCACAACATCTTTGTCGACGAATCCCGAAATAGTCCAAACTGGTAAATATTTAATGAAGGAATATGCCCTCAAATGTGGAGTCTAAATTGATTTATAAAAATCATTTTTGTTTTGAAAACGTACCTTGCGTGTATTATAAGTTATTGCAAATTTTAAGATTCCAAAGTCCTAAATGAATTAAACAATAAAATTTAGTTAGCTAAAACACTAGAAAACTTGACAACACCTACTAATATCAAAACTGTCACAAATGTGATAATATTATTAATTGTTTAATTCGTTGTGGTTAGAGAGTGATAGAAAACATCGAAATAATTTTACGAGATCTTTTGAATGAAATTTTATGGATCGATTCTCACTTAATTTTAACTTTTATTTTGAAAAAAAATTCTTGGTTTCTGAACCATACTTCTATTTCTGAATACTTTGGAGTATGGAAACTGTAGTACATTTAAAAATTCAAAAATGTAAATTCTGATTTTTACATAGGTCCTTTAGCAAATTGGGCAGATTTCTCTTTACAAGATAATTTTAGATAAGGCACAGTTGTACTCATAATAAAAATGTGAAAACTTATATAAAACAAAAAAGTATATAAGAAAATAAGAAAATTTGCAATTTAAATTTCGTCATAATATGAAACCAAAACATTTTCTAATAAATTATTAGAAACTTCAATTCCAAAAAAAAGTAAGAGACGAAGGGAAATTTTTATTTTCGAAATTCTAATATAAAATATTTATATATGTATCTTTTTCTTAGAATAAGAAAACACTCTTTGAACTTTTATTAGTAATACATAATTTATGTGAAATAACAAAAACAATTTTCTTTGACTATTTTGTGTTTCATCTACGGTTATTGAATTGATAGCACACGTACAGTTGTAATAAGGATTAAAGGACTTCCCTTATATCTATGTATACATATCTATTGTATATTGAAATCTTAAATGTTTAACTATCAAGTAGGAAAACAATAAAATACTTTAAGAAAAAGAAACCATGTAATTCGTCTATTTAAGCAAATCAATAATAATTTGAAATAAAATGAAAAAACTTTTTTTCAAATTGATCATTAAAGATTAAAGACATTCTTCATTTAAATAAAATGCTGTAAGTGGCATAATATTGCTTCATTTACACTTTGCGTATTGCTTTACAAAAGCAAAGTTAGTATAAAAAATTTCGCAGATATAATTATAAGTTCTCAATAAAATGTAAGAAAGAGATTTCTGAAGTTTTGGAATTTTCAATTTGAAATTTGAAAAAATTTTATTTTTAGAAACAAAAAAATTTTATCAATACTATTTACAAGTGTATATACATAAAGCAATTAGTACAAAACTAAAATATGGAGACAATTGAATCAAACGTTTATGTTTGCCATTGTTAAGTTGAATTTCTCTATCTGCATACAAATAAAGAAGATTCTGCTTTCATCATACCCAGAATTTTATCATTCTTTTAGTAATGATAACAAACATTTTTGAGTAATTGATGGCCACTAATTACTTTTTAAATAATTCTTTGAAACTACGAACTAAAATTAGTGTACTTTGAAACTACGATTTATATTTAGTTTATTTTTTTAAATTTTTTATGGTGTACCCTTTTAACCATTATGTACAAAACTCAGGTAGTTGAAAATATGTTAGTAAAAATAAGTGAAGAAGCAAAGATGCTGTACAAACTCAAAGTGCAATGTAGTACGTAACAACAAATGAGCTTCTGTATTCGGACAGAAATTACTCGGATGTATGTATATATGTATATCGTTGTTCTCGTTAAAGTAGTGACTTCAATTTTATAAGTACCAAAATTTCATTTGAGTTAAGATAAAAAAGTTATTTAATTTGGAACAGCAGAGAGAACACGAAACTTGTTGCAAAACTTGTTTGTTAGAAAAGTGAACTAAGATTTATCAATACTGAGAGCACACTTGTAAAGAGGTCCAACTTTTAAATTAAATACATATATCTCTATGTATTTTTGTTAGAAATTGTTGGAAAATTGAAAAAATATTACAATACTATTTACGCACCAAATATAAGTCTAGACAGTCCAAAAATATTGTAAATTTTAGATCAGTAAACTAGATAAATAAAAGCAACGCATAGTCTTTTCTTCTACTTTTTTGCTCATCACAGAGCATTTAGAAATCCTTGTTTCCTTAAAATTTTTCGTACCTTATCGCCTCAATTAAAAAAAAAATTTTGTCAATTGTGTAAAAATTTAAACCACAATCAATAATGTAAGAAGCAAAACAAAAACCAAAATGTTCTCTTTGACCCTTTTGTCCTTTCCTATCATCCTTGATTTACATCTTAATCACATGTAAATACTTACACTTTTACTAAATTTTGTTAGGACTTAAACACTTTTTCAAAGTTTTCTTTTCTTTGTTTTTTTTTTGTTTGATTTAAATTGAGCACATTAAGGTAAAGAAAAAGTCTCTCCTTTTCACCAACAAAAGATTTAATTTACTTAGTATTATTCTGGTTTGTTGCTTTTTATTTTTTGTAATTCCAACCAAAAGGGTAAACTAATCAATAAAATAATCAAAATAATCACAAAGTAAAAGTAAAATTGGGAAGAATTGAGGTAAAAAAACCACAATCGGATTTTAATGGGTGCTAAAATTACAATTGTATCAATATTCGAATGAAATTTTTAAACGTTTAACAATTCGATTTTAAATTCATAATTCGCGCCTCCTTTAATTTAAAAAGCATCTTTAGAAAAACCTGTTATAATTAAACTCTCAATTTACTCTAAAATCAAACCTGCTTGGGAAATTTTTCGCTTGAGGTATTCACATTTTTTTGGTTAATTGGCTAAGCTCGGTTTAAATTGGACCCCCGATAAGTACAGAGAAAATGCGTTGATGGAATTGAATTTGTGAAATTTTAATTCTCCTCCAATTCAATAATACACGACATAAATCACTATGAAACATGGAATAAAAGATCGAATGAATTTTAAAAAATACTTGAATATGTTAAAATTAACTTCTTAAAAAATAATCGGTAACTACTTTAAAAAAGATAAAATCTGTGTAAATCGAATAAAAATCTTTTTTCTAATGAACCCTTTTGGGATTTAGAAAATTTCAGTAGAGAAAAAAATAAAAAGGGAAAAAATATTCTTTGAATTGAATACTAAATTTTTTACCTATTCATTCAACTATAAAACTGTGGAAAAATAAAAAAATGTGGTAACTTTTTTTATAAGATTATTCTTACATGAAAGGTAAGAATTTTCTTTAAAGAATTTTTAAAATCGCATCCTTTTTGCGGGGAATCCAAATTGAGTTGATCAAGTTAACGTTTTAAAAATTCAATAATAAAATATATTTCTTATTAATAAATAAATAGTTGCAGTCATTTATTTCAACAGTTTGTATAGGTACAACACTTCTTTTACACGTTCAAGAATGTCGTAAAAGCTCAGAAGATTAAAATATTTTAAATAAACAAGTGAAGTTATTTTATGACGTTAATAGTTTCGAAGGTGAATAAGCAATTAGTTTCGTACAAAATTGACAATAACAATAACCTTTTGGTTCTGACATAAAGTTATTGTTTTCTTTATAGAAGAAATTTATTATTTTCGTTATAGCAAATAGATGAAATGGGCTAGTTCTCAAACAGAAAAAAGCAAAAATTTAAATAAATAATAAATGGATTTTTCCTAAAACCCTAAAATAAACAACTTCGAAATCTTTAATCAACTTTAAATCAATGTTTTTTTTCTAGGATCAATTTTTTTAAAGACCTTATCCCTTTAAAATGTAGATAAATGTATTTAGAAATATTATATTCATCCCTTTCTCACTCATATGGAGATTTGGTTTTTACTTTTTTTCTTTTAAATTTTTGACTGTGAATGTGAAAATGAAATGTCGTTTTGAATTTTCAAGATGCACCACTTTTCATCTTTTACCATTTGTGAAGTAGCTTAATAACGATTACCGTCTAAAGTACTAGCAAGTACCTCAATCTCATCTTTCATATCTACATGAAAGTACAAAAAAAAATCTAATTTATTGTACTGAAAAAGCCCAAGAAAGTAAAACCACTTCGTAATTGTCTTGTTTTAAGTTAAAAAAGACTAATGAGCTTTAATGTACACGTTTTTCAGATTAAATATAATGTACAAAAAAATGATAGAAATAACTTTTTTCTTAGAAATGTGTAAAGATGTAACATCATTGGTATTCAATCACAAAAGAAACTTCAAAATAAAACTTCATCAAAATTAAACTATTCAAAATTAAGATATCTGGTTAGAAATATGAGAAAAGGGACAATATTTCATTTACGATTCTCTAACTTGAAGAAAATCTAGCATTTCTGTCGAAAATACAAAATACGAAGTTTGATGTGATCACAGTATTTCTCTTATATTGTGAAATCTAGTAGGTAGTTATATAGAAATTTACTGACTAATATTAAAATTTGCTAATTCAAATTGCTTAATATTATGAAATGCGACTGGTATGGGATCTAGAATTTAATATAAACCAATAAATTACAAAAACACTAGTATCTTAAAAACAAATGTTTTTAGTACTTTTCCAAAAAAAAATTAAAAAAAGTGCTTATTAGTTTCACTCTGTCCGTCCGCTCGTCCGTCCGCCATTTGTGGGCATGTAAACTCTTCTATAAAACTTCTACTCCCTTGAAGGTAGAAAGCTGAAATTTTATATTCACATAGACCTTTACTTGAAACTTATTTTCGTAGAAGAAAATTTTTACCTATCTGCCCCCCTCTAAAAGTTATAACCCCATAAACCCTAAAAATTCGTTTTTTTGACTATTTATTGTAAGGGAACCACAAACATTTTTAAAAATCTGTAAGAGCAGAAAAGTAGTGGTGAGCTTTTTCTAACGCAGCATACCACACTTGAAATTTAAAAAAACAAAATGATCGTAAAAATTTATTCCGAACTTATGACCTCTTGAAATTTAAAAAATTTGAATTTTTGGCGCCTTATATTTCCGAAACCGCAATCTTTTCCAAATTTAAGTAAACCCAAAAAGTTAACGGTAAATTCTATGGCATTAAAAAGTATAATAATTTTTCTTTACGCAATTAACCATTGAAATCGAGTTAACAAATCTTTGAATTTATTTTTGCTTTATTTCAAAAACCGCATAAATCGTTCATTCTAAATATATGCAATCCTAGAAATACATTATACATAGGTATACATTATTAGGTATACATATAGACCTTTGGTTTCCATTAGGAAACATTATAGACCATTGGTTTGACCAAACTTTATTAGTTTCTGTAAGAAATTTCCTAGCTCTCATACATTTTAGAAATATTCTAAATCTTATTTAATATTTAAGTGTCACATTTCACTAGTCTACATACGTTTGCGGAAAGGTTTATCATTTCTTCCTTTCGCTATCATTTGCTAGACTGAAATTCTAGCACGACCTCTACGTTAAATAGAATGATAGCGTAAACATATTTTACAAAAAAGAAACATGGAGAAATAGATCATGAATAAAACATGCGGTAAACTTATTGTAAAGGTCATAAAGTCAAACGATTTTATAAAATTATAAACTAAATAGTGAACAACATCTCTCAGTTTCTTTTGTTGCAAATAATTCAAAATTCAAGTATAATTTACATTACCCCCTATGTTATCTATAGGCTTTTCAAATTTTGAAAACATTCCTAATTAAAACCAAAGTATTATATACAAAAACATTTATGTTCAATAATAAAAGGATATTATAATTAATAAATAAAGAGTGCAAAACCAATTGTATTTTTAAACAAAATGTAAAGGGATAAAATTAATTGAATGAGTTTTCATTAAAATATTTTCGTAGTACAATTCAACAGGGAATAAATTCTATTTTTGGAAATTTAACCTTCAAAGTCATTCATAATACTCTTCCCAACATTTAAACAACTCATTTATCGAAAAATAAAACACAATCATATCTTACAAAAATTATAATTAACTCTATTCTCTTAGCGTTCTTGTTAAGATATAAAAACCTTAATTAACAACCATAGTATAATACCCGCACATTATTAGTTATAACTAAAAAATAAAAGTTTTGGAAATTTTACTTCAAAAGAAAATATGTTCTTGTTCTACTTTTCAGAACTTTGAAGAGAAAATCTTATCAATTTTACTTGCATCACAATGTTTTAAAAATAAAGTTTTCATTTCTAAAAATAATTTGTTTCTTAAAGTTAATTAAATTGATTAGATTTTTGTAAAAAAATTTCAATATTTTAAAATGTACTTTAACAAAGCCAGTTTACATTTACAGGAAGTTTGAACTAATTACTAATGTGCATAAGTAAAAATAGAATTATTAACTATGTATTTTAAAAATTTAATTGATTTTTGGAAAATTTATTTTTTCGGAGTCAAATAAAGATTTCAATATATTCAATTGAAAGGGTAACAAAAAAATTATTAAACCACTTTTAATTCTAAATTGATTACAATTTGAAATTGTTTGGTATAAGACATATTTTTGTGTCAAGAACATAACTATTTTCTGAGACATGATTATATTGTTACTGAAATTGTCTAAGAACTACAATTTCAAATAAATGTTTAAGAATGTTGGCCCCATCAATAAAATAAATATTTCAAAATTTTGTTTTGTTTTTAAATAATCTTTGGGACGGACTGACGGGATGTTAAACAAACAGACATAGCCAAATCGATTCATAGTTCTTACGATTCATAAAAATCTTACGAGTCCAATTTTATAGTGTAGTTAAATTAAGCTTTGATTTTTCTTCAAAAATCTCTAAGAAATTATAAAACAAATAATTGTTGTCCAATCATATTAGGATAGGACACTTACTTGAAAACTCATTAAGGAATTTAAACCATTATCAATATTTTCCAATATCCTTTTTTTGATTTCCGCGGAAGAAGAGGAATAAAAAATAAATTCAGAAGCTAAACTTATTAAAAACGAAAACACAATAACTTTGGTACATTGTACACGTCTGCTTTCTTTCATTAAAAGTTCGCTATAAACGAAAATTTTTACTATTTTCCAATAAATTTTCATTGGTATAGAACTAACAACGTTACATAGTTGATTATTCTATTTATTAAACTATTTCCTTATCTTAAAGGAATATTAAGGATATATTATTTACAAAAGCATAACATTAATTAACTCACCATTGTAATAAAAATACCAAACTCAGGATTCATGTCGATTGTATCGCCGTCCGTAAAAATTAATTGTTTCTTTTTTTCTTTTTTCGCCGTTAATACAACAGCAACCTGTTGAGCAGCAACTGATAATACAGGTAATTCAATTCGATTGAACTCATCAAAACATCCCCATGAACCGGATTGTGATAATCCTTTGTAAATGCGACCTAATCCTCTTTTTATTTAAAGAGAAAAATAAAAAAGATTATGTTTTTTATTTAAGGATGAAACCATAGATAAAACTAACAAAAGGTTGTATAAAAAACCAATATAAATATTAAGAAACTTAAAATAATAAAAGAGACGATATTATAAATTTACCTTACCGTTTCTAACGCTAAGAAATAATTGTCTGAGATATAGACGAAATGCCGAAACCCTATTCAAATGTAATCGAGGCTGTGGTCTTGGTACCTTCCCTACAACTTCAAAAATTATTTGGATATATTATTAGTGCGGTTATGTGTTATAAAAATTATTAAAACTTCTTGACTCCTTGTGGAAACTACTATACAAATTCAATATATATTTGGCCATGTCTTAAAAATTACTCAAGGTAGAGTACTGAAATTTTGTATAGAAAAATATGGTAATATGGCCACTATTTTAGATAAAATCTGTTTTGATGCCATGAGCGCTTATGAAAGTTGTTATTTGGTATTACCTCAGAATATATCCCCGGCATAATGAAGAAATATCGTGCAAACAAGTATGTTACTGGGACTGTTATATGTGATAAAAGTCGTTGAACTTCATTGATTCCTTTTGTTAGCTGCCATACAACTTCTATAGTTGTTTGGTCATATCTTAGATATTATAGTACTGAAATTTTGCATAAATGGATTTGGTAATACTGCAACTTTTATCTCTGTACGAACATTTGTTCGAAGTGTATTATAAATTCGCCAATAGGATAACATATACGTACGGGTATCACAGAGTTAATATGATTAACTATACGTTTTCTCCTTTTTGTTTATGTATTGTTATATTGTTTAGTGTTCTTGGCAGGAGGCAGGGTGGCTGTGATAATTGCTATTAACTACGCAATAACTAACACTATTGATTACTAACTGTTGTAGATAACATCTAAGAACTAATGATTAGGCAACTAATGATCTAATGTAATTCAGACAAAAAATAATGAAACGAAAAATTGATTCATCCCGTTTAGTAATTTAGAAAGCTTGTAGGCTTATTAGTTTGTAAGCACGTTACGGTCCAAGATGTGCATATCCCGTTAAATGGCCCCTCTATGATTGATTTGTTAACTAAAACAATAAACTAAATTTAATAAAATTTAAAATAAATAATGAAAAAATTATTTAAAATAATTTTTTTTTCGAAAAAGTAAGTTTTATAAAAATATAAAAGTTGTTAAAAACTTTAATTCGTACCTAAATATAGTAGTTTCAATAGTTTCTATAAAATATAATCAAATAACTTTTGAAAATGTTTAGCAACTATGACAAAGAGTTATGCAATTTCAAGGAATTTTATCATACATAGCAACATAGCCTTAATAATATATTTGCTTGTCCGAATTTTCGAAACTATAATTTGTAGGTTTTTTTTCAAAATTTCGGTACTGTACTTTTACAGTTTTTAATATATCATCAAATAAATTTTGAAGTTGTATTGCTACCACAGTCAGTCCAGTGTTTTCCATGACTCTTATCAAACATAACAGTCCTTATTATATATTTGCTAATATATTTCTATTTTTTAGACAGTTCTTTCTTAGCGTTGCGAATGGAGTGACAATTGTATAATAGCCGTCGAACACGTTCGTATGGTAGTTTTGTATTTTCATAATGAATTAACAGTTAGAATTATTGCATGACCCAAATCTCGCTAGAATTATTGCATGACCCAAAACTGTACGTAAGTACACAAATCATATGTATAAATGCCCCATAATTTTCTTAACAAAACATATTGCTAAACAAAAATTTTTAAATTCAAACTGAATACGTAATATTTTAATACGCAACAGCTCTACACGGTTTATGTCTACGTTCATGTAATAAAGAAAATATTGTGTGATTATTTCGCATGATGAACTAATATTTTTTGGTTATTCTATGAGCTCCAGGTTACCAAGTAATCGTATTAAACCAACAAAATTTAATATCCCATTTAGATTCGATGACACAACTTTAGACAAATATTATGTTAAACATGTTTTACTCATATATTAACCATATTACCGAACAAACAGAAAATTAATTATTATTTTTATAAAGCATTCGAATTTTTTACCACCCGTATTGTGTAAACAATAGGTAGGTTATATGATGACAACAAATTTTGCATATTGAGTTTTCGATGGGAATGCACTTCTCCATGGTAGGGAAGTGTAAATAAGCTATTCTTAGCAACCTGTCAGTCTCATCACACGCGTGTATCTCAAGTTCGGTTGAACCAATTTTGATGAAATTTTATATGTAAGTTTATTTCGACCATGGCACGGATTGATGAACTTTTGGAATATATCAGGCTTCGGGAACTGCACTTTTAAGCGGGCCTGTTTTACATTTTTGACCATTTTGAAGAAAATTTACTTGAACCGATTTACTTAAAATTTCATATATAAGCTTCGCTCGACCGTCCGCGAAATCTCCTAACTTTTGGAAGAAATCAGGCGTCAGCAACTGTACGTTTACTACGGGCCAAAAATACATTTTTGCGTATATAAAGAGAAATAACCAACCGATTTCATTGAAACTTAATATTTAAATTCTTCGTATTAGAACAATGAACTTATAAATTTTTTGGAAGATCAGAGCTCGGAAACTGATCTAGGGGCCGATTTTATATGTTTTACCATATTGATGGAACGAATTAATGGAATTTCTTGAAATTTGATATTTGAGTTCTGGTTGTTACCGAAACTAACTGGCGAGCATTTCAGGGAATTCGGGTAGCACAAAGCGAAACTCTATTAAGAGCCAAATTTATATTCTTCTAGGTATTTCAACTATAAGCTTACTAATGTCCTAAAAATTGAAAAGAAGTATTTAACAGACATTTTTATAATATTCTGTAACACTTTCACTTAACTAAACAATACACATTGCGGTCGGTTATGTGCTGACCACATCAGATTTTTTAATTCCGCATCCAAATTTTATTATGAAAATTACATAACAACGATAAAACATGGAATTATTCTTTTTTAGTTTGCTATACCCATAGGAGTATTTACTAAGAATTTGAACATACTAAGAATTTGAAATATTGAACATACTAAGTATTTTGTTTTTTAGATTTTGAGCATTGTTACTTAACCTATTCGTGTCAAATTATAACTTTGTAGTCTTTAAAATTTTCAATATAATATGAGTAAATCATTTTTAAAGTTAAAGTCATCCGGAATAATGAAGTAATAATAACCGAAATTATCAAAGTCAAACAGAGCACAAATATAAGAAATTATTTGCTTATAAGCAAAATTTTAAAGTGCAATAGTTACTAGAAGAGCTGCTTCTATCGACCTGAAATGAAATAAGGTATGCGCGATAATCTATTTAAACAATTTGTAAAAGATTAAGCAAGTTTCATTCATTTTGTTAACTTTTGTCTAATATCTATGGGGCAGTCGGATTAACAAAATTAAATCAACTCAAAATTAGATACTGGTTACGAATAATTTATGTAAACGACAACGATAATGTACACGATATAAACCGTCATTAAATGCAGATTAAAAATAAATAACCCACTAAAAAAAACAGTTGGATCGGTTTAAAGCAAATTTAGTCTGTTCTTTCTTTTACTTTTTGAAAGTATAAAGGTAAATTCATTGCTCTGTAAAATAGCCACATGTATATCTGTATATCTATTATATATCTGAGATTAGTGTTCCATAAACGGAGCAGTTCACATGTAATACTCTTCGCAAATAAGCTGGTCCAGAAATAATAATATGCATAATAACAATTGTTATACATAAAAGTTTTAGTTTTCAATAGTTTTTCTATTATTTTAGTGAAGCATTTCGATTTGAAATTATATTGAATTCATTAAAAAATTTGGTTAATTTATTTATAAAACGATTTAAATTAGTTATTTTAAATAAATGAAAAATTTACAAATATTGAATTTTTATTGAAATGGCATATAAAATTTTGGTGTACATAAATACATACACATATTTATATTTGGCATTATGCAATGATAGCATAATTTACAAAAAAGGATCTTTATAATTTATTGAATGAAAATATTTTATTATAATTCTTTTCAACATTTTTAATTATTTAGAAAATGTAAAATGTATTCAAGAACATTGAATTTTTAAAAAATTGCTGGGTATTTTGTTAATATTCTTTTAGATTTTGAGCAGTGCATTTACTTTTTTAAGGAAATATTCAAGCCGATAAGGAAACTATTTTATTTATATAATCTTTTATTTTCTTTCTTTTATATTTATCATTCTTTTAATATGCCTTCACTTTAAGACGACATCATAAATTATAAAATATTAACATAATAGTAGGTTTTTTTAACCAGCAGGAGATTTGCCTTTAGCTTTTGGTTTAGTAGAATTTTTGAAAAAGCCTTCGAAAGAACAAGTTTCTGAAAATTAAGATTTCGTTTACTTTGAGAAGCTATATAATTAAGTAAAGAATAAGGATAAAGAATAAAGTTGACCTTCAACAAGTGAAAATACTGCTTTCAAAAACAATCCACTTATGGACTACTTATTATTAAAATTATTTTCATTAATATGCGAATAGATTTCAAATATTGCGTAGATTTAGGATAAGCGATGTACACAATCTTTGAAATAAAATAAAAAAACATTGAAAGTGGTGTTTAAATAATACTGTTAAGGGTTAATTGCGTGAGTTAAGAAAAATAATTATATTTTTTATTGGCATGGAAATTTAAAAAAACTTACAGTTTTGGAAATATGAAGAGATGGAAAAAAATTTTGTTCTCTCTTGTATTTGTTTCAACGAAATGGATTATTTATAAATCTCTAAAAACTGATAAAATTTCAAACTCCTAAAACCTGAGGTCTAGAAAAAAAAACAATATAAAAAATTTGGAAAAAACGAATTTTAGATAACGGTAAATTTTTTAACAGCCATTTTGTTTTACAAGGCTTCCAGTATTTTTCTGCGTTTGCGAAATTTGTGAAATGCTTTTACTTTCACTGCAATAAATAGTTGAAAAATGGCATTTTTAGGGTTTTGTGGAGCGATAATTTTCGGAAAGGGGAGAGATAGGTAAAAGTTTCCTTTTACGGAAATAGGTTTCTAGTAAAAATCTATGTATACGTATGAAATTTCAGCCTTCTATCTTCAAGGGTGTCACGGACGGACATTTATGTCTATTATAGTGATTTATAATGAAAATTTCTGTATATTTTAAATAAATTTTCATTATCTAAAAAAAAATTCAAAACAAAATTATTAGGCATTCAATTTTTTTAAATTCATACAATTTTTCAAATTACTATAGATAAAGTGAGCACATTCCATATTACCCAAGCAAAGCAAACGAAAATATTTTATTTAAATAACAGTACTATACACAGAATATTTTGCAACTTCTACGTAAATATAGTATAATATGAAATAGAAATCATAAAACAGAGAACATACCTGTAATCCATTTGATCGGAACAGTTAAATACAACAACATATTTAGCTAATGTTTTCCCCATATCTTTAACAGTTTCCGTTTTACCTGTACCTGCGGGACCACAAGGACTACCACCCATACTCAATGTTAACGCTTGGGCCAGTGTAATATAACATCTTAAAATTTTATATATTAATGCATAAGTAACATGAAACGAATAAAAGAATAAAAATGTAATTAAATTTGGTAATTAAAACATAAACTAAAATTAGAATTACGTGTATAATATAAGAACATAATATGGGAATATAAGACGTTCTTCTACAGAATTAAAAAATGATATTTTGCACTATTCACTTAGAACCATGATATTTCATGTACACCACTTACATATTTGCAAAATAAAATACAAAAGAATAAAAAGAAACTTAGAAAAAAATTCATACACAGTAAACTATGATGTTATACTGTTAAATAATAATTTTATATCCAGGATAACTAAGGATACTTTTATGAAAAATTACGTAAGGAAATTATAAATTATTATAAAGAAATGATGAACGATAAATACACAGAAAAAGCTAACGAGACGTAATACTCTTCCATTGATATTTAAATAGGTGACTGACTTCATAGAACTGCCTGTACTATTAATATTTATGCTGAGTAATTAAAAACGTTTAGTTTTTTAACCTTCAATAATTTCCTATGGTTTCTTTAGGAAGTGTAATCGCAATGTGTATTTTAAAAACTAATAATAAAGCTGTGGGTTGTTCTGCAATACTTGTATCATAAAAAATGTTCAACTTAAATAAAACTTTAGAAATTTGTTAAAAAAATATAAAAAAATTGGTTTTACTCATTCGAAGTATTGTTATCAGCCAACTTTTTACAGTTTTAATGCTTCGTTCAACATCTTATCTATAATCTAATTATTAATGTAACCATTTAATGACAACACATGAAAATACGAATAATTAAAATTTTCATGTAAGACAAATTAAGTCAAATTTGACATTAACTTTTAAAGAAAAATACCGCAAAACAAAAACTTTGGTCATTCTACTTCACTCCCTCTATAATACTACTAAATAATTTGTTTTTTCTTGCGACTTTGTGAGTCGCTCTTAAAAGTTATTATTATTCATTAGAAACCTCTTACTTTTAAGATATAAATGTACAAGAGGATGTTCATTAATGGCAGATACATGCGAAGCTTGAAAATGTTTTCTTCAATCTAAGAAAAAAATATTCCTTGTACCGAATAATTACCTCACTCTACATGTTATATAATTATGTGCAAAAAAATTTAAAAGTATCTAGAGGATAAGTACATATAGTCAGCCACCTAGAGAACTTAACGTAGTTCTTTCTAATAAATTAATTTACACTTATCCTTAACTTCTTTTGAAATATATATGTTAGAATTTTAATTAAAAGCTATTTTATAAATTTTACTTTTACATAATGTAAGAAATAGCTCGTAAAATTTTAATTGCTTTTAAGAAAATTAAAAGTTTAAATTGCCACAATCGTATGGTAGAAATAGAAAACTACTTGAGCATGTTACAATTAACATAATTTTTTTAGTTTACCTATCGGTAAGCGGGGTAATTACAAGTCTTTCAGTGCATCCTAAATATTCATTCTGATATGCAAATGTAACATCAGTTATGGAAATCCATGTTTTATCTAAATCCTCTTTAAAATAGAACCGACTTTGTTTTATCCACTCAAAATCATTTGCTGATCTTATATTCATACGACACTAAAAATAATATCTTTAAAAATTGATTTTTTTAGAAAATTTAATTATTAATTGTATGCTAAGTACCAAAATATCGAAAATATCTCTTTGATGAACATGGATTGTAATTAAAGTTTCAAATTTTATTCTTTCGATTTTTGTTAAATCTCTTGTTGTTTGATCAATTAGCGTATTCAATAATTCTAAAAATTTGTTATTGGTTTCAGGCATCACTTTTTTTTCATGTCTTGCTTGCATTAATGCCAACTCAGCATCTCTTGTCCATATCATTTGTATCCCCAAAATTCCCACTTGTGCTTGCATTTTTTCCAAAAAACTCAGAAGGGCAAAATTTGGATCATTTATACTTATATAAGCTGATCTTATGATTGAATGTAAGCTTGCTTGTGCTGTAACTAATAATTGTGTAAGCCATGTTTCTACCGAACCTTCAGCACGAACTGCTCTATCTAACATTATCATTTCACCTTCACTTGAAACTATCGCCATCATTTTATTATATTCAATGTCGTGAAATTTAACATATCTTGTATTATCAAAAATTGACAACAAATGATTTTGTATTGTGTGAGAGTCTGACGCTTGACCTAAAATTTCAAGTAAAGCGGGATCCGAAACAAAGAAAAATCTGGGAAACATCATTCTTTTTCTTTCTAAGTAGCCGCTTAAAGATTTTTGACAAATTTCCAATTGCTCCTGCAAATGTGGTAGTAACTGTTTTAAAAGATCATCGCCTACGCAACATGCCACAACACCTGGTGTTTCGTGAGCGCGTTGCATGATTTTCTGCCAAGATTTATCAATTTTTGAAAAACGTTTAGCTTCCTTTGGTAGTTGTTTTGCAATGTCACCACCTACAAAGACAGCTTCCAAATAAACCCACATATTTTGTACTAATAACCAACGTTCAAGAATTTCATTAGAATTAGATAAGTCATATACCCATTGTTGAATTTGTTTACGAAACGGTGCATTGTATCTATTTGATAACAATGAACCTAATACCATAAGACTATCTTCAAGCTGACCAATGGTTTCAGCTGTTGTATCACCTCTCAATAATAATTCGCCTCTATTATTGAAACTCATAAATTGTAGCTCGTGAACCGACCATTCATTAGTAACTTGCTTCAATTTAGCTTCAATATCCTTTTCTTTCATAGCTGAAATACAAATATCTTCAATATCTTCCTTATGCTTCAAAAGTGGTGCCTCTAATATATTTTTAAGAGAGAAGCCTTCACTATCGAACTCAAATGTATATTTGGTTACGTCCATGATACGTTGCCAGTGACGAGGTTTCATTGCTTTATTCGCCATAAGCTCAAGCAGAGGACACATATCATTGAAATCATCAATTGTTTTCTTAAGAGCATGGAATGCTGGCCACTCTTTCAAACTGAAATAATTCGGGTAAGATTTGTATAATTTTTTGTGAAAATGAAATAATATAGATTTTGAAAATGTAGAGAAAATACACACCCTTTCGGTAGTTTACGGCAACGATTCTGGAATTCCATTAGTTCATTATTAATTTCTTCAATATCAACTTCATTCCAAGGAATATCATAGTAGCTACTGACTCTGTCAATAACATCATTGTACAATTTATATAATTTTTGCAATAAATTCAATTCCTTCCTTATTTGTCCTAATTCTGGATAATCAGTTTGAGGAAGTCCTAAAGTTCAACAATAACATCGTTAAATTAATAAAATACTTGAAACATAGATTAATTCACATCTTACCAAATAATTCTTCCCCACTTTGATAGGTTTGTAGTCGTCTCCACAGTCCCTCAAAACGATTTTGAAACAATATCAAACGATCTGATGCTTCACGTGGAGATAGACCAGGTTGCATAGGACCAGCATTTCTATACTCATTAACGTATTCACATTTATCTTGTTTAAAGCGTTCTAAGTTTGTTTTTAATTCACTCTGGAAACTTGGTTGCATTTCAAGCAATTTAAGTTGCGCTTGCATTGCAGCAGTTTGTAAATTTTGGAATGTGTAACGCAAATTATCGACTTGATCGTATTGTTCACGCTCTACTTGAACCTCGTAACGTGTCAGGACGTTGAATGCTTCCTATGAAAGGTTATAATAATGTAATTGTGAAATTTCAAAACATGCGTATTCTTTTATAGAATTAAAATTACCTCTATTGGATCAATTTTCATTTCCATATCAACTTCTTGTTCTCGAATTTTGCCTAGTGTTTCCATTATCATTCGAACATCGTCTAGATCTCGTATAGTTCGGTCTAATTTTCTGTTCATTTCATTGATAACAGCATAAACATAATCCATTTCTTTTTTATATTTCTTTTTCATTGCTTGTCCGATTTTATGATTGCATGCTGCAACAAATGTATTGGGTAATAAATTTAACTTTAAAGTGAAAGTATTGAAAAAAAAAATTATATGGAAATAAAATGATATGTGGCCTGCTTCCATAAAGAAGCAGTCTTGTCGTAATTAGAATTTATCTTTTATTTTTATTATTTAATAATTTTATATTAAATAAAGCGTATTTAATATTAAATAAATTTCAGGGAAGAATATTGAAATAATTGAAGATTTTGGTAAACTAAATTTTGATTCTATCTAAAATTCTAGCTTTAACTAAATGACTGAATATAAGGTTTTGTTACACGCTTTTTCTACGTTCTCTTTATTTAATTTGGGAATCAAATGGGATCAATCCGAAATTAATAAAGAAACTAATCGTTATCTTTGGATCGACTTCTTAATTACTCATGTGTGTAAATATACATCCATGGAGAATCTATAGGCAAAATAGATTCCATTTTTGAAAGTATAGTTAGTATACCTATTAAGGACTCATATTGTAAGATTGTTTGAAAACAAGCTACATCCACAAATAGTGTACAAAAGTGGTAAGAATTCTATTTAAGTACGCCTATTTTGCTTTTTATTTTGAAAATTCTGATAGTAAAGTTGAATAAATTAGGAAAAAAAAATTGGAAATCCCACATTATTTGTTTCTTATAAATAATTTTTACAAACATAGATTTAAGAGCGCATATTTTGCATTTTCGTTTACAATTTTCTTTAGTATTAGCAATATTACGAATATCAACTTTCATTATGAACACATAATTAATATTATCATGAAATTTTGTACATATATAAATCCTTTCTCCAATGTACTTATTTACATACATAAGTCCTAAAGCTATATAGTATGATCTTGTTTCTTTACTGTTTTTAAAAGGAAGCAGTTTCGTTATTCTATTTGCATCCTTTTATAAAGCAAATAAATCAAATTTTACACATTATTGTTATACACTGACGTACACATTATTATAGGACATAAAAAAATGAACAACAGTACGTAATGTATATATTTACATATTATACATTCCATGCATACACATATGCATGGAATGTATACAGAAATTATATAATCATGAATGCAAACACATGTTGTGTATGAGAATAAGGCAAAAAAAATATTTAAAACATTATGAGAAAAAAATGTGTATAAAATGATTACAATAATGGTGTTATTATAAAATTATTGGATTTCATGAAAAGCTTTTAAAAATTTATAATAAAAATCATAATAAATTAATATAAAATCACACACACAAACGAATTTTCACCGGCATAAAATTTAAAAAAAAAATCATTCCTGTTTTCGTAAATTACGTAAACTTGTGAGTGTTTCTTTTTTCTAATGTGTTCATACATGTGTGCAAACATAATTATTATAAATCGTTTAACAGAGTAATTAAATATTTTATTTATTTAATTTAGGTACAGCCTGATTAAAATTGAAACCTCCCGAAACCAGAAACTTTCATTTGTTATCTGTTCATTAAAAAAAAAAAACGCGTTTCGCTCTCCGTATACCAAACATTTGTCGACAGTCGTATCGCATCAGCAGGCTTTACATTTATATTAGAATTTTTTTCACAATCTTTTTCTATGCAAGTTACATTTCAAAATCTCTGGATGGAACATCACAAGAATTATGTATTTCTTTCCAAATTTAATAAGTAAACCGCAGAGGACATTCTAACGAACTATCAGGTATTTTTTTTCTAGTGTCAACTAGCTTTTCTGAATAAGTTTTAAATTAAATATTTGGATTCGGATTTTGGATTTTGAAACAATTTTAATTCCTGTAGAACTATGTTAAATATAAGCCGCTGGGGCTTAGTTAGTTCGGCAATGTTTATTACTTAAGTTAATAATTACATGATTTATTTATATTTAACTCATGAATATAAATTTGTGGGGCGTCATTCACATAATGATAATGATTCGTAAAATATTTCACAATAATTTCATGACAGGAAAAGTACCTTTAATATTCAAAAACCCTCTTGATAATAAACTCTAGAAAATTCATAAAACTGTCTTGATCAAATCCTTTCGAAACCTTCAATGATTAAAACTTTCAGAGAGAACTTGTTGCCATTTAAATAAATCACTTCTAAAAAATTTAAAACATATTCTTTAACCTTTTTAGTAATTGTTTTCAAATTGATTTGTTTAATTAGCTTTGTTTATTAAAATCTTTATTGTTCTATACGAATTTATTTATTACAGTATACGGGAGTGATATTAATTAACTCTACACCAACGATTTTTAATTTTTAATTGTAATTATAAATCTGAGGTTTTTACATTTAGTTAACAAATTGAAAATGTTATGTAAGTTCTAAATCACAAAAATAAAAAGAGTATTTTTGCTAGTAATGTTATTTAATTATAACATCAATTTCCATAAATGTTACAAAATAGAAAAATAAATATTAAATAATGACGCAATAAAACGTTCAAAAAGTTTAAATTCATTGTTTCGCATAATTATATAAAAGTACATTATTTTTAATACATTTAAAATAATTAGAACCAGCAAAATGTAAACAAATTCAGTTTGAATCCTTTATTATTATTATCCTTTATGTTAAATGCAATGTAATAAACAGAATAGATTTTAACCCTCAATGATTAAGCAATTCCACATACATATGTACATACATATGTATATAAAATGTGTATTATTAAACTTTTACAAAGAGCACTACATATAATATTTATTTTTTTCCCTACAATTTTTTATCTTCAGCAAATCTATTATTTTAGAGCCATAAACTTACAAAGGCTTAGAGTTTTAAAACTGTTTTTTTCTAATATTGCTTTCATAACCGATTTAACCTGCACATAGATAGATTAGACGTTGATTTCATTTATATTGAAGTTTCGGAAACACAGCTGTACATTTTAAGCACTTATACATGGGCTATACGGTTCTAATGAAAAGAATTTGAACAATATTAGAAACCGTAACACACAAAATTGAAGATTTGATCTGTGAAAATGAACAAAAAACACTGCCAGAAACGTGTTCCCTTACAACTTATTAACGATTTTTTTTGTCACAGAAAACAGTTTCGATATAAACTGTTTTAACTAAAGGCATAAATGGCAAATCCTTGGAGATACTTTTCTGAGTTTAAATTTTTTAGAGACAAAACGTTTTAAGCTTTAATTCTTTTGTATGAAGCATCCTACATGGTAGAAGGAAGACCCAATTTTCCACTGACGAAGTTACATATTGAAAAAAAAATAAACAAATAAACTTTACAGGCATAAAATAAAATGAAGTAAGAACTATCCTCGTTTATAAGAGAACAAAAGATTCTTAATTCATTTAGGGGTGAGCAAAGAATTTTTGGCAATGATCCAAAACTTTTTTACCCATCATAGTTGATAAAGTCATAAAGCATAAGTCGGAGAAAGTTCTTGCTACTACTGCATTGAAAATATCTAAAGGACCCTAAAAGTTCTCGTCTTCCATTTTGAATATTACTCGTACAGAACTTTTCTTAAGATTTATAATAATAAAAAATAATAACAAATGGACTTAACAAAATTGTTTGTTTTAACATTCTATAAAAATTCTAAACAGTTAAAAAACACTTACATTTAATTTCAACACTCAAACCTAATTTTAACTTTTCATTACAAATTGCAATACATTGTCCAACACTTTCCATATCTGGTTCTACCAATAAATTTGAATCAAGATCTGCTAAGCACCTCAAAGTTGATTCGAATTCAAGCAAACCATACTCCATAAGTTGCCTTGTTGTTCGTTCATTCTTCCACAAAAAGTGATATGGTTTCCATCTTTTTATAAAAGCCTGTATATCAGGTTTTATATTCCTTGTGCAGGTCGAAAGTAATGATAATGTTTTGACAACTTCTTTATTTTCCATTATAGCACTATAAAAGTTTTTTGACATGTGTGGTATTGTTGGCTTATCTTCACTTAGTAAACCATAAAGTTTTCGACGTTTCATTCTTTTATCATCTTGTTTATCACGTTTATCACGTTTATTTGCAGCTTCGGTTGGTTGATTTTCTCTAGAAATTGTCCATTGTGCAACACCTTTTGCAATACCAGTAACATTCTTACCGGCGGTTATCAAAACTTCTTGTAAATCATCTAAATTTGGTTTAATAACAACATTTGGTATAAGAAGGACAGCATTTACTAAAAATATTGGTTTTTGTACTGGTTCATCTGATTCAGAACCAAAACGTTTACGTATTGCATCAAGAGCAGCTCTTATAACTTTTATTAAAACATCAATCACTTTTCGACTGTAATAACGTCTCATTTCGACAACTGCATTACAAACCATGTCCTTGAAAAAATTATAAAATTAAAGGTTTCTAATTAAAAAAGAAAAGTCTAACTTTAAATTTATTTACATATTTCTACTTAAAATTTCGATGCCGACATTTTTTTTTTTGTTATGTCACATGAATAGTAATTCTGAAATGTAAAGAACCTACAGCCGTGTTTTTACTCTATTTATAAACATAAATATCAACCTATCTCTTACATTGAAAAGATAAAATTCAGACTTGTATGACACATTATAAGAGCTCTGATTCTCGTGGAATAGGGATTTCTAGATTTTGTAGGGACATGAATGTGAATTAGATTTAAATACCAAGCTCTATTGGTTAGTGTAATTATAAACAAAATACCGCCAAAATAAAGTACGCATAAATTGATTCTAAAACATTTTAGCCAAATTTTCAAAAAATTTGTTTAGTGGACACCAAGTTTTCTATCGCAAAATGACAGCATACCTGCATTCCCTTTGGTAAATTTTCAGCAGCCGATAATAATTGCAAAGGATTTTCAAAACAAGACCACAGTATACTCCAATCCTGTTGCTGATTGCCCTCTGTTTTCTCATCACCTCCTTTTCCAGCTGATTGTTGGTCTTTTGCAGCAGCTTAAATAAACACGTATAGGATTAAATAATATTTCACAGCAAATGTTACAAATTACGAAATATATTTTGTTAAACAATTTAAAAATATTATTTATACCATCGAAGAGTGTAACAACATCATCTCCTGCTATTTCTTTAAAAGTATCTGTTGCTTTATCGACAAGATTAAGAACTTCTTCAACAGCTTCAGATACCATTTGACTTTTACGATTCAGTTCAATAGCAGCACATCTTATAAATGAGTAGCAAATAGATTTAAATTAATTTATTAAGATACATAAGACAAATAACAGGTAGTATTAGCTAACTTTTTAATAACATTAGAATCATATGAAAAAAGAAACTTACCTAGATGCTATTTCGCTTCTTTCCAAAAATTCTTCAGTTGTCCATACTTCATCATCTTAAATAAAATTTTATTTATTTTCCATAATTATATAAATTTTTTGGAAATTCCATCCGAGTGCTGATTTTTCCAAAAAATTTATGGGTTAATTGCTTTGAAACTCTAAATTTAAATATTAAATTTCAAGGAAATTTTTTGATTATCTCTGTTTATATGCGTAAAAATATATGTAAAATCGGCCCGGAAAAAAGTCAAGTTTCCAAGGTCTGATGTATCACATATCCAAAATAATCTCACATATAAAATTTCAACAAGATCTGTTTAGCTGAACTTGTTATACTCGCGTACACATACAGACAGACAGACACACCGGCAGACCAACATCCCTACTATGGAGAAGTGCGGAGACTCGACATCTATAATTTGGTGCCTTCACATGACCGCCCGTATTGTAAGCAATGCGGTTGGTAAAAATATTAGTTAAATAAAACGTATATTTAACTTACCATTTGGTAAAACTGGCAAATTAACATCTTGCATCGACAATAAAACATTTAAAATTCGATTAGAATAAATGTCATGTACCCGATCAACAAGAACATCAAATGTTTCAATTGCTTTTTTACATCTTTCGTAAAAATTCACCCACTCTGGGTCAGTCCACTAAAAAAATCAATTAAAAATTTTTGGAATATTAATGATGTGTAAAATACGATTTTAATGGATGTTATTGATTTGACTATAACTACATATAATTCTTTTAAAGGATTTATTTAATTAATGCTGCACAAATAAAGTTGAAAAAAATTTAATGTCTGTCATGAAGGATGAATAATAAATATGGTCATAAAGTCGGCAATATTAAGTGAAATTAATAAAAAATCCTGTACAGATGCAAAATAATTTCAATTGTATTTTTTTTTTTTCAAATAATTTGTTCTTTGAAGGGCCCTTGTTTATATCAAGTACCCTGGTAAAAATTTAATCTAAAAATAAAGTATTAAATTCAAAAAAAATTTAAAATATTTTGCAACAATTGCATTTTTCATATAAAAAGGGAAAATTGAGAACCCAATCTACCTATTTTCTTTTAATTAACCCAGATATAAGCTCATCAGTAAATTTTTGATTTTTCATAACTTTATTAGCTTTTCTTACTTTTAGATTATTTATAAATCCCTTTAAAGCTTATGGAAAAATTCATTTAAAATTAGTTTTGCTCAAAACAATATAAAAGAACATTGTAATGATGACAGCAACCTTAAAAACTTTCTACCATTTTATTCTCAGTAATCATTCCATCCGCTGCCATCTTAATAATTTTTTTCAATCCAATCTTTCTATAAGATGTTTTTTAATCTTGAAAAATATAAAAATCAAGTTTTGAGATCAAGTTTTATCGTATATTCGAACACGAACAGTTCAGTATTCCCTACAAGTATCTATAAAAGAACTTATTAAAAATCAAAATGTTTCTGTGATTGTGTGTTGTTGCGATTTTATTGTATCACATGTAAACAATATACGCAAACATGACGATTGCTGTATACAAAGCGATGGAATAATTGCCAATAATTTCGTCATAAATAATTGCCAATAATTCGGTAGGTCACTGGTTCAAGTTCAGTTCGAGGAGGATTTTTTTTTAATTTTTCTTCCTTGAATCTATCTTTTCTGCAGTTATACAAACGAATTTTCATTGTTTATTTCCATTATCACCATATTAAATTTAGGTACACGAACTTAATCCTTTAAAATTTATTTTCCAATTAAGAAACTGCTTTAAATATTTACTTAATTGTATGTATTCCTTACGTAAGAACTAAAAATTGTCAATTTATTAAAAAATAATTATCATTTTTTAATTGCTTACTCGCATAATAATTATAAAAATTATAAAATTTTTTACACGATTAGAATTTAATTGATTACTTAGCAAAAATTTTTGTTTTCCTTTTCACATATTTTTTTAAAAATCACCTTGCAAATGTCAAAAGGATATTCAATTTAAATGTATGATAAAGTTGAAAAAATATTAATAAAACATCATTGAAACTATCAACATATGGTAGATAACCTTATTATCCTGTGAATGTCCTTTTAACATTTAACAGAAATTATTTTCAAATTACATATTTCTTTAATAATAATTAAATTTTTCAAAAATATATTTATCAAATAAAACTTAATGATTGTCTCGAATAAGAATTTCCTTTTTAAAATTAGTTTTATTAATAGTAAAAAGAATTTCAAATAACAAAACGCTCTACGTCTTTGTACCAACACTTTTACATTTTTGTATATTACATACTTACATTTATCGTTCTTTACTTACATTTATCGTTACTAGTCCTGGCCGAAGCATTGTCGTTAAACGGACAAGTTGTGGCAAAAATAATGGACGAACTTCTAATTTTACGGTCTTTACAGTTGAAAAAAACATTTTAATAAGACTCTAAAAATAAACAATAATAAAACATGGTTAATAGTTTTTTAAAAGTTTTTAATTTAATATAATTTTTATAAGAAATGTTTGCCCGGTTCTATCGAATTTTTTAAAGTATACAAAGGTGTTATAGAACCTAAGAAACCTATTGAAACAGAGAAACTGCCGAAAAAAACTTTAAATTTTGTTTGAATTTTAACAATTACTTGAGGGTGTAGTGGAATATTGAGGACTGTGGAATATTCGGTCAAGTACATATATTTTTATTGATTTAAGAGGTTTATTTAACGAAAAATGGAAGAATAGAAATTGGGAAATCATTCCACAAGTAGTTAGTTCCAAACTTTTTCCACACAAGTAGTTTTGGTTTCAAATTTTTCTTTGTGTGCGAAGAAACAATTCAAGACAAAAATATTAACAAAAATTTTGAATTTTAAAACAATTGGTAAGAAAGTCGAAATTTATAAGATCGATATTTAAGTACGTACGATAAAAGAAAGTGAGATATTGCTAAATAGTACGGTTCTTATGTTTTTTAAAGTATAGTCGGTAAATTTTTAATAAAGGATTCCGACACCCAAGTTTATCACATAGTTCTTACTTTACATTCAAATTTATTAACGTATCTCCAAAAACATTGTTCGGATTAACTATTCTTCCTATATGTAATGAGAAAAATCTATAAGAACTCTAATTGCTCATTAAAATGCCTATGGGTAAGAATTATTAAAAAGGAAATATTAAAAACAAATATGCTAAAAAAACATGTATGTAGCTGTAACGTATAGGTACATATGTAAATTATAAAAAAGGAAAAGGTTGCTGTAATAAAAAGCAAATATGTAATTATGTGCATTACACACATATATACGAGTATATGTACATGTTTAACATTCTAATAAACTTACACAAATATGAATACCAAAATGGTAATATGAACAAGAAAACAAAAGGGCACAGATAAATGTACATATAGTACTTATTAGAACACCATGGAACTTATTTTTTTTAAAGTCGCAAAATTTATTTATTTTTCGTAGAAAATTTTCATCCACGATACTGTTGCAAGACATGACCTAAGTTAAATATTTATATTGAAACCAAATTAATACAACCAGAGAAACTTTATTTCTCTGAAGAATTGAGGATTAATTTAAAAACGTGAAACAATTTGTTTGTACATCGTTGATAATTTTTTAATTTAATCTGGAAAATGCTTTATTTTTACTCACATTTAAGGAATCCTGTATTGTAGTAAAATAATCCTGACGACACATTAATGTTGCAGCAACGATTGGTAATTCAATGTTTAATTTTGATAAACATTTCGCCTCTCTTATTAATAGTGGGATTGTAGGATGTAAATTCACAAATAGTTTATCGCCTTGCAATATGAGTACGGGTTGTAATAAACAGCCATCAGCAACTGCGACCTACAAAATAAAATCATAGTACATATCTATTTATCAATGCATAAACAGGGAAACAATGGGATGTTGACGTTTAAAATAAAAGTCAAGATCAATTGATGTAAACAAGACGTAAAAACAACTAGAATTAATTAAGTCAATTATCAAAAGCGACATTATCATCATTCTCTTATCAATGCAATATTGATTTGTTGAAGCAAAGCTATTTTACGCACTTAATCAAAAACCATTTAATTTTGTTGTATTCCTGAAATGCACCTCTTTTAGAATTTTATTTTTTATTAATATGATTACTTATTTCTTTTTGAAATTAATATACAAAATATTTATATACAAAATAATTCAAACAACTTAAAGCGTTGTCCGAACATCATTCGATTTGCTTTAATTGACACGACTAAGAAAAGTTTAGAAGAAGGCAAATATATATATATATATAAAATACTACATTTTGCTAAACAAACTTACATCCTGATCTAGCCATATAGAAACAATCTCTTGATGATATTCAGCCAAAGTTGACTTCACTGAACTGTAACGATTTTCCAAATCTTTTGTTGTTGGTAAAGTTTGTAATACTGGATGTGTTGTGACACTCGTCATTAATTCAGTTAAATGTGCATCTAATGAAAAGCACCATTTTATACGACCAGCAATTGGTGGAAAATTTCGTGGTATTGGTGGATCATCTCGTTGTTTACGAAATAATTTTAATATGCGATCAACTTCAGTACCACAATATTTTAAAATTCTTTGATATTTATCTTCCATATTCGATAATGGAATTTTTTCACTGACTTTCTCAAAGCGTATTAAAAATCTTATACATTGTGGTGTCTCCCATACCGTATCGAAATTTTTTTCAATCATTGTACCAATTGACTCTTTTAAATTATCGGTTTTACCAATAAAACGATCATAATCAGCATTAAAATCATTATTACGATGATCTAGATAATCATATTTTTTTGATATTATTTCTTTTTTGGCATCTTCAAATGTTGCCATAGCTTCCTCAAGTGCCTCACCAAGTAATAAACCTTCAAGACGACGTTCAAACAAATGATTATAGTCATCGATTAAATTAAACATTGATATGATTTTTGATAAACGTTCACAAAATGTGTCGAATTTACCAAAAACGAAATTTTCAGAGAAACCAAATGGTGTTTGATTTGGTAGAAATGGTTGTTCACGTACAGCATAATAAGTTTCGTGATAAATATGATTCAATTTAATGCAATTATTTAGTTTTGTGCGCACAATATTGCGATCCTGTGACCAAATTGTTTCTTTGCAGCGACACGTGATGTATGACTTACAAGTTTCTATCATTTGATTTGTGATCTAAAAAAATTGAAGCTTATGTAAATTACTAAAATGTTGGTTATACTAAAATTTATACTTTTTCATTCACTTATATTCAGAAAAATACGCCATTAATTAACAAAGGGATCATATTTACATAGAGCTGTAAATAGCTATAAATGCCGTTATTCTGAGTGGTTTATAATAAATAAGGAGTGTTTTATACTATAATGGCCCATATACCAAAGCTTAATTTTGTGAATTAAATTTAAAGAAAGTTACCGATAATTTTGTGAGAAAAGCATTTACATCTTACATCACAAACATGCCAAGTTTCAGCGCCGGATCTGTCATATATGCAAAGTAAGCATATGCAATGAGCGCCAAAAAATAGGGGCGTAGTTATTATATGCAATATTCAATGTTTTTTGCATATTGTTCACTGTTTGGAAAGCGGCAGGGCACGATTTTTGAGAACCGCGTAAGGCGCCGAACACCTCAGAACCGAGCCTGAGTTTAATTTTTAACAAAGTTTTACAAAATAAAATTTTTAAATCCACAAATATTTTAGTTACCTTAACCATTAAAGCTGAAGTGCGTTCAGACGTATTGTAAAATTGTGAGACACTGTAAATTAAACGAACAGTTTGCAGAAGACTTAAAATTGATTCTTTCATATTAACCTAGAAATGCATACACAAATTATTGCAATATAAAATCGGGAGTAATTTAAGATTCCAAAGCATTTTGTTCTTACCGGGTCATCAAGATACAAAGAATGACAACAATTTTCCATAGCCTGAATAAACTTTGAATTATCCTTTGCCTCATTATAGCAAAACGTGATTTTTTTATCTGTTTCCTTCCACGTTTTCATTACTTTTGAATTAGCTTTTGATAAACAATAAAGAGTGTACTGAACTTCTTTTTCCTGTTTGTAATTAAATAAATTTTGTTAGTAAAATATTTGTAATTTAAAACTATATAAAAGGTAAATAAAATAACTTTATAAATAAAATCAATGAAAATCTTAGAAAATATTAAATTCTAAAATACTTTATTTCTTAAAGTTAGGGATTTAAAATTCAATTCATAACACATTTAGAATTGAGTGTAGTGAATCGACACTCAATTCTAAATTTGAAATTCTTTATAAGTTAGCAAAAGCGTACAACAATTTTCCAGTCAATGAAAGTCAAAAAATATTGTACAAGAATATTAGATAAGACTTATTCCTCCATAATAAAGATAGAAGAAGTAATTTTAAACCGAGAGATTTAAAAATTTTTCAATTCTGGAAATCGCTCTTCGAATAAATATTAAAGAATTTCCGGTCGGAAGAGACTCCTTTATATACTATATATTTCGGCCTTGCTATTCTTGATAAATAGTCTTATTAAACAATAAATATTTGTTGCAAAAATTTGCTAAACTTATTGCTTACTGTCATAAAAGTCAATAATTGTGAAAATAATGCACCACGCTTCTTCCAATATTCTAATTCATCTTGAGGTCCACTTGAATCATTCTCTCGACGTAATTGTTCACTTTCGCCTAAAACTTTCATTATACCTTTAACCCAATTGGTAACGCGTTCTTCAAGTACAGTGCAAACTTCTTGTTCCTTAGACATTTCGCATACTTCAATTAATGAGTCGACTGCTTCAAATTGATCATTACCATCATTGAAGATATTGACATTATTAACAACTTCTTCGCATACTCGCAAGGCACTAAATATATTTAAAATATTTTTAACATAATTATTATTGTTTATTATAAAACGGGAAGGTATGTACCTGCAAAATGATCTTAAACCTGGTAGCAATTGGCTTTTGATCAAACTACAACTAACATCTTCTTCTTCTGATTCATTACTTGGAAATGCTAAAGCTTGCATAAAAACATGTTCAACTATACGCTCTATTGATGTTATTAGACCGATACCTTTGGCATTAATTATACCACAATATCTTAAATGAAATTTTAGAAAAAAATATCAAATAATTTATCCTAATAATAAATCATCAGTTTCCAGTGATTTATTGTTATTGTAGTGTTTTTATTAAAATCTGAAAATTTAAACTTTTGATTAACTGCATTCATAAGGGAGCTATGAAATAATCCTGATGTACTCAAAATTTAATTTCTTTACTTTTGAAATTAAAAATTCTTGTAAAATTATTTACTTTCGAATAATTCTTTGTTCGACATGTCATGGCTTTCAAAAAATCTTAGAATAATAAATTGTAATGTTAAGAAATACGCGTAATGCTGTTAAAGAATTCCAAATATACCACTGAAATTGATTGCAACTCGTTCTTTTAAGGGATCGTTAAAACAAAAAAAGCATTACAATTGGAATATCTAATTTAAAATCTAGCCTCAAAACATGTTTAAAGCGACTACAAAGAAACAAATACGTAAATTCAAATATCAATCATATCAAATATTCTTCAGCCTAAAGATTACAAATAATATGTTGAAACTTTAAAAGAATCTTTAAACCATTCGACATTAACATGCTAAAATTTTTAAGCAAAAAGTTTACAATAAATTCAGAGATAACAAAGAAATAACCTGCCTTTATCGGCAACAAATTGTGTATTTGTTAATCAAAAACATAAAAAAGAAAAATAAATTTAAAAAAAGTAATAAAATTTTCAAGTTTGCATTCTGAAGCTATCAATTCAAATTAAAATTGATATAATAAACATCCTGCAACTTGAAACTTTGTTGAAAATTTCACACAGAGTAAAAGTTTTATCTGTAATAATGCAATATAAAGGATAATATTATCCTTTTTTGTTTATTATCTACACATAATACATACATATATACTTTGAATTGTACTTACAAATCCTTCTGAAATCCTTCTTCTGGCAGTTGCTTGTAGGTGTTCAATCGTAACATATATATGCAAACCCCACTTAAGGGACATGACCAACCGTCTGTCAAGAAAAGTTTTTTCTTCTTTTCAACACCAGTTGGTGTGGTACCTGTACAAAAAATAAATTTTACGTCAACGTATAACAATATGCTAACAAATATTAGAAAGTTATACTTATTGTGGTCTGTTTAATCAGTAGACATTTTAATTAAAAGATGAGTTGGGTGAAAAAGTTTGGAAAAAAAAAACTTATGCAAAAACGATGCAACAATTGAAATAAAAATTGTCTAAACAAAACAAAATATGTAATGGAGAATTGTTCACGTTTCGCGAAATTTCATACAATTAAGTTATTGACCTCTTACAAAATTTAAAATAATACGAAAATATTCTGTTTTATATATTAATCCTGCTAATGTGCATAAATATTTTGTGCGAGTCTAATTCTACTAGTTTACAGAATATTTAATAAAAGTAAAATAAATCTAAAAATTCCAGTACAGGTTTTGGAATTAAAGGCACAAAATTAATGATTGGATCAATTGCACTTGAAATAATTAAAAAAGAATTGTACCTAAAGGAGTTTTTGACACGGTTGAAACACCAGATCTTGATGGTCCTGGCTTATTTGTATCCACTGATGGTGTAGGCTCTGGTTCATCTACTTCCTGATAAAACCACATCAAACTACTTTTCATATTTGGTAAAAATAATTGATTAATTTCATCCAGCTGCATAAAATAAAAAAAATCTCATGTACATAAAGTTAGGTTAGATTATTGAAATTAACTTGAGATAAATGAAATAGCTTTTTTTCTTAACTATCTATAAGTACAGAGTGTACCATTGTTTATATTTAAGTGTACCATTGTTTGGACCCTCATGGTTTAACAAAACTTTTGTATACAAACGATGCTCAATTAGGAATTCTTGGGAAAAATTAGTACTGCAAATGTTTTTTTGTACGAAATTTGGTACTTTTCAATGATTTAAAAAAATATGACTAACAACCGAGCTCGATTAACATTTGAAAAAATTAACAACTCGAAAATATCATTTTATGTCTCGTCGCAGAGTATCATTTTAAGTCTAAGATGGCGATATAATATTTAATCGAAAGGAAAAACTATGCAAATCAAATTCTGTTGTCAATTCTATTGATTGTCTTCTATTTAAGCATCCAATTTCTATAGTTGTAGTTATATTTTTTTAATAAAAATGAACTGCAGTCGACTTGTGCTGGTATGCATTTGGTACTTTAAAGATAAGTTGAAAAATTATTGTCTCAAAATTATTCTAAAACTAATATTAAATTTAATTTTACTGATGAAATTCTATTGTGCCGCGGTCCACTTTTGGATTTCGTTAAAGCGATTGTAACTATATGTACATATATATGTACATATGTACATATATTCAATAAAATGATAAGAAAAATAAAGAATAATTTAAAACACATCAAACCTTGGAAAAAATGTTAAAATTTTTCTTACCATATCACCCTCAAAAATATGGTCCATAATTTGATGTCTGGGCAAACAAGTACCATCAATTAACAACTGAAAGGTAAATTCAAGACGGGGGTCCATTTCCCCCCTTCTTGCTTTCCGTTCACATTCTTCTCTTCTTCTCTGTTGTTCATCGTCCATATTGAAGTTGGTGTTTGTTGGTATCGGTTGGATTGATTTAAAAATTTATCAAATTGAAGAAATTTGACGATTTGATTTCCAGATGTGAATAAAAATCACCAAAATTCGAAGTAAATTGTTTTCGATGATTTCAATTTAAAAAAAAAATTATTTTTTTTTTCGTTGTCGAAGAATGTGAGACAAAAAATTTATTTAATTATAGACAAAAATCAAAACAAAAATTTTATTTTACTCTTTTTTTTTATTTGACTTTTAAATCTTTTTTTTGTTTTAGTTTTGAATAATTTTAAAAAAATTTGAGTTTATTTTTCAAAATCAAAAATAATTACTTGCTTGTCTTTATATGCACTATAGTTTTTTAATTCTATTGCACTAAAAATATTTTACATTGTTTGTAACAAACTGTTTGAGGAACTACATCTAAGCTGCTATACAAAAAAATCTAGTTTTTTAAAATTTGAACACAAACTACGGCACAAAATCAAAAATCAAAAATAATTAAAAATCAAAAATTATTTTGCACAGTGCAATTTTTCTCCAATCAGTCTTTTTTATTTACAAAATATTTACATATATGCAAAAATATGTACGTTTGTATGTATGTTTTTAAATATTGAACTTCTTTTAATTCTGAAAAGAAAATTAAATAATTTTACAAAAAGAAGAAAATTTAAAAATTTGGAGCATTCCTTTACATATTTACAAACATAAAAAATATTTGAGTTTGATTTTCAGTTTAAATTTCATAAGCTTTGTTAAATTTTCTATTAAAAACTGTAGTAAAAAAGCGCGTCTTTCGGAAGCAAAATAACTGAAAAATAAGCTTTATGAAATTGGTCTGAAAATCAAGCTGTGAATTTTAATAATTCTTTTTCATAATTATTTACAATATTGTCTTTTAAAATTAAAATAAAAATTTGTAGAACTACATCATCCTCTACGAATTTATTACACATAATTTTCATGACCAAGCTGTAGGAGATGATGCAACGCATCTAAAAATTAATAACGCAAATGGTTTGTATTGTAGCACTTTTCCCTTCAACAAGTGAAAATACTGTTTTTAAAAAGAGTCTATGTATATCCACCACACTATTTTAAAATTATTTTCATTCATAAACGAAACTATTTCTAGGATTGCATATTTTTTGGATGCACAGTTTTTGAAATAACGCAAAAATTAATTTAAAGAGGAGTTAACATAATACTCGATTTTAAGGGTTAATTGCGAGAGTTAAGAAAAATAATTATATTTTTCAATGGCATGGAATTTACCGTTAGCTTTTAGCGTCCATAGAAATTTGAAAAAACTTGCGGTTTCGGAAATATAAGGCGTCAAAAATTCAAATTTTACAAATTTCAAGAGGCGATAACTTGAGAGGGGGTGGAGATAGAAAAAATTTTTGCTCTAACGAAATAACGTATTTATTAGTACCTAAAAGCCCCTAATTAATTTCAGGCTCTTACAGGCTGGGGTCTAGATGAAAAACGACATCAAAAATTTGGAAAAAACGGACTTTAGATAATGGTAAATTTGAACGGCCATTTTGTTTTTCTAAAGTTTAACTATAGTATACCGCGCTAGGAGAAGCAAGTCACTGCCTTTTTGCGTTTGCAAAATTTGAAAAATTTGAAAAAAAGAATGTAAAGATCTATGTGCACATAATTTCAGCTTTCCATCTTCAAGGGTGTAGAAGTTTTGTAAACATGTCTACGAACGGACGGGCGGACAGAGTGAAACTATTAAGCAATTTTTTTCAAAAAATTTTTGGAAAAGTGCTAAAAAAAATAAGGAAGTTAATTTCGGTCTTTTCCAAAAAGAGAGACCTTTTAAAGCTTTTCAACAACATTAGAACGACGAACGGTATGATGTTGGATTATTTTTTCCAAAGATCTATCTTAAGCGGCTTATAAAATGTTTGGAGATATCAGTGCTCAGAAATCGAACTAGGGCCGATTTTACATTTTTCACCATATCTAAAAAACTAACCGATGGGATTTTTGGAAATTTAATATTTAAGCTCAGTTTATTATCAAAAGTTACTGACGAACTTTGAAAAGAATTCGGATTATGTGAAACTCAACTAGAACCCAAATTCAGATTTTTCTAGGTATGTTAACTAAAAGCTTACTTAAAATTTGAAGAAAGCATTTAAAAAACATTTTCATAATCCTATGCATCATTTTCGCTAAACTATACAATACACTTTGCGGCCGGTTATTAGCTGACCATATCAGTTTTTTTTTATGATGAGAATATTGCTGCAATAGAGTTCTGGCAGGGGGTCATTCCTTATCTCATCGTGAAATAAGAACTAACGGTTTTTGAAAATGACAAGTTTATTTAATATTTTTAATTTTTTATATGAATTATTGAGAGAAAAAATTAATGCTGTTAGAAAAATGTTTAAAATTTACTATATAAGAGAAATCACTTACAATTTGAAATATAAAAGTATAAACGAATGGAACTCGTTGTTTGTTCGAAAAATTAATGGTGTCTAATTTTCTTACATAAAAAGAACTGTAATTTAGTAAAAATCATATGAGGTCAAACATGTACAAACAAAAACTAAGAACTTCCAATACTTTCAAAATGAAGAGAAATTATTTGCAACATATACATAAGTACATTATATACATTTGTAATTCAATAGACACAAAGTTTAAGAAAATTATAATATAAATATACTTTTATAATCAGGAGTTCATGTACATACATATATTTTAAAATTTAAAGAAATATTTACATAAATCTTGAAATAAAAAGAAAATTTGGAATGCGATACACAATGGGTCGTAACCTCACCACGATTGCCTTTCGCAATATTCTCTAAACTCTTAACAAAAATATCGTTATATACGTTTAATTACGTTTGCGTTTGCAATTTACAAAAATTACAAAAATTACAAAATAAATTCACTTTAATATTTATTAAAATTTCATATTTGGCAAGCTAAATTTTAGAAGAAAACTGTATAGATCATCAAAATTAAGTACTAAAATAAAAACATAACAAAATCTAATATAATTGATCAATTATCAAAAAAACAAATTCTTTCAATAATTTACAATAATCTCCTGAAATTTCTCTTTCATTTACTGTAAAATAACAATAGTATGCAGAATCACATTAACGGCGGAATTAACGCGACACGACCCACTGTGTTTTTCGCTATAGTATATAGAAAGTAGAAGAAAAGTGCGTCACTTGAAATTTTTTGTCACCACAAAATTTCTTTTATTCTCATTTCTGTATGATTTTATTTAAAGTTTTCAATTTTGCTGACCTATTTTATTTGTATTATTAAAATATTTCATATTATCTTCAGTTCACTGTTCATTTCTTTAAAAATTCGAAACAAAAAAAATGAACTGGAACTTAAAATTTTTTAAATTTACGTATATGAAATCTTTAAAACTACTCCTATTTTTGTTATTGGTATTTTGTTAATTAGTTTGATGAATTTCATTGAAAAGAGTGATTAACTTTTGGTTTAACTTGAATTGAATTCAATCAACTAAAAAATTGTTTGATTGCAAATTGCAATTACACCCTTCTGTTAATTTTTAGCTTGCATCATTATTGTAAATTTTTGAAAAAAAAAAAAATTAGATTTCATTAATTTTACTTACTTTTAATACTTGCAATCGAATTTTTCCCACCATACTTTTCCCAAATACTTTTCCTAACATTTTTTTTTTCAATTATACTTGTTATTTATTATGGTATATAAAATAATTTTTATACAATTTATAAATTTATAACTTTCTTACTAAATATTTTAAAAATAAATTAAAAATACAAAATTATAAATACCCATAAATCACAAATATTTTACTTTCATCTAAAATTTCAAGATTATTAGAATAGGTCATGCACAGCAAAAACCATAGGTAAATTAAAAACAAATAAAAAAATATATTTACAGCAATTCCAATAATTCCAATTCACACATATAATTTTGTTGAGCTACGCTGAAATAGGCGCAATAAGCACAGCTTCATAATAAATAAACCGGTTAGGTTGTTAATCGCTTTATCTACATTTAATAAGCCAAATTTTCTTGATAACTCTATTATTATACACGCATTACCAATATTTAAACTTAAAAAACAAAAACATATAGGTACATACAATTTAACACTATCGATTTTTAGATTGTTACCAGCTTTCTATTTATTTTATAATAATAAAATTATTACTAAAGCAACTACTAAACAATTTTACTCTTTATATGGTGAGCATTGACTAAATATCGATTTTTTTCAGAAAACTCCTTTTTTACTTTTGAAAATTTTTCTGAAGTATAAAGAACAATGTTACGTAATTCTGCCATATTAGAATTTCATATTAAAATTATGAAAATTTATAATTAAAACTATTTAATATTACATTTTATATACAAATTATTATTTTAAATATACAATTATATAAAAAAAATTAAAATTTTCTTCACAAAATTTCTATTTTTTTTTTTTTTATTTCACCTGAAGAATATCTCCTTCAAGTTCTTCCTCTTCAGAATCATCACTTGTACCACCTAAATTACCCAATTGCTTTTTGTGAACAAACATTTTATTTATTTTAAAACACTTCTATCTTATTTTTTAATTAAATCGAAATTTTTTTACAATTTTTTTCACAAAATTTTTACATTTTTTACACAAGAAAAAATTTTTACATCCTTTTAATACAAAAGTTTTTTTTCTTATATGAAAAGCATTTGTTTAATCGATTAAACAACGGTAGTTAAGTGATCATTTCAATGCTAAGGAAAAAACAAAAAGTACGCCTGCGCCATATGCAAAATATTGGAAATCTTCAAAAATCTTAGAAAATTTAATGGCAACCCTGGGATTTTTCATTTTATCGAATCATACTGTAAAGTTTGATCGATAAAAGACATTTTCAGGGGAATTTTTGTGGCGATTTTGCGCTTTCGCTGCGATGAAGCTACCTGTTGCTTGTTTTAAATTACTTGTTGCGATTTTTTGCTACTTGTTATTCTTTTGTTTAACTTGTTGCTAATTTTAAATTACTTGTTGCTCGTTTTACATTACTTGTTGCGAGTTTTTGTTACTTGTTACTTATTTTGTGTAACTTGTTGCTTCTTTTACAACCTTTTGATAACCTGTTAAATTTTAATAACACGAAATATTTACATTTAACGTGAAAATATCAATAAAATGGTGTTCAAGGATAATTTCATTCATAATTTTTTTTACTTTGTTGTAAATATTAGGTGAACATTTTATTCATAATAATGGTTTGATCCTTGAGATGAATATTATACTCTTTTATTGAATTTGAAGGACAATTAAAATTACTTTGTATATACGTTTGCTATCTTTTTTTGTTTTTAATTGTACTTAAAGCTTAATCTAAAAACAAAAATTCCGGAATGCAAAAATAATTTTCACGAAGTCCAAAACTTCGTGTGAAATAATAGATCATTGTAGTGGAATTTTTTGTCTTTTTCATGGGATAAGTCGGATTGACAGTAGAATGAAAGGAACATCCCAACTCCCGAATAGCTTTTATTAATTATCTACTTCTAGTTGAGGTCAATCTTGGACTCCAATTCGCATATTTGCCATTATAGTCACCACCCAATAAAAATCTATTTCCCACGCGAATAAGAGATTCTTAAAAATATTTTTTTTTATGTTACATCTTTGTGAACAATATACTGAACCAACTTTGAAGTTCTGCTTGGTAGATTCCATCTTCACCATAACGAGTTGAACCCTCTGCATTCTATTTTATATTCCCAAATTAAAATATCACCTCCTCCTCTTGAATGGTTACCAGATTACTTCTAAGAGTCTCAACTTTTACTCTCATGTGCTGAAGATATTCTATTTTATGTTCAAATTTTAATTATGTCTTTAGTATAATCGAAGGACATCATGAAAAGGAGCAACTTTCATATTGTGCTTCATGTCAAGAAATAGTATTCACGTCATTTTCTTTTATTTTTTTAATTTTATTTATAATATCTGGGCATATGAATACCCTTTGGATAAGTTCACACTTAATATCCTGTGGCTCACATGATGGGTGTAGATTTCTGACCATTACTTTAATTGGCCTCGTCAATTTATTTTCATAAGTATGCCATTCCATTTTGGCTTTATTAACAGCTTTTGTTATTTGTCTATTTTCATTTTCATTTTCATCATTTATTTTTAGTTGATCAATGTTCATCATGTTTACCTTTACGTCAATATTTTCCTTTTTGAGGATTCTTATTAACTGCGTGTAATTAATTATAATACTCATTATTACCGACAGAGGTTTACATTTTTTAAATTGAGCATTTTTCCTTGGTGGCAATTTCTCTAATTTAATGCTATTCATTTCTAGTGCCGATTCCATTTCTGATGAACTCTTAGCTTTTGTCTTCTTTGAATTTCTTCAATTCAACCGATTGATTTCATGAAACCAATCGGTTTCTCTAGCCAACTCCTCTTCATCAGTTTCGTACACGACCACACCTATTTTGTATTTTTCAGTGCCATTTGGAACTACGTTCTACTGTCTCTTCCAATCCAATCTTAGATTTGCCCTGAGTTTGCGGAACTCTCATTCAGCTCCTTATACCGGTTTTCCAAATCGTTTATACGCGAACCGATCATTGGTCCACTTTCCTGATGAAACGAGCTTTTTACCTCAAAACAAAATATTTTTGCCCACCTTTTTTATCACCTTATTTTTAATCATATTGCGCAATTTTGCGTAAATGGTTTTCACTTAGTTCCTGTTCAATTTTTCTTCCATGTAACAAAAAACATTTTACGATAACAAAACAACTTGACAAGAAAAAATTCGAAAAAATACTCAAAAGAAGCAAAATGTACTATTGAATTTAAGATTTGAAATGGGCGACGTCTATGTCAGAATATTTAGAAAGAGCTAACGTTATTTACATAAGTTTGCATTAATTTCAAAATTTGTAGAAACTAATACTGCGACCTTGATCTTTCATTTAGGACAGAGCATACAAAAAAGGAGAAATAAAAAATAATGTCGTAATACTCGTATTGATAGCGTTGAAACAAAATACTAAATATTTTTGAAATTTTGTCACCTTTACAAGGATACCCTAAAAATTCTAAATTATTATAAACACAAACCGATGGATTTACTCGTGTCTATGACAACTCTTTCATAAATTTTTACAGTCAGCATAGTACCAATATTTACAGTTTCAAAAGAATATTCAATATTATTCTATTTCTCAACAGATAGCAGTAACCACAGTAAAAATTAAAAATGGAACAACTCTATATTTATATCTGTAAGCAGAAACAATTATTTATTAAAATTTACTTATTTCTGCTGTAAGTAAATAATATTTAATTTTTACTACATCTATCTGTTTACAAATTGAATATTCCTTTGAAATTGTAATCTTTTTGTAATATGTTACAGCGCTATCTATTAAAATATATTTGAACGAAAATTTGGGCTGTGTTTCCGTTTAATACAATATTTTTTTGACATTTGAAATGATTGCTTTACATCTGTTATATGTCGATTGTCAATTAATTTTTTTCTCATAATTTTCAATGTTATTTGGAATAATAGTGATGTGGATAATTTTGTAAATTTTTTCTTTTCTTTGCAAAATCAAGAAAAAAAATGGACAAACCATTCAATATTGTAATGTTTTTCTAAATATCAAAACATTTATAAAATGTATCGTGGAAATCCCAGAGAACATCTAGAATTGGTAGGAGATCAATATAACATTGAGGTGAGAAGTTGAAAATTTTTTAAAACATATTTTCACATAATAAATACATCATTTTGAACAAATTTGTAGGCATCAGCCTTACACAGAAAATTGCAAAGCAAGAATGAAGCTGTTAAAATCATGCGACAAGAATTAGAAAGGTTTCGAACAGAAAGAGATCAATTTAAATTAATGGCGGAGACATTACAACTTCGTTTTACAGCCATTAGAAGAAATACTGATTATAGTAATGTCGGCTTCAATGGTAATGAAGTCGCTACTTTGTTAAATGAAACTCGTGAAAAAAATATAAAATTAACCACCGAAAATGAGGCATTAAAACAAAAGTTGGTAGAAGTACAGGGAGATCTCAAGGTTTTAAGACAAAAAGGAAATACAGATACTAAATCTATAACAAGTACAGATAATTCAAGTCAAGATAAACTTTCAATAGATGGGAAAGATGAACAAGACTGGAAAATAGAAAGAATTAATATGATCGCTCATTTAGAAAATATTAAAAGAAAGGTAAATACAAAACAAACAATGACAAAAATTGATTTATTTTCATAATACGATTTTAGAACGCCCAATTAACCTACGATTTAAAAGTTTTGACTGACGAAAAAGAAGAAATTGTTTCAGAGAGAGATGCATACAAATGCAAAAGCCATCGTTTGAATCACGAACTTCTAACCGCTTTAAAAGTGAATGATAGTCACCCAAATGTATATATATTCATTTTATTTTCTTAGCAAAACAATTTAACATTTACTCAATTTTAGACTGTTGACCTAGACGCTTTGATTTTAGAAAATAAGTACCTGCAAGAAATGTTAAAACATTGTGAATGGGAAATGGAATTCGCACAAAAAACGGCTAATAAATATAAAGTAAGTAAAATAAAATACTAAATCTTTTTAACTTGATTTGTATGTGAGGTGAAAAGATTTAAATACTAACCTTGTGTAATTTAAAAGAGCATGCTTGATACAAAAAGAAAAAAGGGAATTATTAAATTAGGAACTAACAACATTGATAGCATAATTTCTCATAACCAAGGTAATTTAGAAACATTTACACTAACACAAGATTTTTAAATTCAATTAAAAAATCCAATTTTAAGAACTACAGAACTTTTTTCTAAATTTGAATTGCATACATACCATGTATTTAAAATATGTTTTATATTTACTAGTGAAACATTTACTTGAATGCGAATCAGACTTACCATCAAGAGCGGAAACTATAGCTGATCTTAAAAGACTTTGTTTAGCTTTATTGGATAACCTAAATGATAAAACTTTAGCTCTTACACATCAAAAAAAAACAAACAAGTATAAAGTCAATATTTTATTTTAATTTACCAAATTTACGTTTATATTTATTTTAGAATATTAGCTTCCAAAATATCCGAGTTAGAACAAAGAATTCAATTGATTTTACATAATGGGCAAAAAGACGAAAATGCACCAACGAATTTTTCACCATCGCAGATTCTCTTAAATGAGTATAGTTTTTCAAATATAGATACGGAACCTACACCAAAGTCACCCCATAATATTACTGAAGATTCTGGAACTATGTCTTCTGAATCCCACGACCAAATATCAGAAGATGGTAATGATGAAAATGAGGAATCTCTATCCACAAACTCAAACAATAGTAGTATCATATCGTCAGAATATGAAAATCCTAGTAACTTAAGTGAAATCATAGCTTCTCGTAAAAATAAATCCTCTAGTGTAGAAGCAGATAGCTTATCAACTGTTCCGAACAGTATAATAAAAGAAAGACTAGAAGATTTAAAAGATTTTCCTCCAGAATTAGCTGCTATTGTTAAAAATGCTTTGGATGCATTAGATGCCAAAGATATTCAAGAAACTGAGGAAAATGTTTTACAATCATAAAACAAAGAAAAAGTTGAATATAAATTGGAAACTAATAGTAAAATTTATTAATTAATTTAGTATGTTATATACATATACGATAGAAGCATAACTAACTAATATATATTATGCGACTTTATAAAATACTTATCAATTATTGTGTATGGTTTTATATATATATATATATATACCCGTTGATTTTTGCTAATTTTTCAGAGATTTCGAAAATATATTTGTTTTTAATAAGTTTTGAAGAAAATTTATTTATAATTGCCATATTTATAATTTCATTACAAAAAATTACCTCTTCTTTAGACGTAAACAATTAGAACCTCGCATGTTCACTTAATATTTATTTATTTTTACATATTGTGTAACAATTGTTTCCAATTTATAAATAAAAGTCTATTTTATATGGAACATAAATACAATACATAATTAAGCTCACCTTATCAGATAATCAGATTTTTAAAAATATCGAAAATCTATAAAAGAAAAAAATCATTCATTACCTAATTAAAGATAAAACGAAAATAAAGCATCATCATGTAATTTTAAAAATCTAAAACAAATGAATGATATTTTTGTGCAATATGTAAATTATGAAATGAAAACATTAATTATTCTCAATAATAATAATAATGTACATTAATATTTATATATCTATTATGATTGTATAATATATTTACTAATGATGTAAAATATTTAATCGTTATAAATAAAACTATTTATCACAGAAAAACTTCAATTCAAATGAGTTGTAAATTTATTTCATGTAGGTATAAATTTTTGATCTATGCTTATTAAATCCTTTTTATTTATTCTAATTTTTCCATAAGAACTATTTTGATCACAGTATTTGCAAAGTATGTATGTATCAATTTTCACGTTGACGCAAAAAACGTGAATTTTATGAGTTTTGACATAAAATTTTCGAGGTCAATTATCCAATCAAAAATATAGCTCCCAATCTGTAAAGAGTTTATTTCATTTATTTTTTATCAAACGATTTTACACATTTTTTTGACGTAAATTAATTAAGGGAAAATATAAAAATGGAGAAAATATTAAAATGAAAATTAAATGAATTGATGCTAAATTATTAAATTTAATGATACTTTTAAGGTGTCGGTTATTATCGTTACTTAGTGTATGAGCCTTCCACCACAAGTTATTATTCTTTCATATTTGTTAATGTACCATCTAAGAAATTGAAAATATTTTTAAATGACAATAGAAAATTATTAAATAAAATAATTTGCAAATGTTTGTTTTTAAATAATAAATGCATAGATTTTATTAGTTTATTGTCAAAATACAATTCAAAATCAAGTTAAAAATCAAAACAAATTATTTCAAACAATACATACATACGTATTTTAAATAATAAACAAACATTTTTTAAGCAAAATATATTTAAAATATGCAATCAATTCTTTTGAAATGCAAAAGAAAATTAATTTTTTTTATACTCTTTATTTATTTATTTTTAATTTTGTAAAAAAACATTTGTACCAAAAAAAATTGCAAAACTAAAAATTTCGATACAAAATTTTTGTTTTCATAACATGTCCTTACAGTCGTGTCTTGAACAATGAACAATTATATTTAGGAATAATTTTGTTCAATTTTCCAATTTATGTTTGTCTAACGATATGTTTTAATAAATTATTTAAAATTAGTCTTAAAACAATTATTTTGTTTAATTATAAAACTATAACTATTAAAGTATAATTATTAAAACTAGAACAAGTTTTAGTACAAGCATAAAGTTATAGAATATTGTATAGAATATTATATTAAGTATAAATTATATTTAATTTATGTTATTAGTAATTTAATTAAAAATCAAATTATAACGCAACTTCAGCTAAAAATATTTGATTGAAAGAGCAAAATATAAATAATACATAAATTTTACAATATTCATTTTTGTTTTTGTATTTAATTGTTTTTATTATTGTTATTGGCTTTATTTACCTATAATTTATATTATTCGTAAGTCTTATAATTTTAGTCTTTCTTTCTTTCTGTATATGTGTGCATAAACAATTTTTGAACTTTTAATACAAAAATATTTTAGAATTACATACATATTTATTAATGGAATAATAATAAATATAAAAATTCCAATCTCGTAAAAGAAAAAATAAACATCTTTAGAATAATATGTAACATAAAAATTTATTTATAAAATTTGCGTTTTTTTCAGCAACTTTTGATTTTATCATACTTTTTCTAATACTTCAAACATACATATTAAGCAACTTCTTTCAATTCACACTAACTAAATTTTAAATAAGAAAAACTATTCAAACCATTAAACATTAAAACAAAAATGTAAAATATTAATTATATTCTTCTATTACAAATTTCACTTTGAAATTCAAAAATTTTTCGTTTACAATTTATTCGTTTAATGAATTAATTATAAATTTAATTAACTTTTTTTGCTAAAAAAAAGAAAAGAATGTTGACTCAATTGTAGACTTATAAAAGTGATTTTAGAATACATATTTGGCTCACTTTAAAAAATCATTAATTTTATAATTTATCACTTATTTAGTCGAAATATTATGAAAAAATATTTCTAAAAGTAATAATTTATTTTATATGCAAATGTGAACAGTATTATGAAAAACAAAACGCAGACTTATACTTACTAATTTTATGTGTTATTAAAAAAATTAATCTTATATCAGAAGGACTAGTTAAAAAAAACTATTTTACAAAATTTCAATTCAGAACTTACAACTCTAATTGATTTTAGTTCTAAACAATGACAAAATAAATATCATAAAAAAAAATGCAAAACAACATAAGAAAAGTAAATAAAAAGCAATAAATTATAAAATTTTACAAAAGAATGTCTCAGCTAATCAGCATTTCAATTCCAATAGTCACCAAAAATAAAACTAATTAAGTATTTTTATTCATATTTAATGATTCAAGAACGCATTTCAAAATACTATCACGAATATTACGAAATTCATGATATTTCGAACAATTTGACAATTTCTTTTCCTCGGCAAACATTTTTTAACAAAAGTAAAATGTATATCAAGATGTATAAACTATTGTGAACTAAATTAAAAATGTATTAGTCCAAAAGAACGCATCATTTTCGTGCTAACATTACTTACAAAATAATTTCAAAAAAATGAAGAACAAAAATCGTAATTTGTGCTTTTTATGAATAAGACATTCTTTTTGTAAAATACACTCACAAAAAATAATACACTCATTAAAAAAAAAATAATTAAAATAATTGAAAGTATTACATTTTTTTTATGTTTTTTTTCACAGTATTTTTGTTTACATTATGTAGGTATATTAATAGTTACTATAAAATATATAAAAATTTTAGTTTTTAAAAATTATTTTGTTATAATAAACAATCTTAATAAGTTTTTAAAAACAATGGTTCCATTAGAAAGTAATGTAAGAATATGAACATTACTTAATTTCATTTTTTACATACCTAGCACGTTAAATTTGTAAGTATATTTTGTTCAGCATATGCTTAAAATAATATAAGAAACACTCTTATGGCTTTAATTTTTCGTTATTAAATTATATAGACGCATAATTATTAATATTCATTAGGTTAATTTATTTTAATGTCACATATAAATAAATGTTTTATTAAATTATTATTGATGAAAATTAATGATGATGACGATGAATAATTTACTATTTATGTCCTTTGTTTTTAATTTACATTATTATTATTTTTTTCTATAGAAATGCAATATTAGCTAGTTGATGAATGATATGTAATTTATAAATATGAAGTAATTTTCAACTAACCGCGCACATAATTCACGTCGAACAGTTGCTGTAAATTTATTTACCAAACATAAAGCCGTCGTTGTACCAAATATTAAATTATAAAACAAAACAATTTGAAAATTTCCTAGCCATTCAATTGCTCCAAAATCTCCCAATAAATCAAAATTTGTAATTCCTAAAATAAAAGAAATATGGATTTATTTTTTTGTTTCCAAAATGTTAAATTTTAAATATGACCTAATATTCGGGATAATAATGGTAAAGCTGAACTCAACATGAGTACAATGGCACAATTTAATATTAATTGTGCTAATGACGTTTTATGTTTCTGGGGTCTTACAATTCTCATGAATGGCATTGTGTATAAACCAACAGATGAAGTTGCTCCCAAATATGATATTATGAATACTTCTAAAGCAGCTCCTGTTGGCCCCAATTTTGATAAGGAAGTTATACCCAAAGTAAATTGCTGAAAGATATAATATGAAAAAACAAGTTAATAAAACGTTTATTTAATAAAAAGGTAATATAGTAATTTTTTTACCCTTGTACTTAACGGCAGCGCTTTTATACCAATTAGTAATTCTAACGTATTGACAACAACTAAAAATATGGTTATTACTGTTAAAAATAATAGTAATAGCATAGCAAATGGATAAACGAAATTTCTTTGAAATGATGAAGAAGTTTTCAATTTATTTAATTCTCTCTTCTCAGACTCTAATTCTCTCAGTCTTTCTAAAAGTTGAGCTGGCTCATTGCCCACATTACCATTAATTGGCTTTCTCTGATATAAACTTTTTAATGTTGGATTTATTATACCCGAATGAATTCCATTTGCGTCACTTGTGCTGACATTTTGAAGTTCTAAAAATAGAATATATTTTAAAAGTAATACACATTATGTAGTTCATTTAGTTTACAGTTTCAACTTTTTTCCTATCTTACCTATGTTAGCTATTACATTAGCTAATTTTCGTTTAACACTCGCCTCTTCTAAATTAAATGCAGCAAATTCTTCATTAACATCACGCAACAGATGAGGTTTAACAAGAACTTGTCCAACAACACCAAAAAGTCGAATAAAACCAAAGGGTGTACAAACTGTAAAAAGAAATATTTAATTATGCATATGTATGTATAACAAGCATTATGATAGACGTGTACATAAGCTTTTAATTCTGCCAAACTTTTCAAACGAAAAGTTATTACTGATAAAGAAATATATCCTAAAAAATTAATGCGACAGGTATGGATAGATAGAAAAAAATTTCATTAAATGATTTTAAAACAAAACTCCTTTTTGAAAATAATTTTAAAATAATTCCAAGCAAATTTTTAAATTAAATCGGATCTCGTATACAAAATATTAAGCGTTTTTTCGATTAAAACTCAAAAGAACACATTCGATGACAACATCAACAAATTAAAATGTAGTTTTCTTCATCGTCTTCGAGATTTTTTAATTTTTCTATGGAATTTTTTAATAAAACATAATAGTATGCAGTTTCTTAAAATAACCCTGATAATGTAAGTTATTCTCAATTTCATTTATCGATCAAATTGGTTGAAAAATCGATTAAAATATTGCAATTTAACATGAAATATAAAGGCTCGTCATTTTTTAATCTTATTTTATATAAGTTGAAAAAACATAGATTTGAGAATTCGATAATATTCCACAAATATTTTGTTTTTCTATTTGTAACAAAAACAAAATTTGATTTCATTTATTCCAACAATTTTGAATGTTCCATTTCGAATTAGATATCGGCTTTGTTTGTGTTTTACGTACCACACTGTCGTTAAAACTTAATTATTTTTCTTCGTAGCAACCATAAAATTTTTGTTATTTATTCAATATTTGTAAATAATTTGTCTCAGAACGTTAATATTTTTCAAATGAAATAATTTTTTTCGCAGGCCATTGATTTCAAAAAGAAAAAATAAAAATGTCTAATCCAGAAGAAATTAAGTTAATGAAAAATGATGTTCTTCAAAATATACAGGCATCTGATAAAGATGATGAAAAAGATTTCGAAATTTTTCAAACAAAAGTAGAAGCCGTACAAAAAATTTTAGAACAAATGAATAGTCCCGACCAAAATGAACAAATCGAAGGTTTAAAGGAAGCTGATAGGTAGGTAGATCTACATGATGTATTAGATAAATAGTGAACATTTTCATTTTAAATTGAATTTTATTTATAGGATGTTAGGAAATGTTAACGATGTCGACAATGAAGATTCATTTATTGTGAAATATCGTGATGACCGAACTGTAATCAATAAAGCAGCATGGAAAGATGAAACAAAAGTTGAAATGGATCAGTTCACATTTATGAGACAAGTTGAAGAGGATGCAAAACAAAGAACCGAAACACGTCGTGAAAATGAAATGATTGCAAATAACTTTCGACAGTAAATTATTACAAAATAGTTTAATTTCAAAGATGATGCAAAAATTTAAAATGTATTTAACGTAAAAATCATAAATTTTTCATTCAATTTAATTAATAACTTCAGGTTAAGTGGTACAAATTGGAAAGAAAGTAAAAAAAAGAAAATTTTTGCATTTTCATTGATTGCACGTAATTTATTTTAAGATACATTATTATTGTTTCAATTAGTTTTAATGATTTTTTAATCTCTTTGTTTTTTATTTTCTCCTATTTACATGAATGAAAAGACTTGGCAATGAAGCATTCCGTAAACAAGAATACGAAAAGGCAATTAATCATTATACGAAAGCAATTGATCATGTTAAAGACAGTCCGATCTTATACTGTAATCGTGCTTTGACTTACATCAAGTAATTAACACTATAAATATCTAAAAATTTAACATGTTTATTTATTTGTTTATCGAATATAGCTCCTCGGATCGAATTTTTAAACGAATTGAGAAATATTTTTTAATTTAATTTAAATTTACTTTTAAATTGTAAAATTTTGACTATAATCATGAATATTTTTTCAATACATATTATTAAATTGCAAAATGGAGTCATAACGTTTCTAAATTCACTTCAATTTAGGTATGACAAAAGAAATACAAGTTCCCGGGTAAAAAAATACACAGTTAAAAATAAATTTTTAAAAAAGAAAATTTAAATGTTCTGGTACATTGGAGAAGTTTCATTTAAGATTCTGAAGAAATATTTTGGTTCTTCTATAAATCTCGTTACGAGTATATATCGCACATAACAAAAATTATATATTTCTACAAATCTGCAGAAAACGCACTCGGGTAATTCTTCAGTATCTGGCATTTTTCTACTATGCTCCATTTCTAATTTATAATATTTTTGCAGTAGTTATTAAAATCTTTTAGAAATTTAAGTACAAGTGTAATTTTCGAACACGTTTCTTTTGTAGCAAAAACTTATCGAAGATACTATTTTTGCAGATTTACAGTTCAGAATTATCGAATTTGCTTTATATAAAGACCTAAGTTAAAACTGAATCATCGAATATTCCCCATTCTTCGGAAGAAAACTAATATTTTTAAATCATATTAAATTTTTTGAAAATGCTATTTATTTTATAAATTCAAAATGTTTTTGCTCCGTTTTTCTAAATTATATTAACAATTTTTCGAAAACAAGACAGTATTAGATTAGATAAGAAAATTTTTTTTTTATTTCAACAAATATCATTGTTGATGAAAATATTTAATTTTATCTAAATCGGAAATTAATTGGAAATATATAGAGCAATCAAAAACAAAATGGAAATCAAATACATTTTAATATTACTAGCAGAGATTATTATATTCATTTTATCATACACTGTACAACATCAACCTCTTTATATGCCCAATTTGGTATGTTACGAGTAAGTTAGTTCATTGCGGTTAGTAATATACTAATTATTTCGTTTATAATATACAGAATTGGGTTAAACTTACACTTAGTTACTGAAATTTTAGACTTTTGAAGTCAATTTCGCAAAACAATAAATTTTTATTTTAAGTATATTTTATATTAAATTTATTAAAATAAGATTTTGTTTTGTTCAGAAATAAAAGAACTCAAGAATTTAATTAAATTTAAAGTATCCAATTAGGTTCAAAGGCATTTTAATGTTTTTTAATGTATTATTGTGTGTATACTTAACACAATCAAATCCTTAGACTATTGTATTTATTTATACAAATTACAAGTATGCATTTTATTTGGTTTATGTTCCTCAATCACCTCATGTAGCGAGAGACCTTTGTAAATGTGGTGAATGAAAGATAATATTGAAATTCTTTAGTCAAATAATTTTTTCAAGAGCAAATTGCATGTTTAAAAGAATTAATTTGAATTTTCTAATATTTTTATACCAAAAACTTGGTTACAAATGTGAAAAAATTTGAAATTATAAGCACTCTGTCATAGTGTGATTTTTAGAAACAAAATATTTTAATAATAATTAAGCTACTTATTCACATTTAGAGAAATTAATTTCTAATTCTAAATATGTCAATATTTTAAGAGAAATTAATTTTAAGTCTAATAATGTACAATTCCCTTAATGCTAAATATAACATAATGTGTACATTGCAATTCTTAATATTTTAATTTATACTACATTTTATGATCCCGGCCCGGCTACTTAGACTATTTGTTTATAATACTGTAAAAGAATAGAACATTTTATTTAATTTATATTTAATTTTTTTTTTTAAACAATATTTCATATTAAAAAAACCTGTAGCATGAATAGGTAAACAAACTTTATACCTTTTTTTTTTATCTCTGATTTAGTTACGAAACTAATTGAAGCTTTATTATTTATGTTTTACATACATATATTATTTTCTTTATATTTTTAGATTAAAATTATTCAAACGTGCAATCAACGATTGTGATTTTGTTGTAAATAAATTGGATGAAAAGAATTTGCGCAGCTGGTTATATCGTGCAACAGCATATTTAAATCTACATGATGATCAAAACTATGAAATGAGTATTAAAATGGCAAAAAAAAATAATTCAAAAGAGATCGAATATATTGATGACTACGTTCAAAAATTAAAATTAGAAAACGCATAGATAAAAAATATGATATAGGCGCTTTAAACATTCCAACTCAACGATTCTAATCATTTTATTTTACAATATTTGAAGTAAATTGTAGAACTAATTTAATTTAACTTCGAAAAAACATACAAACACAAAACGGAAGTTTGGTAATGCACAGCACATGCAATATTTGTAACAAAAATTAAATTGTTTTTATATGTAATTCCACAATAACTCACCAAGTAATAATAGCACACCTATAAATGATACGCATGAATATAAAAATGGAAGATGTGCACTCCCTAAACCTGAAATTACAAAAAAAAAAGACATTTGTTAACATATATAGACATTTGTTTGTATTATATATAAAAGCTGATCGTTAAAACTTATTGGTTCAATGCATTTAATGAATAAAAACAAACGAAAAATAGAATCGCATACTTTCTATGTTAAAAAAATTTTCAATTCATTACAATCAAACAAAATTTTTTAAATAACAATTTATTTAATTAATAACTAATTCAATTTAATTGCAATAACAATAAAATTTTATAAAGAATACACATTCTTTTAATGTTTAATGATCTGAAAAAATAATTGTATGTTATTCAATACTACAAAAAAAGCTTCATTTCAATTGCATTCTTATGTTAACAAAAAATGATAATAAACTGATTAAGAACTCAAACAGTAGCATTTTCAGCCTTCATTTGAAATAAATGAAGTGCTTATGCAAAAGTTTTTAATAAAACGACTCAAATTAGAAAATTTACAGGAGCAGTTGAAAAATATACTAAATTCTACAGAAAATTCTTAAAAAAATATTTAATTTATAATTTATTTTTCTATAAAAATTAAAATGTTTGTATAGAGATAATGTTTTATAATAAATATGAAAAATTTACTCACTTAAAACTAATTTTAAAATTCCACTTCGTTCTGGATCAATTAAAGCTGACAGTATATATGTTAGACCAAGTACAACAACTGCTAATAAACTAAAAACTGTAAATGTTTCATACACTCTGGCAATAATTCCTTTTCTATGGCCAGGAAATCCGCAAGATTCAGTAAATAAATATGCAAATGGAAGAAATACAAACAGTGATAAATTCGAGAACAGGAACACATGATTCCAAAGACCTGCAAAAATTTTAAGAGAATAAAAATATTAATGAATTTGTTAGTACATTATTTTTAATTATCAAAAATTAAATATATTTACATTTCAATACATATACTATTTGAATTGACCTTGTAAAAAAAAAGTTTAATTCAAAAATTTGTTCTTATCAAATTTTTTTTCGGAAATAAAATTTGAAATATATACGTGACTCCTGATAATTCGGTATATTATGTTATATTATTTTAAAATATGTAAACATTTTCAATATAATTTGCTCATGTGCGCTTTTTTAAATATTTAATAAATAACAGAGAAAATAAAAACTCAAGAGAGCTTTCTTTTTTTAATTTTCTCATGTCGTTCGTGTTATCTGCGTGCTTCTCAGTAATTGTCTGCGTGCTTTCACAAAATTTTTAAAAGTTTTATATTTACTTGCTTATTTACATTCCCTGTCAAATCAATATTTAATGCAATCACCAATTTGTGACACAGATACAAAACTCGAAATGTGCAAGAATCTTTTTAAACGTGTTTAACATATATTCGCTGATTTATATCTACATACACAGGGTGTTACGCATATATTGGCAAATATATTTCGCATTTATTGGATAGGAAATAATTTCGGAAATTCATATAAATTTCTTATTATACATACTAAACACAAAAAATATTTTGCGAATCTATGAAATAATTCTAAGTAGTATGAAATTTATTTTTCACATGTTTTTTAAACACATTTAACGTGTTTTACTGGCAAAACTATGAGAAAATGTTATATAGGTTAACTTTTAGCTCTCATCGTAGCGCATCGAAGAAAACAAAAAAAAATGAATAATACTCGTAACAGAATTTTTTGAGAAATCTCGAGTTTAAAAAAAAAAAAAATCGGAAAAATAATAAAAATTCTGACTTTTACGAACTTGATCTCGAAAATTATAGCTCAAAGAAATCAATCGCATGTGAAGTCAACCCGCAGTCATTACTATAATGTCGCATGGTTTTGAAATTGTAAGCATTTATTTAGATGCAGGAAAAATGTGGTTATTTTTTTCCAACAGGGTGCTTCTCGAAAACGGGTACATTTGCACTCCCCCCCCCCCCCCCCCCCTCTCTATCCAACCCCGCAAACATTCAATTTTTTGCTGGTAATTGATCAAAAAATCACCCCTGAAATTATTTGCCAACTAATGCGAAACACTCTATATACACTTATATAATACCAACAAACTTATCTTGACTTTAAAAGAAAATATGTATAAGTATGTACTTATGAAAACTATTTTTTTTGTTTTCGGCTTTTTGATTAATGTGCCATCATACACAAATTTAATTTATGTACGTAATGAATGTATAAATGTATGTAGTAAGTACGTTTTAATGCACTTGTTCTATTTTAATTTCAATATAAATTTACATTCATGTATGTATAATAATATCCAGATATAAGAGATCACAATAATAAAATTTAGTTTCTTATTTAATTGGTTATTAAATTGGTTTTTTATATATAAATATATACTACCAAAAAGTTATTTATACACAATACAAAATTGAACTGAAATTCATTGAACTTACCTTGGATCAATGAACTATTTAACCATTTAACATAATAACTATTTGGATACAATAATAAAACTTCATTGCTGGCTATCGAAATTGGTAAAAGTAATGCAGCCCCAACAGCAATTGCCAAAGAAAATGTGCACAACCATAAACTGAAATATGTAGGAAAGAAAAAAATAAATTTAATAAAATTAAAATAAATACTTATGTTTGTTTTAAACTTTATTTGTAAGATGTAAGATGTATAAATGCTTTAGTATTCAGCATCACCATATTTACATAAAGAGGTTTAAAGAAATCAAATTCGTTTTCCTTTTACTCGTTTTAAAAATAATTTTCATTCGAAACTTTAAAACACAATCATTATTTAAAAAAACTATTAGAATATATTGATCATAATTTTTATGATTAAATGTGCTAAATTAAAAAAAAATAGTTGCAGATCATGTTCTACTGAAAACATTCGATTTACAGTCAAATTTTTAATCATTGAAAAATTTTGTATTATCATTTCGTCTGTTTGATTTGCAATTTTATGAGATTTGCAATTCTCTTAGAGATTTTTTGAAGTCTCTTCGTAAAAATTAGCATTAGCATTTAAAACCACTAATATCCCTTCTTTCCCAAATTTACGTAACAAAGTGGCATGAGTATTACACAAAATTAAATTCGTAAGTCCATAAATATCCCAAATGTTTTGATGCTGATGAAGTTATTAAGTTCTAAAGTAGTAATGCCATAGCATATTGCATTATCAAAAACACCCCATGTTACATATTTTTTTGTGAAGTCGATTAGAGTTTTTAAATGTCATTAGTGAACATGAAAAAATTACTGAATTAGTTCCTACAGCAACCGTCGAAACGCTCTTCAATAAACATCTATTTTTGTTACCTTATGTACATTGCTATGTAAAATTTTAACTGCAAAAGATTTACAATAACACTATATGTATGTATATGTAAGTATATTAAGAAAGCCATTTAATTTTTATTATAAATATAATCAAATTCTACGAATTTAAGAAAATTATGAAGTTTAAGCTACAAAAAACCGAGATCCACAATAAAATATATGTATTATACACACATTTATATTTAAGAAATTAATTTCTGGTCACGTGGATTGAATTCATTGCTGCAAAGTCTTCCATTTGCGTATATTCTACGTACGTATAATGGACAAACCTCCAAATGGATATTTGATTAACATAAATATGTACATATATAAACATAATAACAGCTGTCAAAACCTGTTTTATTTTGATAAATAAACACTGATATTTTTTTAAATAATTAAAAATGCCATATTAGGTATACTTGTTCAAGTGAAAAATTTTTATTTGTGTACAAATAACAATTTACTTATAAAAAAAAAACAACGTTTTTTATTTCAAACTTTGCCAAATTTTGTTTTCATAAAAATAAATGAAAAAACAATTTTTGTCAAAAATTGAAAATTCTAACATTTCCTTAACTGTATTTTAAAAGAACATGAACATATAAATTTTATTTGAAAGTATTATTCATACGAAACCGTAATAGTTGTCAAAAACATAAAAAAACACGAGAAATACGTACAAGTATTTATAACGTAATTATTATGACAATTTATTTTATATTATTTTTATTTTGATTGACGCTATATTTTGCAGCAGGTAAAAAATAACGTATATCTATTGTTACACTTATTTACCGCAAATTTTGCAGATTTATCGCTTTACTACAAAATCTAGAGTTCAACATCAAGTCTGCAGAGTCCAAAGTTCAATACAGTTTGTTATGCGTGTAAAATTTGAAGATAACGTGTATTTCGAAAACCTATACATATTTAATATTTGCTTTGTCGCAGCGGATGTTACAGCTACGATACTTTATTTTTACATCGTCACAGTTGGTGCAACAGTAACGTAAATATACAAAAACAAAAATCAGTAGAATACAGAATACAAAACAAAGTTTTCTTCATTTTTTATTTTCAATGTCACATTCGCGGTTGGCGGCAAAGGATTAAAATGTAATTTTTTTGTTGTGTCCGCAATGCATGTTAGAACTCTATATCTAAATTTCAGTCAAACGTTGCAGTGCTTCAGTTATAACGCATATATCTGCACAATTCAAGGATACTCGTTCTATAAACCTAAAATTGTTGTGCAATTAAGTATTTTGTAAGGGTGAACCAATATGCTTATGAAGCATCAGGTTCAACCTTCTGAACTTTTTCATTCGACAAAAAAAAAAGGAACCTTTAAGCATTTCAGTCTAATTTTACCATAAGAAATAAGAAAAGTAACGAAATCTAATTTCTGCCAGCTAATTGGAATTTTCCTCGACATATTTTCATATTTTTCTAATATGTGTACATATGTATATATTTTAATTGACTTTAATACTCAAAATATTTAATTCGCGGGTCACAAATTTTTAATTCGCCCCTCAATCTGTTCAAATTTGTATCCAGCAATAACGAGGAACTAATATACACAACTTACAATTTGCAAGACAAAGTTTCTGAGAAAATTAATTTATACTTATTTAAGATTTGAAAATATACGAAAGGTGCAAAAGCTAATATCATTCAATTAAACTAAAAATTGAATTTTTGGTATGTATTATTTGGTAAAATTACTTATCAAATAAATTTTCTTGCTCTAATTTAACAATCTAAATAATTGCTACGTAAAATCTTCAGTCTTCCAAAATCTGGATCATTAAACAACATCAATTATTACATTAATTCTGCTCATTTCTAATGAAAACTTAATCAAACTATTCATGCTATCTACGGTAGCAAAGTGCAATGTTTAAATGACTAGATTTTAGTGTAACTTCCATGTAATGTACCTTTGGGACATACAATGTTGCATTAGTCCTTAAGATAAATCAAATAACATTGAATATTAATAAGTTCATAGTAAATTTATGTCGTTCAATTACTCTGCTTAATTCATTATAAAATCAACGATTTTATTATGGCGAAAAAGTCTAAACATCGAAATATCATACTTTTTTTAATATTTTTTAATAACATTAGAAAAATATTAAATTATTAACGATCTTAGATTAAAGTGCTTGAATTTGTGCAATGCTTAAGGTTATAACTAAACTAAATAATTACATATTTTAAAAATTTTTAATGATTCCATGATTGGCAAATTTTTTTAGTATCAAGGAAAGTCAATCACTCTTACTTTTTTTTCTTAATATTTTTAAACTTTACATTTTATTTCTGTTACAGTTAATTTATTTATATTGCAAAAAAAAATTGAAGAAAAAACGAAAGTTAAACCTTTCACTAGTTATATTATACAAAAAGTGTTATTACACCTGAGATTTAATAATTTCTCAAGTGTTTTGTTTTTGGTTTTGCTACAAATATTTTAAATTGTACAGCACACATAGCTAATTTGAAAAAAGAAAAAGCTTTTTAATAGCATACCTTATGCGATAAACAAGTATTTCATCGTCATCAGTTGAAAATAAATCCTCTTTGTCTCGTCGACGAAATCTAGCTATTAAGGCATATGATGCCGTATATAAAAGCATTAAAAGAAGCAAAAATATCTGAAAATAGAAAATAAATAATAAATTAAAAAATAATGCGATTATAATTATATGAGAGATTTTTATATATTAAACAAATTTTCAGAGTAACATAACGCATTTTAATTATTTTAATTAAGTATGCAGCATGCAAAATTTTTATATGAATAGCGTATTATACATAAGAAATAGTTTTTCAGTAGATATTCTCAAAATACTAAGACAAATTTGTGTTGATATGCAAAATCGCAACTAAAGAGGAAATTACACATAAATTAGGTAAGTATTGCAAATTTACCCATATATGTACTATGTTTATACTAACTATACTATAGTTCTAATTACCACGATGCTACGTGCTTTATTTCATTAATTGACACAAAAAATTAGACCCCATTCTTTTTTATTACTATACTATTTTTTTCTGCTATTAAGAAAAATTCGAAAAATTTGCTTAAGCAATTGCCTCTCAGTGAAAACAAACATTGCTTTAACCACACAAAATAACGACTTTCTTAATATTGAATTGGCGAAATGTTAAAAACTGAAAATTTTAATGGTATATATATATATATATATATATATATATATATAACATGTATGTATATGATTTACAATGTTACTATAATTATTTAATTAACTTTTAATATAATAAAATTATTAAATAATTATTACTATAATTATTTAGTCGCATACAATTATTTAATTAAGTACTTTTAGTTTTCTTTTTATAATTTAAAAATAAATGTTGACAACATTAATAAAATCCATCATTCATAATTAGAAATAGATGCTGTTCCTAAAATAAATCTATAAACTGATAAATCTAATCGTGTTGATTAAATTTATTACAATAGTAGTTTAGTCAGTTTCGTATTTAGAATTGTTTATTATAGATTTTCTTTTTATTTTTTTCATATGCTTTATCTGTATATAATTGTCTACAAAATTCCTTTGTCTATAGGTAATTTTACCAAAACTTGTTTTGGTTAAATTAATTACGAATTTTAATTTAACCAGCATAACAACTGTAAATACTATAAGAATATTGTTGTCAGTACATTTTCTTTTAAGTCATAAATAAAATCAGACAAAATATTTTTGCATTTTTCTCCATACTTTTTGCAAACTTCAAAATAACAAATACTTAAAATTTAAAAATAAATTGGTACTTGTTTTTCAAAACTAATTTTCAATTGTACTTAAACTTTATTACGAACTATTAACCTGTTACAATGCACACATGTATACGAAAGGCAAATAACTATACACACGAGAAACAAATATCTTAACGGTTTTGAAATAAAAGAAAAAAAAAATTGTATTCAGAGCACGCATACCTTATTTTACTCTGTCATTGCCTTTCGGGTGTAGTTTTACAGACAATATGAGGGCTCAGTATCAGAGTGGCCTAACTCAAATTTATATTTTTAATAATAATTTTAAAATTCTTATAAATTTTCTATATTGAAAGCATTTGTCTTAATCACTGGCTTTTTGTGATTATATAATACGCATTTATAACATGTATACAAAACAAGAATACATATTAATTTTATAAAATATTTATTTCTTAAGTTCAAAACATATAAACATTGAAAATATATATAAGAGTAGATTTTATTATCTTAGCAATAATTACTAAATTAGAACAAATCTGAAAAGAGTCAACAGAAAACAGAAAGTGTGCTAGTTTTGTAATTAAAAATTTTAATTACTTAAAACATTCTCCACAAAAACATTGTATCTCTTAAATTCTTGGTGGTGAATAGAAAATCAAATTATTTTCTGAATTATATGTAAGATGACAAAATAAGTAACAAGTTTGAAATGCTTTGATTATAAGTTTATAACAAAGAAGAATAGTTTAATTTTGGAATAAATGTATATTTAAGAAAAATACACACAATTTAATTCTAAACCTGCCTGTAGCTTGTGCAACCTGAAGCACGTGATTTTGAAGTTTTACTAAATTACACATCCAATATTTTCTTTTGTTTTTAATTGGTAAAGTTTTAAAAACTTGAAACGATTGATCAACTTTCTAAAGCTTATTTTCCAGCATATACTTATGTACACATTTAGAAAATCATTATTTATTAACAATCATCCTTCCTGTTTAATATTTTAATATTAAAGTAACTCAAACCCAATAAAAATGGGTAATTTGTTCATATACAGATAATTACTGTGTTGGCGAATAAAAATTTATCAAGGCAATAAGAAAAACTGTTAACAGAGCGTAAAGATTGCTCATAAAAATTATGACAATTGATTGAAAAACTCCTCAAAAAAGTACTTATAGCTAAATTACGAGGTCAGTTTTGAATTTTCACTTATATTTTTGATTCCACAATATTATTGTACATTGCACATAAAGAATCATATAAGAAATTATAAAATTTTATCATGAATTGACTTTATAACTTCTATAAAAATATTTACAATGTTAGGTTAATGTAAAAATATTTACAAAGTTCAATTACTCCGTAATCAACACTGTTCAAGTACTTATGTATATGCATGTGTCTATATGTGTGAATTTGTATATATGAATTATATTTTTGCAAAATTAAGGAAAACCCTAATATAAGTAAATAATTTTGAAATTTTGATGACAGAAATAAAGCTTTTTTTGCAATAAAATTGCTTATGTTCACATAATTTTACTTTGAGATATAGAAAAGTAAAGATTGAAATACAAATTTAAATGCTTTGTTACGATTCAAGATCTGTATTAAATGTATATACATATACGTTAACATACATGTAGACAGAGTAATTATTACTAAATAAAAAATATTTAGTAATAGTAGATAACTTATACTATTGCTAAATATTTTTATAGCCAATTTTTATAGCCTTTTTCAAATAAATTTTAAAGAAGAACTTAAAAGCAATTTTCCATAGATTTGCTATCATTACTTAAAACTCTAACTTTGTTAAAAATAGTTCGCATTGAAAATTCATTGTATAGAAATAGTTAAATGTCCACCATATATGCATACACCCACTATTATTTATTAAAATACAAAGTTTCATAATTTTTAAAACGGGAATTTTAAGCCTTTCTGATAGAAAACCATATTTCAAAATAAGTAGGTTAACTAGTTTTAAAATATTTATTATACATTTTAACAAAATTTATCTTGAGTTCAAGAATATTCAACGCAAATATTTTTAGAAATTATATTATTTGGTTTAAAAAAAATAAATAAAATAAGTACATTTTGGAAATTGAATTAAGGTTATTTTGCCATTTTAAGATTTTTTCAAATCAAATGCGAAATAGAATTACGCAAAATTATTAAATAAATTTGTTTAATAATATTGACAGTTTACTTTACATTAATATAGGTAATAATGTTACAATTTTTTGAAAAATATATGTCATCCTACAGTATAGTATGCAGAATTTTAAATGTTTTAAATTTCAATAGCCATTTTATGGTTCTTACCGTAAAATTGTATTTAATTTTTAAAATAAAAAATTAATTTTAACTTGAACTAACTCACATTTATTTTTAGTGACGAACTTATTATTTAGTGACGAACGCATGTTTTCTGATGAAAAGCAATCAAATTTATTGCATTTAGTAAATTATTTGTATACTAAAATAATCTATATTTTAAAATTTGATCTAAAATGTATGTAATGCCCCCGTAGCGAGTAAAAAATAAATAGTAATCATTGAATTATAAAACTTAGAAATAATTTAATTAATAAAGAACTGCATAAATCCCCACTATAAAAAAATATAGATATTAAATTATTTGAATGTGTACGTATATGTATATAAAAAATATTTTGATTAAAAAATATTTACCAACAATATAAAAAGACCACCACATAGTAAGAGTATTATTATAAGTACTTAATTGAACTTTTTATAATTAATATTAAAATTAAACTTATATGTACACTAAGTCTTCGAGACACGACATCTTCTAATACGACATTTCGAGTTACGACATGATATAAATTTGGACTATTTTTATTCGGCTTGCGAGATTTATTCCTGATACTACGACATTAAAAATAAAAAAAAAAATTTTTTTTTCACAGATTTTACTATTTTTTAAATTAAACTATATACCGAATTTAGTTATAAAACAAGACTAAAGCACATTAAGTATTTCAATAACAAACTTTTTTTAGTTAAAAATGCTAGTCAGTACTTAAAAATACGAATAGAAGTGATAGGTATACATATATCAACTTAAACAGATTTTATTTTATTTATTTTTGTCACAAAATTGGGTTTTTTTGGTTTTGTTATTATATTTTGAATTACGACATAAATTTCTGGAACCAAAAATGTCGTATCTCGAGGACTTAGTGTATATATAAACACATATATACATGAGTGATTCTGAAAATTTTACAAATTTATTTAACTCTCTCGTATCTTCAATATTTTTGTTTTAAAAATCTACTCATTCAAAAGGTTTTGGTGGCAAAACTATGAGGCACTGAAGAAAACTTTTGAAACCGAAGAAAATATTGTTAAAAGAATTTAGAAAAAAAATATCACAAAAAAATCTGTAATTCACATTTTGATCAGCTTTTTCCAAAAAACTGAAGTTTAAATATAATTAATTGTAGGAACAAAATTAAAGATCTATCAATTATCTTTGAAACATGTGTCTAACGGGTTCTCTATGTTCCACAACTGCCCAGTAATTAGCATTCATTTATATAAAGGGAAAATCTGAACAAGCTGTAGCTCGAAAACAAAGATATTGAAAATGAAAAGACACTATTTCAAAAATTATTTCAAACAAGAAAATTTCGAAATTTTCAATACCAATACCAATTCCAATTTAAAAAGCGAAGAGCATCCCTCAAAAATTTTTACCTAATTAAGTTGCAAATATTAGAAAAATGTTTACTATTTTACCTAATTTTACCTTCAACTATGATTTACTGTTTATTATGATTTTGAAAATTGGGTTAAACTTAAAAAAATGTCTGTGCAATCTCCATCAAGTCTGCTTCTCAACTAAAAAAAAAATTAAAA